GCAGGCACTTCGTGCCTTCTAGCCCTGAGGATGAATGAGTATAATGAAGTTTTTTTTTCTTGGGGGATGGCTTCCAGGCACTTCGTGCCTTCTAGCCCCCGAAGATGTTTAGTATAAATGAAATCTCAACAAAACATTTACGATGAAGTCTTGACAAAGTCTTTATGAAGAAATCTCAACAAAACATTTACGATGAAGTCTTGACAAAGTCTTTACGAAGAAGTCTTGACAAAGTCTTTACGAAGAAGTCTTGACAAAGTCTTTACGAAGAAATCTCAACAAAGTCTTTACGATGAAATCTTAACAAAACATAGACAAGAAAGTTCATGAGTGTAAATGACCCAAAAATATATTTTAGGGTAGAAGGGTATATCTACCCCGTTTTCTACCCTCTTTTCTACCCTCTTGAATTTTCATGAAATTTACACCAAAAATATATTTTAGGGTAGAAGGGTATATCTACCCGTTTTCTACCCTCTTTCTACCCTCTTGAATTTTCATGAAATTTACACCAAAAATATACTACTAGGGTCATTTACGAAGAAATCTCAACAAAGTCTTTACGATGAAGTCTCAACAAAGTCTTTACGAAGAAATCTCAACAAAGTCTTTACGATGAAGTCTCCACAAATCTTACGAAGAAGTCTTAACAAAGTCTTTACGAAGAAGTCTGACAAAGTCTTTACGAAGAAATTCATGAAAATTCAAGAGGGTAGAAAAGAGGGTAGAAAACGGGGTAGATATACCCTTCTACCCTAAAATATATTTTTGGGTCATTTACACTCATTTACGAAGAAATCTCCAACAAAGTCTTTACGAAGAAGTCACAATAAAACATCTGTCAAAAACCGCTTTCTGTCACTTTTCAGGGTAAAAACATTTTATTGTATATAAAATGAATTTTACAAAACCACCGTTACCCTTCTTTGGAAATAAGAGTAGATGTAAAGATATTCTATTGAGAGAACTTAAGAAACTACCGAATGGTCTAACATTTGTAGACTTGTTCGGTGGAAGTTTCTATATATCTCATTTGTGCCATACAATATTTCCTGACTCAAAGATTATATGCAATGACTTCGACAACTATATGAACCGTCTCAAACATATACCAGACACAAACAAAATATTGAAAGAGTTAAAAGAAAAGATACCTATAGGTAAGATGGAACGTATACCATAGATAAGAAAAATACTGTCCAGAGAGGTTTTGAAAAAGGCAGAGTATATTGACTGGGATAGTATATCTGCTAGACTATTATATAGTGGTGCTATAAGATTCATGACATTGAAACACTTATGTCAAAAGTTTTATATCTAACTATACAAATGTTTTCAAAGAGAACATAGAAAAATATATTGAGGGTATAGAGTTTGTGAGATGTCATTGACAGAGTTGTATGAAAAATATAAAGACAAGGAAAATGTTTTCTTATAGTGGACCCGCCGTTCTATAACACATGGGATTTTCAATACCAAGTAGACTGGACTTTGAGAGACTCTTTAGAAACTTTAGACGTTTTACATAACCATCCATGCTTTTACTTTACATCCGATAAAAGTGGTTTGGAAAGTGTCATGAGATGGTTAGAGGGACATACATGACTATGAGTTTAGATACGATAAGATAGAATATGAGAGAGGTCCTATAAACTGGAGAAAGTGTCATAACAAAGAAATTTTACTAGTAAGTAAATGTGGTTTGAAATAGGACTACTTGTTTTAGGTTTTTTCCATTGTGTCATTTACTTATTTGACGTGGCAGAAAGATATAGAGAATATGAAGATGAACCAATGCCTGCAAATGTTCAGCATATGTACTCGTAAGAGATATTTTTATCTAATATTAAATGGACGCACAGAACTTAGCGAATGCACAGCACCTGGACAACCAAACCCAGAGAATATTCCAAATGAAGTTAGAATACAAACTGCAATGGCAAACTATGGTCAGTGCCAACAGATGTACAAATGCAAACTGCCATGTCAAATGACGCTGCGTTAGGCTTACCACCATGGTATGCAAATATGAGATGGAAAGAGTTTTATACAAACCCCGAAGTGGGATATAAACAACTCTATGCAGATGACGCGAACACAGGAGTTGACCCAGAGTATGTTTTCTACCAGAGGAGAAATAGAATGTATGAGCTCCAGTTAAAGAATGTATGGAACTCAGAAGGAAACGTAAGAGACTAGGTGGACATTAGATTTTTACATATAGTAAAATGGTTTCTCAGTAGTATTGGAAACTTCTTCAGAAGAGTTGGAAGAGGTATATGGAATGGAATAAAAACCGTAGGAAGAGGATTTGGAACGGAGTCAAAAATATTGGTAAAAGAGTAGGTCAGTTTGTTGGTATTATACCTAAAGACCCTGAACCAGAAGAACAAGCTCCTGTTATACAACAGCCTGAACCTGCACCACAGTCTAGTTGGCAAACAAATCCAACACCTCAACCGTATTAAAAGATTATATTTTTACCGTTCGATAGTAGTTGTATATGAGACTAAGTTCTAAGTAAAACGCATGGTATAATGGAACTATTCTCTTTCTTCCATCTGTAGTAAACCATACTTGAAAGTCTGAAATACTTCCACTCGGTGGTTCTATTAGCTTTGTAGGTTTTTCGTAAAAGTCATTTGCCAAGCATAAAAAAGAGTTTTGTGCACCAGAAAATGAAGCATGAACTATAATAGCATCTGAGTCGAAAACATTTTCATATGTTCCATTAGGGTTTTCGACTTCATAAAAGTTCGGGTGTACTGGATATTCTGCAGGCTGATTTAACATCCTCAAAAATCTATACCATGCCAAGTTGTTATATTTTGTAGAAATATAAACGTCTTCTCCAAGGTCTTCTATTCTATTGATTTTAACAGTTGCATTTTTCCTGTCATAATATATATCGAGATGGTACTCTCCTTCGTCAATGTTGTACTGTTTTGCATATTCGAGATAGATATCGTTTATTTTTTCTTGAAAAGCTTGAAGAGTTGTTTCTAAGTTTACAAGCAAATTCACTTGTAAAAGTTTTCCCTGTTCAAATTTCTCATACGTACGTTTTTCTTTGTTATAGTATCGAACTTCAAAAGCGACCGTAAATGGGAAACCATGTATGGCTTCTGAAATGAACTTCATTCTACGAAAGCCAATAGCTTTTGTGACGGATGGGTCTCTTAACCATCTTAAGGGGTAGTCAAAACGATAGCCTTCATGTTTTACGGTCTCTGTCTCAAACTTTTGACCGACATTAGTAAAGTTCATCTAATGGTTTAGTTGTAGCAACTCTTGAATTTTCTTTTCTATTGAAAGCATATTTATCTAGAATAAAAATGTCGAAAGAAACAGCAGTCCATCAGCATATAATTACCAATTTTAGTAAAAATAAACCAAGTATTGCTATTATTGTGCTCACATAAATATTTATATCCTTCAATATTATACCAGTAGAGCTCTTGGTACTGCAAAATATCAACATAACCTTTCTTAAGAAGTCCATTGCCGTATCTTGCAATTAATTTTTGAAATAATAAATCACTGCGGTTCATTGAAAATGCGGAAATTTGATAGTTGCATTTTGAAAAGTGCCAATTGATAACAAAAACTGACAATTTTCCGCATCATAATAATGTATCAAGATTTCGATGATACAATAACTCGGTTATGATATTCACATCATATCGAATTTGATATTTGCCTCTATTTAGTACTTATTTGAAATCTTAGTGAAGTCAATATGAATATCTTAATGATAGCAAATGTATTTGACCGGATTTTGTTAGCCCTTAAAAAGATAAAAATAATCAGTACTACAGAAAATATTGGGTACACTAATTTAAAATCAAATTAAAAAAATGGAGAAAGTTAAAAGATATGAAAATAGTAAATGAAAACAAGTTTGACCACAAGCAGTAGAGAAACTATTTATTACGTAAAAATCAAACCATGAGATGTATTGGCCGTGTTCTTCTTTTCCATCTGCCAAATCGGTTTCTCTCAGTCGAAAATATCTAAAGCGACCTCTCGTTTCAAAACAATAATCTGTTTCAAGATTTTCATCCGTAATCCTTTTAGATTTCTTTTCTTGAAATAAGGTATGAAAGGTTTTGTTATCATTCGAAAATTCTAACGCGTAGCTCGGTGGATGTACATCCCATCTATATCCAATAGTAGTGCCACGTAATTTTAATACTGTGATAAAATATTCGGCTTTTAAATCGATTAGCAAATAATTATTAACTCTTGTATAAAGAAACCAGACATTACTATTATTATACTCACATAAGTATCGATAACCTTCGTTTACATAAAATTCGTTATTTTGTGATTGAAAAATATCAATATAGCCATGCTGAATAAGTTCATGTCCGTGTTTTGCAATCAGTTCTTTAAATAATAAAGCATTACGCTTCATTTAAAATAGAGGAATTTGATAATTGCATTTTGAAAAGTGCCAAATTATTGCAAAATCAGACAATTTTCGCATCATTTTACAGATGAAAGAGTAGCTCAGTCAGGATATCTATATCATATTAAGGATTAGGTATGTCTTTGTTTAGCTTGTAATTGAAAATATACTGAAGTCCAAAAATGTAGGATATCTTTTTAATAATTTTTATATCTGATATGATATTGATAGCTCATAAAATATAAAAATAAGCACTATAGATGTTATTAAAGACTATTTTTTTAAATTTAATAAAAAAATATGGAGAAAGTTAAAAGATAAGAAAATATTAATTGAGAAAAAGCTTGATCACAAGCAGAAGAGAAATTTTTTAGTACATAAAAATCAAGCCATGAGATATATTGGCCGTGTTCTCCTTTTCCATCTGCAAAATCTGTTTCCCTCAGTCTAAAATATCTAAAACGCCTGTTTGTTTCAAAACAATAATCTGTTTCAAGAGTTGCATCTGTAATCCTTTTAGATTTCTGTTCTTGAAATAAAGTCATAAAAGTTTCTTTATCATTCGAAAATTCCAGCGCATAGCTTGGTGGATGTACATCCCATCTATATCCATAAGCAGTTGTGCCATGAATTTTCATTCCGGTAATATAATATTGTGTTTTTAAATCGATTAGCAAATAAGTATTAGCTATTGTATAGAGATACCAGATATTACTATTATTGTACTCACACAAGTATCGATATCCTTCTCTATTAAAATGTTCATCTGTTTGGAATTGAGAAATATCGACATAACCATACTCACTAAGTCCATTTCCATGTTTTGCAATCATTTCTTTAAATAATAAAGTGTTACGACTCATTTATAGAATGAAGAAAAATCATTATAGAAATATGAAAAGTGACGCTAATTACTCATTAAAAGGTCTTCGCACCCGTAAATATAAATGAAGTATCAAAACTGATAATAGTGCCTTATATTAAGCTTGATTTAATTATCCGGATATATAGAGTACTTCGAATTATAATAAAGTCGATATGAGAAAACCCTTCTGATGAAACAATTACTTTAGGATCATGAGATAAAGCATCAACTATTTTGACCAAAAATGTGACAGCAAATGAGATTTCCTGAGTTTAAGAAAATAATCTATTACCATTAAGATTCCATGCCCAAATAAGTACGAAAAACAAAATTGTCATAATTCAGTTATTTCATTTTTTTAATAATTTTTTTCGTTATGAATGAATACAATCCGTCGAATTCAGAACTCAAAAGATATTCTCGAAACATTCTTAAAAAGATGAAAAGAGGCAGATCATTAGAACAAGAAGACATATATTTTCTTTTCAAAAAGATATTAAAATATCCAAATGAAATTAAAAATATTCCACCAGAATCTGCCAAAGCAATCATGGACATTGTATCAAAAGTACATAAATCTAAACCAGATGATGAACAAATCAATGAAGCAACTACAGTTTTATGGAAAGTAATAGAGCCTATATTTACTCCCGTAGATACTCATAAAATTATCGATAATTTCTTAGTTCCAAGAGTTATTCCTACATTTGATGAAAGCCATCCTTTTAAGGAAAGTACATCGCAACTGAGATCAAAAATTTCACCGACATCTGTACTACTATCTACGATAGTTAAATGTAATCCATCTGATAAACAAATTCCTTCCGAATCAATTTCAGGAGTGAAGGATCAAGAATGGATGGATTTAGATATAAATACTAAAATACAATACGAATTAGAGTCAATTGGCCTGGGCGACCAACCAATATTAACAATAACAAATGAATTACGTCAATCATTCATTGAATCTAAAAGATTAGAAACTATATCAATATTTGAATCAAATATCATGAAGAATTCGATCGCACAAAAAATAAAATCCGAACTCAAAAATACAAAAGAAATCACAGCTTTCAATTCAAATAGATTATAATATTTCGATATGTTACGACCAAGTGAAACATTACTTTCGCTTTTTCTTTTTCATATTTTAATATTATTTTCGATTTTTCAACAAATCTTCAAGAAATGTGCATATATTAAAGGTGTATGTTTAGTTAATTAGAATTCAAGCTATAAAACAATTAATCGATTTTCTTGAAGAAAAACTCATGTTTTTGGTATTAAATTATGTTATAAAATTTTTGTTTGTAATAAATAATATCAATAATGATAAATTTTTATATAATTTTTTATTCTTGATTAGACATTGTTTGAATAACGGACTCGAAACGAGTTCTTTCCTCTTCCTTAGTCTTTCCACTAGTTAGAGAAGCGATACCAACAACTTTTGAAAGATAAACAACACCAGATGTACTACCAGCAATGAAAACAGGGAGTTTTGGCGACCAATCTATTGCCGTGAACTCCTTCTTCTCATAAGTACTTAATTTAGCTATAGGATCAACGCTATCTACTGAGACATCCCAAATTCTGCATTCGCCATCTGAACAAGCAGCGGCAAAAACGGTTCCACTTATCGGCGACCACGATATACAATTGAAATTAGCCTTATTCAAATAGAAAACAGCTACAGGTGTCTGTCTATGAGTGTTCCAAATTGCGGCGCTTCCATCACAAGAGCCAGAAATGAACCAATTTGGAGCTAAAGGAGAGAACTTAACAGTTAAAACAGATCTGTAGTGGAATAATAATTTTTGAACAAAATCTTCATTGTATTGAGTATCACAAACGAATAAAGCACCATCTTCTGAGCCAACAACATATATATTTGGCTGTGCATTTGAAAAACTTACACAATGTAAGTCTTCGTATCTTAATGTTTGAGTATCTCCATCTGCACCGGCTGTTTTGAGTTTCTTTAGGGTCACGAGGTCTTTATGTTCAAGGCCATTAGCAACTGTCCATTGTGTGACTCTTCCTCCTGCAGCAACTGACACAATTGCTTCAGATCTGACACGAGTATCAGTTCTCTGCTGGAAAACAACTTCGCCGACATCGCCTTCGTGCGAACCTGTTTCTACTGTTGACATTGCGATGCACTCGCATTTCTTTGAACGAATATCGTATAATCCAATTGATCCGTCTGCGAAACCAGCAGCAATTAGGTATGCAACACCATCAGAAAATACTATAGATTTAGGTACTGATGCTGTTTCGATGATTCTTTCAGGCTGTCCTGGATTTAAAATATTCCAAACGCAAATTAAACCGGCAGAAGGCTCTTCTTTGAATTGGGAGAGCATATTTTCAGGTACTTCGCCGTAAGCAGCTGCAAAGAAGTTAACACTCTGATAGTTAAATGATAAATCTGTAACAGGTCGTGAAAATGTTTGTGAACAATGGAATTTAAGTAGATTTTCCACGTTTTGAGTATCGCTAGTGCAATTTGGTGATGAATATGCTAATATCTTTTCTAAATGAATATTCTGTTGTACCATTCTTTCGATAACGAATAAACTATGACCGAAATCTTTGAATTGCTGTAGAGTTTGATCACTTTCCTTGGAGTTCGGACCGAAATCTATACGAGCTTGAGCATCCAAAAGAGTCTTTTCTGGTGTAGATTGCCATTGATTTGATGCAAGTGGATGACAATCATCTCTCAAGCGATCAAGAGGTCCATGTCTGATTACTCGTTCTGTTGGGTTCGAATCTGTAAGAATTAATTGATGAGAATCGAGTTGAATTTGGACATCATTTTTAATAACTTTATCTGTTTGTGTATCTTTATTTTTCGTGAAAAGGTGGAATGTAAGATTGCCTCTATCTTGTGTTGATGTTGGTTGATATGTTTGATAACGCTCATTTGCTGCTTTTAATGTTTCAGCTTCTGCGCTTGCAATTGAAGCAACAGAACTTTGCTGTGAGAAAAGAGAAATTGTAGGAGTTTCACTTAAATATATATTTACTTCTGGGTCAGTTTGCTTTGCAGCTTCTTGATCCATTTTTTAGGGTAACGTGCGATTTTGTAAACTACAGAAAAAAATTTACAAACGAATTCATTTTCATGAATCTAACCATTTATTAGACATTTCTATGCGGTATAACTCAGCAAAGATTAAATTACATTCAATCACTATGATAATCACAAGAGATGATGCATCAAAATCCAAAAAAATATCAAAAAATTGTCACAAATTTTTACTTTTAGAACTAATATCAATATCAGATTAGTAATACAATGTGATGATATAGAATTTTTGAAACGCATATTACAAAATCTCCAAACAAAAAAATATATTTGAACATTTTAATCAGGAATGAACTTGTACACAATGAAAATCCTTGTATTTTCAGTCGATTTTTCTATTTCACTTACTTAAATTCTATTTATTTATAGAAATATAGTTTGAAATATATATTATTTTCTATAAATTAATCTATTAATTATATTTTATCAAAAATTTATATTTTAGACTTGATTTTAAAAAAGCTGATTAAATAATTCTTTATGTGTAAACAATTAATTCAATCATATAATAATATAGTTTTAATCTTTATAATAATATAAAGTTAGAAATAAGAGCTGAAAGCAGAGTATTGCATTGGCTTGAAGTCCTTAGGTATTGGCTGAGCAGTAAAGCTTGAGAATTCTGGTGTTTTGAGGGTGTTTCCGTCGAATGTCAACGTAACAATTGCTCCTTTATTGTTCATTCTTCCTACATAGTTTGGACTAGAGAAAACAGTGATGCACTTTCCATTGTGCTGCACTAAATAGCCCTCCATCTGCATCTGGTGAGAGCGAATAAGTAATTCGAGTTTTTCTCTTTGAAGGAAAGACTCTGTAACGTCTGGACCGAACATTGTGGTAACACCACGTGGTGACGGTGCCCTTCCGAAGAGGTCCATTGGGTCAGACCATAAAATATCGTTCATTGCACCAAATTCAGGCGGTTGTTGGAATCTATTGGCCATCTGTATGGTCTGTATTGTTGTAGCGTCATCACCAAAGAGGCCGCCGTGGACAACAAGTACTTTTCCGCCTATTATGTGTCCTACCGGTAAATAACAGAACAAATCAGAGAATCTACGGAACATTTCAGCGCTGTACTTAACAGTACATTCGCGCTCGAATCCGTAGAGACCGTTCATTGAGATGGCTTCGTGGTTTCCTCTGTTCAAATAAATAGAATTTGGTTCTGCCACTTTCCAGCAGAGAAGGGTAAGAAGAATCTCGACGCCCATGGATCCACGATCAACGTAATCGCCATTAAAAAGATATGGATTGTCGGCTGATGGATAGCCGAATTGATCGAAAATATAACAAAGATCTTGGAACTGTCCGTGTGTATCACCGACAACACGGATCTTGCCTGTAGTTGAGGATGGATTAATTGAGACGATATTGGGTAATGGCTTCAAAATAGCCTTAATTTTATCGATTAAAGCGATAACTGTTTCTGCTTTTGGACGATTGAAATCACGGAGATACTTGGTCATGTCAATGGCATCTTCGCGCGTAAAATGCTCAAAATCACATTCACCTTCGCTGACTTTTGATTTTGGCTTAAGATCAACTGTAACATTATTTATTTTTTCGGCGAATTTTGCAATGCGTTCGTGGAATTGAAGATACCTCTTGAAGTCTGTAGGATTTGCTTCTTTTAATGTCGGATAAAATAGAAAATCTCTAAATGCCGCATCTGTATCCCTTTCTTTAATATGAATTTTGTGTTGAAGTAAAATTGCCTTCGAATTAGTTTTATCAAGCTCGAGAGCAGAGGTAAGATCTCCCTTGGCTTCCTTAATTTTGTTAAGATTATAGAAAACTTCGGCTCTATCACTGTAAAGCTGAGAAAGCTCGCCATCTATGCTGCTATCCGAGATTTCAGTGAGGATTTGGTTGGAAAATATTGGTGTTGGCGGTCTCGTGATCATTGAGTGATTTACAAAGATTTACACTGAATTGAAAATTTCTGAATTTAAAGGAATAAATGAAAAGGAATTTGATGAGCAATTGTTTCTGATTTTTTTGTAAACGTAATTGCCCTTCTTTTCAGAAAAATTTGGCCTTTAAGGAGTAAAACTACAAATAGAATGCAGTTATTAACAGAGAAATATCCAAAAAATGAATTCAAAAATCATGAAAAAGTGGAATTTAACGTATCTCGGTTGACCTACTAAGAAATTTCCTGTTTGAAACATTTACATTGATATAAAAGGCTATTGTTTTCACAACACGCTAATCCCATGTGGCAATATTTTTGGAAAATAATTCACGTGGATCATATTTTGGGAAAAATTGCGATCTCCAAAACTGTGTGGTTTCACTATTACTAAGTCTATTCACTAGTCCTCACATTGGTTAAGAGAGATATCATGTTGATACTTGATATATTGAAAATTTCACATTGGAATCGATTCAATTCTTAGTATATTCATGGGTGAATGCATTGTACTATACTGATGTTTCAATATAGTGTATTTGCGAACTGTAGAATCGTAAATTATAGAATTTAATATCTATTTGATATATAAGATTGTATTAATATGCCTTGTATTGTATTCTGTGATAAGATTTTGCCTGAAATATCCTATGTTTAGATATTCTGAAAGAAATACTGTTTGTATTTTTGAAAAATAAGAATGTCAATTTCAAATTGAAAAATTTCATCTGAGAATTTCGAAGAAATGCTTAAATACCTAGAAGAGATATGAGTTCAAATGTTTTGAAAGCAAAATTGGTTAATTCATAATTGAAATTTGATGAATTACATTCATTTTGCGATCATTTTGGGTAAAATCTAAATAAAGCATAAATTGTAGAATTATTATAAATCCAAAATTTTTTAATATTTCAAAATTTCTATGGAAAATCATATTTTTTCATTTCATTTTTTAAATTTTGATTTTTTTTTGGAATTTTCTTAAATGAAAAACTTAATTTGGAAGAGAGAGACCTTTATGACCAGACATTTCTCACATAGAAACACAGGGATATGATATAAAAGAAAACTTTTATTACAATATTAAAAAAATATCTATCAAATATTTATCATTTACTTAAGACATAAGAGATGTATTGGAATTTATTTTAGATATTTTGCTATTGAAACATGAAATCTTTGAGGAATATAGAGTATTAAACAAAAATTTTATTAAATTTTATTAAGTAACACTTATTGTAACATGAAGTTAAATGCTGGTCTTATAGTAGCTACGGTATCTCCTGTAATGATGACATTTGGTGTATTCTTCAAGTAATTTTTGATGATCGAAGTTAATTTCATTCCGTGTCTGTATCTTAGTATTGGGTATGCAACAATTCTTCCTGCAACATTAGCGCAGCAAACGCAAAAATGACCACGAGCCCATTGTGCAAGAGAGTTTTTAGGCATTGGTAAGTTATCTTGGACGTAATCCATCATTGCAGGGAATCCGATTGAGATTCCAACTCTATCAACAAAAGCATCGAGATAATCAGAAGCTTTGTAAGTCTTCTTCTTGCCTTTTGTTTCTCTATTGTGCAATGTAGCTTGCGCTGTATATGTTATCGCGGTGAATATGGCTGCAGCTCCAATACCACCGGTAATGTAATATTTAAACGGATGTTGTTCTTTATTTTTGACAATTTCTGCAAATTTTGGACTTGCTTTAACTAATGCCCATGTAGCTAATGGAAATGATGAAAGTTGAGCACCAACAGGTAATCCTGAAAGTGCGATTTTGGCCAAATCAAAGGGTTTTCCATCACCTCTGAGTCCAGCTGAGATGGTAGCAGCAATTCCGCCACCAATAGTTCCGGTCGTGAAAAGGAAAAGTCCTCTCTTCAGCATCGAAAACTTTTTTATAAAATGAAGTGATTTTCAATATACTCAATATAATAGTTTGATGATGTGTAAGTCAAAACAATGAAATTTTATCCGAAATTTCGATTTCGGAATTCGATGATGTTCTCAATCTCTCATTTTTACACAAATAATTAGAAATACAAACAAATATATGACTAAACTAAGTCAGATGTCATACATAAATCTCTTGGATAAAACAATGAAATCTCGAATGAAATCTTTTTTGAATGTCATAAAATCACATTTAAGGTAAACACTTACATAAAATTCGAAGTACCGAAGAAATTTGTTATAGTATCCACAGATACTAACCAATCTGTAGACCTCATTCAAGATATCATTGACAATATTTTGATTTCATCGATCAATTGATATAAGCTATTCATTTACCTTTCGATTAAAACATATTGATTAGTTAATCAATCAAAAATAACATCAATGAAAGAATAATTTTTTTAATTTCCCTTTCTCTCTCTTTTTCTTATCTATAGCATACCCAAAATAAGTTAAAGGAAGCATTTTATCTTGCAGAAATTCATATATAAACTGTCTATGTTGATCAATTTATATCAATTACCTTCTTCCTTTTTCCAAGTATTTCACATTTTACAACTATTCAATAAATGGCGATTTAAAAGGAGTTTTTTTCTATGATAGGGTGAATATTTTTTCTGAATAAGAATGGCATTAGCATATTTACATCATTATCTATCTTTCTACGGTTTTAGAATTTAAAAAGGAGATACAGAAGAAGACTCAAACAATAATAAACGTACATTTTTGTAAACTTTGGAGACGGGCAACTAAACTTAGAGATAACTTAATGAAATTACTGAAATAAACTTATTTATTAATGCAGATCATTCTAGAGCCAATACACACTATTATTATACTTCATATGCTGAAGAAAATTGGCTCAATTTTGGTTTATTGTCATAAATTCATCAATACAAATTGAATGCATTTTAAATTTTTTTTTGCATGGATTTAGTTAATTTTATTACCACTGCTTTCACAGAGAAATCGAAAGAAATCGAAGAAACTCAAAGAAAGATAGCGGAAGTCACAAACGACTACAATAATAATATTAAACTAGTTCAGCAAAGAGATGATATAATTCGCCAACTAAAAGCAACTCTTGCTCAAACAGAAAAACACAATAAAACTGTTAGTCAAAGCATAAATAAGACAGAAAAACAATCGAAACAATATGAAATCCGTGCAAAACAACTAGAACAAAGAATTCAAGAATTAATGAAAGAAGTTGAAGAAAAATCAAACATTCTTACAGAGCGACAACATCAACTTAGTCAAGCACAAGACGAATACTCACAAAAAAGGCAAATGCGCGATTTAGAAAACCATAAACGACTTACTGAATATGAAAATCAGAAGCAAACTATATCATCGAACTACCAAGCTGCTCAAAATAAAATACTTGAACTCCAATCATTTGCGAGGAAGATGAGAAACACAGCAGCAATCGAAATTGACAAAAAAGCATCACAACATTCTCTGAATTGCGAAAGACAAAGAAATATGAACCTTAAAATACTTAAAGTAAACGAAGAGCTTTCCGATACATATGCAAAAAAAGTCCAAGAAGCAGAATCATCCATTAGAAATTCATATAACGAACTTCAAGTAATTCGTGACGAGTTACAAAGATCAGAACAAGAGAAGGTAGATGCTTACGAAAATAACATTCAATATCTTAAAACTCATCTTACTGAACTTAGTAATCAAAATACAATTTTAACCGAAAAACTTCAACAGATAACGCAACAAAGAGAAGCACGAGAAAGCATTATAGAAGATTTAAGAGTTCAGTACTCAAATTTTGATGGTGCTCTCAGTGAACAAGAGAAAAATACAAGATTGAAAATAAAAAAGAAAGCGCGAATTATAAAAGAAGGAAAAGAACAGAATATACTAATGCAAAAGCAAGAAGAGAGTCTCAAACTTGAAATCCAAAGTTTAAAAGAAAAAATTTTCTCAACACAAGCTGAATCACAAAGAATACAAGAAAAGATATCAAAAATGATGACTGAATGCCAAGAAAAACGAGCAGAAGCTAAAAAGATAACAGAAAACCAAGTTAAAAAAAGAGATGATTTGATTTCTGTATTCCAAGATATATCAAACCAAGAATCAGCATTAAAAGATCGAGTAAGAAATGCGTCACAAGAATTAAAACGCCAAATTAACGAACAAAAGCGAGTTTCTGATAAAATGAAAAATTATCGAAACATGATTCATACATTACAAGGGGAAATTGTTCGTCTAAGAACTTTAATTAAGCCATCAATCTCATCATTTGCTGTTAAACCAGGCGAAGGATCATCTGAAGTTACAAATGAAAAGAATCCAGTGGTTTCTGAAGAAAAGAAACCAATAGTAGTAACAGAGGAAGACACATACGGACTGTCTCAAAACAGATTAGATATTAGTGACCTTCCTTCTCTCCATTTTTCAGATGATGACGAAAATGATGAAAGCAAAATAATTGAACAACAAATAGACGAAATGAGAGTCCAAGTAATGGACATGAAGAAGATAGTAGATGAAAAAATGGAAGATTTGGAAACGAAGCGTAAGGATGTTGAAGAATTAAAGAATTCGGAAGAACTAGTAAATCTTAAACAAAAGAATGAAGAATTAAAACAAAAAATGGATAATTTTAATCAGATGAAAGATGATATAGAAAAAATCAATAAAAGCCGCAAATCGGCTTTCAATAAATAAATTGTTTGTATATTATTGTATGAAATAATGTATTTTTCCAAGCTTTAGCTATATTATTAATCAATCAATCAATCAATCAATTTCCTTATGTTATGGAAGTTCAATCATTGAGGATTAATATTATCTACATGACAAATTCTAAGCGAAAATAACCTTCGAAAACTCCAAAATAAATTACAAGCTGCTTAACTTCAAAATTCTCTTTTCTCCAAAATAGAAATTAATTAAACTCATGAGTTGTAAAGTTACGATTTTTTTTCAAGTCAAAAAAAAAACGAAAATATGAGCCTGGATTTCGAATACATTGCTGCTCATATCAGCGATTATATTAATAATGAAAACTTATTCAATACATTTGATATCGAAGCTATCAAAACAATCATGAAATATTCACGTTTGACAGCAGATCAATATGTTACTCTTCTGAAACAATCTTCATCAACTCTCAAAGCCAAAGAATTATATATCTGTACACGGAAGGCAAATGCTCGTATCCAAAATCTCGAAGAAGTTGTTTCAATTCTTAACTCTGTGAAAAGATACATGAAATTCAATATATTTGATGGTATTATAGATTTTTTAAAACAAAATGTGCAAGTGATAAACAATTCTACGAACAAAACAGAAATATTTCAAGATAAAACCAAAGCGTTTCAAAATGAAAATGCAAGTGAAAATACGACCAAAGATACAACTATCAAAGCAACTAATGAAAAATACAATCATTCACAAGATATTTTAACTAAAATTACAGAACTTAAGGAATCTAATGATTTCGAAACCGTTTACAAATTCCTTGATGAACTTTCTTCGAAAGGAAACCATGACATGATTTCAAAATCAATCGAAGCAGGACTTTGGCAAAAGATTGCTCCTAAAAAATATGAATATGATCCTGAGAGTAATGTTCTTCATTTAGCAAATGAAAACGGAAATCTCAGACTTGTTCAATCACTTATCGAATGTGGCTGTGATAAAGAAGCAAAGAATAAATTTGGATATACTCCACTCATTTGTGCATCATCTTATGGTCAACTTGAAGTTGTTAATTATCTTATCTCAGTTGGAGCTGATAAAGATGCAAAGAATAAATTTGGATATACTCCACTCATTTGTGCATCAGAAAATGGTCATCTTGGCGTTATTGAATATCTTATCTCAATTGGAGCTGATAAAGAAACAAAGAATGGTTATGGATATACTCCACTCATTAAGGCATCATCTAATGGTAAACTTGACGTTGTTAAATATCTTATCTCAGTTGGAGCTAATAAAGAAGCAAAGGATAAATATGGATATACTCCACTCCTTTGGGCATCAGAAAATGGTAAACTTGAAGTTGTTCAATATCTTATCTCAGTTGGAGCTAATAAAGAAGCAAAGGATAATCTTGGATATACTCCACTCATTTGTGCATCAATGCATGGTCATCTTGAAGTTGTTCAATACCTTATCTCAGTTGGAGCAGATAAAGAAGCAAAGAATAATCTTGGATATACTCCGCTCATTAGGGCATCAGAAAATGATAAACTTGAAGTTGTTCAATATCTTATCTCAGTTGGAGCTAATAAAGAAGCAAAGAATAATGATGGTAAAACTGCAATGATGATTGCAAAAGGTAAAGTAAGAGATTACTTAAAAACTATTTGTGCTAACTAACTCAATCATATACTTATTTAAAAATTCATTTAGTCAACTTTTCAAACTATATTTTAATTTTTAATGGTGAACTTTTTCTGCCATTTTGTCTGATCTGTGGGATATATTAAAGAATTAAAATACAACTATTCTATGATATGAAAATGACAAGCATATCAGGTTTCTTTTTGTCCGAATTAATTTTATCATTGTCGTCTGCACAAGAGAAAAATCAAGTTAATCGAACAGAAAAAGGAAAGATAAAAATAAAGTTAATATAAAAGAAAAGGGAAAGAGAAAATTAAAGTTAATATAGAACAGAAAAAGAAAAGAGAAAAAATAAAGTTAATCGAACAGAAAAAGAAAAGGGAAAAATCAAGTTAATAGAAAAGAGAAAAAGAAAAGAGAAAAATTAAAGTTAATATAAAATATTTAGAGAAAAAGAAAAATTGTCTTTTCTTCGCTTATGGTTTATACAATGGATCAACAGACTTCCGCAATTTAACACCGAACACATTTCCTCCATCAGAAGGCTTATCCTCCTTCGGCTGTTCCTTTGTTTGTTTGTTCTTTCTTCTCTTCTGTAATCCGAAAGGAGTTTGCACGTATTCGAACTCATCATTATCCTGAGGAGTTTCTTCCTTCTTCTGTTCATTTGTCTGTTTCTGTTCAACAGGTTTTGGCTCTTCTTTCTTTGGCTGCTGTGGCTGGTTTTTACGACGTTTTTTAAGGCCAAATGGTGTCTGTACGTATTCAAATTCATCATTATCTTGTGGTTGGGGTTCTTTCTTCTGTTGGGTGGGTTCTTCTTCTTTCTTGGGCTGTGGCTGGTTCTTGCGACGCTTCTGAAGGCCAAATGGGGTTTGGACATACTCGAAATCGTCATTTTGTTTGGAATTATCTGTATTTTGCTCTGGAACTGTATTTTCTGGTTCATTCTGGGTTGGTTCTTCTGTATTCTGTTCTGTTTCTGCTGGAATTTCTTCTGTTTCTTGTGGTTTTTCTTCATTTTCTTGGGATTCTTCTGGAACTGCTTCTTCTGGCTTAGTTTCGGGTTCCTCTGGTTCTTGTTGTTGCTGTTCTTCATCATCTACCTTTGTTTCTTCTTCTTTTGGCAAATTTTCGTTTGGTATTTTTTCAATTTCTTCTGTTTGAGGTTCTTCTTGCTTCGGTTCCTCTTCTTTAGGTTGTATATCTTCTGTTGGCTGTTCGCTTGGCTTTTCTTCTTCTGTATTTGGAATTTGATCTGAAATTTGTTCTTTTTCAGGGGTTTGCTGCTCAACAACTTCATTCTGATCATTCTTCGGCTCAGATGGTTGAGGTTCTTCTTGTTTCTGTTCTGTTTCGTTTTTACCAGATTTAGCATTTGTTGCCTCTTTAGGAACTTTCCTAAGTTGCGGCTTCACGAAAACTGGTTTTTCTTCCTTTGGTTTCGGAGGTGCTTCTTCTTTTACAACTTTTCTCAACTTTGGAAGCAAGAAAGCTGGTTTTTCTTCTTCTTTTGGCGGAGGTTCCTCTCTTTGGACCTTTCTGAGCTGCGGTTTGACAAATCCTGGCTTTTCTTCTTCTTTCTTCTTATCTGGCCTTTCCACCTTCTTGAGACTCGAGTTCTTTAAGTCTGCGGCGCTGATTATTGGCGTTCCGTCCATTGGAGGTGGAGGTCTTGATGTATCTGGTGCAGGAGCTGGAGTAGGAGTGCTGTAGTCGTCGTAAACGTGAGTATCATCCCTTTCTTCAGGTTGATATTGATATTGTTCCACTTCTTCTTCGACAGGTGGTGGAAGATTTACTAAATTCTTCGGTTCTTCAGTTTCTTCGTATTGCTGAGCTATGCGGTGTCTTGGCCTTTCATCAGAGACTTCTTCGTCATCTGATGAGTAAGAATCTGAATAATCTGATGATGAGCTCGATGACTCTTTCTTTGCCTTCTTTGGCAAAGGAGGTGGTGCAGGAGCTGATAAATTAACAGCTGGTGGCGGTGGAGCAGGAGCTGCACCAGCAGATGGTGGAGGAGGACTGTTTGGAGTTGCTTGTGGAAATGCAGGGGGAGCAAATGCAGGGGGTTGAGCATTCGGATTTGCTGCTGGAAATGCAGGGGGAGCAAACGAAGGGGGAGGCTGGTTTGGATTTGCCGGTGCGAACATTGGCGGCGGCTGGTTTGGCGCTGCAGCAGGGAATGCTGGCGGCGGCTGACTTGGAGCTGCTTGTGGAAATGCAGGTGGTTGAGCATTTGGCTCCAACGGAGGGAATCTTTGTCCAGGTACAAATGGCTGTGGCTTGTAAGGCTGCTTCTGCGGCTGCTCATCATCGATAAGCCTCAAAGGCGCTCTGAATGCATCTAATTCGTTCTGTTTTACGGATTCCGGAGGAAGTCCTGGTATCTGGTGAACATCTGTCTTTGGAACTACCGATTCCGATGATACATCGCTGCGTCTACGTAATGTTGTACCAAATGGAGTGGAAGCTGTTTCGAAATCGTCATCTCTCTTTGGCTTGGCCGTTGTAGGAGATGGTACCGGTCCTCCTGGTGGCGGAGGAGGCTTGTTTACCAGTAGTGGAATTAATGGCATCTGATTTGAGTTCTTGAGAAGTCCCTGGGATGGTTTCTCTGCCGGAGGCAGAATCATCATCTTCATCTGACTGCAGGATTTCGAAGAATCGTTATCTTCATGAGTATTACTTTCATCCTCATCGCTGACTTCGAACTTTGTTGGCACGTAAACGGGGTTTGGAAGTGCAATATTATTTCCGAGCGGTTTTTTGTCTGATTTCGTGTTATCTGGTGGGTGGAAGCTAGCAAATTGTTCAGGATTCTTTGCGGAGATGTCGTTGTAGATTTTCTCCTCAGCTTCGTGATCAGGAGATTGATATAATTCATTGCTTGATGGAGGAAGCTTGAATTTATCTCCATTGTATTGTATCTTGTCTGAATCTTCATCAGACAACTCTTCTCTGTAATTAAGAACTTTCTGTACTGTTTTAATCTTCATTTGATCTTCGGTAGCACTAACAGGCAGTGGAACAACAATAGATACACCTTTCTTTTGGTTTGCATTCGCGTCTGATGTTTGTTGATTGTTTGGACTTTTGATATTATCTTGCAAAATATTTGACTTTCCTTTTGCAGAATTTTCTTGTTGTAAAGATGATTTCTGTTGATTTGGATTGCGTAATATTGGGTTTGCGGCTTGTTCTTTTGTATTTGATGGTTTCGAAATATTTGCTTGATTTTGAGGCGAAATCGCATTAGATTTGTTATCTGCCTTTCCAAATGATTCTTGTGATGCGTTTTTCGCATTTCCTCCGATTGTATTTTTCAAATTCTGATTTCCTGTCCTTTCAATATTTGATTCTTCATTGTTGGCAGCATTTACCCTGCCTGCAAATGCTCCTTTCGCTGTCGATTTTGCGCCGGTAGCCGCAACTTTCGATTCAAATTCTTTTGGAGTTGCGAGTGGGCTAGAAGGCGTAGGAGACGGCGGAGGAGGTGGTGATGTAGTGTGGAGGCGAGAGGGCGGTGCTGGCTTAACAAGCGGAATTTTGTATTGATCTTGAGATTGAGAAGGTTGTAGTTTACCTGCTGCAGCAGTCTTGCCCGATTTGTTACGTTCTGCTAATCTGGCTGCTAAAACGGCCTCAAAAGCGTTTACATTATTTAGCTTTAATTCAACCAACGGAGGTTCATTATCTTCATCCTTGCCGCTTTGTGCAGCCCCATTGGGAGGCGGTATATTCGATGTTTTAGGAATATCGCGCTTAAACGACGATGCATTATTAGATTGAGCCACTCGCGTTGGAGGTCTTCTTGTTGGAGGCCTTCTAGCAGGTACAGCGTGTTTAGACGAGGAATTATCGGTATTAACGACGTCTCTTGATTTTCTGATCACAACTTCTTCGGAAGTCGGAATATAGACATCAGTAGGCGCTCTTTTAATGTTTGCAACTTCTTTAAATTTATCCATCCATGAATTTAACTCATCTTGCGTTTCAACATGAATTACATAGGCTCTTTTTTGATTCGGCCATGATATTTGAAAAGCGGGCTGATACTTAACTGTCGTATTTAAGGCAATAATGGAATTAGAAGCGATTGTAAATGAACCTTTTAATTTTTTACCTTTCTCTGTGTAATAGATAGCCGATCCTGGAAATAATACAAGCCATCTTTTCTTCCAGGTTTTAATTCGTCCACCTTGCTTAATAATCCATCCTTCCTTTAATATTTTCGACATTATAAGTTTTCTAAAAAATTTCTATAAAATGTAAATTCACTTCACTTTGAAAAGTAAATCAATTTTTTTAAATCACTTTTGCATAATGAGATTGGATTATGAACCTTTGATTTCCCAATAAGAAATTAGGTTTTATTTGAAGGGGACTTTGGAATTTAGCAAAATTGAATGGTTTAATATTGAAAATTTAGATGCAATTTTTTGGATGTGGAGCCAATGATATTGAAATCTATATTAATTTCAAAAAAATTAATTTGATTTAACAGAAAATCAATATTGTTTGAATTTTTAAACCTTTCATTATTAGTGTCGTGGATATGATATTTCTTTCAAGTCATCGTATTGAATAAAAGTGACATCTAATTTCATCAAATTTTTGAATTGATTTATCTGTGAGATGCATTCAAATGTTTTCAGTAATAAAGTATCATTTTAATACCAATCAATATACGATTAATTTTTGCACCATTATCTTTTTGCATATCAAAATCCGTTTAAATAATTCTAATGAATACTATAATAAAATCACACTATCGCGAATTAAAAAAATTGAAGTAAAATTCTACTCTTTGATCAAAAATTATACTCAACAATTAGTCACAGTCAATTGGTATATTTAAGCATCAATTTTCCAGGGGCCAAAAAATAATTGTTATCCAGTGGTTAGGGAATTATGGATTCCAAAAACATAGTTTGCGATCAATAAAACCTTTATACATTTATATATCAAATCAATTTCGTTCCATCTAGAAGATCAAATATTTCTGTTGCAGGTCATTTGACAACTTTTCAAAAAAACAATTGTAATCTTCTCAAATATTCAAATTCTTTCAATTACTTACGCGGAATAATAAATAAATTTAACTCAAGTTTATTTTAGCTCATATGATGTTTCGGAATATTCGGAACAGTAAACAAAACCAATTCCTAAATCATTTATTTAGGGATATAAATAAAAAAACCTCAAAACAAAATTTTATCTTAATATTTGGAAAAAAGATGAAGTGATTATCAGAAAGGAATGGACAACTACAAACATGGATTGCGAAAATCATTACTGGTTCTGTGATATGCTGATATATAATTTATTTTGATTTTAATAATCAAGGTTATAAATGTATAAGAGTGAAAACACAATTGTAAGTGCATTGTAACTTGATAGAAGACATCAACATAATGTAGTGTTGCAAAAATGGATTCATTATTGAAAATATCTTAAAAAAATAATATAATTATGTAAAACAAACACCGAAAATACAAATACGCGATTGTTTTGCAATGAATCTGCTTTTTAATTATTTTTTTTATCCAAATTCCTTGGAGAGATGCTGTTATTAAATAGGTGGAATAACATATCATTATCTGCACAAATTGGCCAGTCTTATAGAAATTGAAATTGCGTCATTTTTGAAAATGGTCAAATTTTGTTCCAAAATTCAAAATGTAACACCAGAAACTAGTAATCAGGACCAAACTTACCATATGATAGTATATTTCTTGTGCGAATGCTCATTTAAGATCACTCATTCGCTCATGTAAAAAATAGTCACTTTTTTCTTTCAAACTAAAATATCATTTTCTTTTCAGTTAGGTTCTTCAATCTTAATAAATAGGTTTTTCATCTGTCATGCTATTTTGTTAGTGAACTTGTGGATCTATTCCGATTGACTTTCTTAACAATTAGGAGTGAGTTTTTTTTTAATATCATATCCAGCTTGCAATGTTTTTGAAGTATCATAAAATTGATGCAAAATGCAATAAAAATTAAAAACAATAAAGATGAAAACTGAACTCGCAACAATGGATAAAAAATTCATGAATTATGACGATGGAACTTGAAATGCTAACAAAAGTGATCTCCATATGTTAAATTTAATAGATATTATTGGTTATTAACATATTTCAGAAAATTTTGTGTGGAGAAATTAATTGAGTCTTATATGCAATATCATTGGAAACTCTGTCGTTGAAGATTGGCCTACAAATAAAGAATCAAGCTATATGTATGAATTATTCAAAGACTTAGTAAGAATTCCAATCCAAACAATGAGATGAGAAATTTCGAATTATGTTCCTTTCTGCATGTAACATAGATTTTTGCTACTTCCTTTAATTAATATTCGTTGTTTGCATGCAAAAAGTGGAAAATAGAAAAATTGAATTAAAAAACAGTTTTATCCATCTGTAAAAATTGACAGTCAGAGAAATCTATTCTATACTCACTCAGATTTTATTATCATAAAAAGATAAATACTAATCAGAGACCGATTTCAATCTTATTGGTTTTGATAATAATGAAAAGTTCTAAAAAGGATTCAATAAGTTTATTATCAATGTATAGTGTGCAATGAATTGCAGGAAATCATTTTTAACAAAAATTTTATTCGAAACGAATTTCTCGAATAATTTTCTCTAAAATATATGTAGAGTATATATTACTCATGATTTGGAAACCGATATGATCATTGTGAATAAACGTGGCCATAAAATTGACAAGCGAGGTCAAAATTGAAAAGATGAATGGTCTTATTCATTCAAAAAAATCATGTAAACTATTGAAAAATCAAATATTTTAGTGATTTTCCTTCCCTTTCCATTATGCAGGACTCAGACTTCCTTTATCAATTAGATGCTGCAGTTCTTGATGCTCATTCGCAGCGCAAATCAGCGGAAAACTTCGCAAGCTCAATTAAAAAATTCATAGCTTATGTTGAAGAGAATTCAAATTCTACTTGCAGCCTTATCCATCTCTGCAAAGAGTTCCACTTTCAGCGCAGAAGGTTTTATGACGTAATTAATGTTCTCGAAGCTCTTAATTTCTGCAAAAAAACGGGTGTAGATGAAATGGTTTGGTATGGTCGAGCTAATTTCAAGAAAATGCTCTTACAGATCAAGAAGTCATCCATAAAGGAAGAAAACAACTTTGATCAATGCATCTCAATTTCCGTACTCACCGTTAGATTCATCAAATCTTTCTTCACTTTCAATTCACAGACAATTAACATCAAGGATATTGGTAATTACTTATCAAGAGAAAATGGACGCACCAAAACAACAACATGTAAACTTTATCAAATTGCACACATTCTCGAAGCAGCATCCGTTGTTGAGAAAACAATTATGCCAGGCGAGATCAGCTTACCTGAGGAGTATTTCAGAATAGAAGAAACTCAGCCAAAGATACCATTCACCATCGAACAATTGTTAAATACTCCGGCACCGATAAAGTCAATGCAGCAGGATTCCGTCCTTCTCGATGTTGATGATCTCGCTTCTCACCTCGCTGCTTAATTTATACATTTTTTCTTTTGTTTTTCATAAATTTTCTTTCTGTCTGCATATTATTGGCTTAATTATTCAAATAATGCATCTTGGATTCTACAATTTTAACCGAATCCTATCTAAATTACCTCCAAAGAAGGTCGAAAATTCTTCAAATTATCATATGACAGCATGAGTTTCATTGTTGTTCATGAAGCCGAGACGACTCTAAATTTATTGTGATAACTCTTAACCGAAATATTATATCTTATTTTCTTTCTAACAACTAAAATCTACTTTTTAACATTATTTTTTCGAAAGTATTTGCTTTCATATGCATACATTACCTTTAATATAGTCTATGTTTGCGGCTGTTTGACCGATTTGAATATCTTAAGTTCTCACAAAAGGGTTGAAAAAATTTCCGAAAGCTAACCTTAATTAGAATGACATCAAATTAATCTGTAAAAACATAAATAGATATGAAAGGGGAAGGACTTTCTTTATAATTAAGATGATCTACCCATTAACAATAAATGAACGAATAAACTCTCAAAATCTTACAATTCAAGTTTTGTTTGAGATTTATCGATTTTGGATAAATTATTGTATACATTAAATAGAATTGATTTCTCAATTAAAAACATTTATCGGTTTTCAGGGACAAATTTTGGAGAAATATCAATTGAAAGTTTTCTCCACTTTTCGGTTTTATATTCGGTCGATAATCGAATGATAAAACATGCAACTTACTATACATTAGAATTCAAATCTACATTTTTTTGCAAAAAATATGGAGAAATTAATTTGGAGAAATCCAATTACACTCGATTGCATCTATTACTAATGATATGTTAATTTTCACATTATGGTGAATAGAATTTACATATCCATTATCCATTTTTTCTCAAATGACAAAATAAAAAAATTCATTATGATGAAGAAATCCTTCATAAGGGAAAATAATATAATAAAATTGAATTTTTATTTTAAATTAGGAGTTTCAGACTCTAAACATAAATTTCCCAAAATGTTATTCAAGAAATATTGGGCTCATGATTGTACAACCTTTAAAATCTAAACTCATTCAAGATACTACTTGAACTTCGGCTTAAATGTTGATCGAAAAGGGATTTTAAAATATTTGCAAAAAAATACAAATATAACATTTATGAATGATTCTTATTGTTGAGGATTACATATGTGAGTGGGTTACGAAGGTGGCATGGTTTGTGAATGATTCATATTTTTGAGGATCAAATGGATTTACATCGTGACTCACTGGAGTCATTTACAAAATTATACTTTATAAGATAGTTCGTCCTCATAATACAAGCACTAGCTAACACTCTGATTGCAAAACTCATGAGTTTTCTATGATCAAGACCAAGTAAAATTGATGATTTGTTATCACTTTTATAATTTTTATAAAAAAATGGGAAAAGTAGTAAAAGTTATTCAGCTTATTACTCTTCTTTTAAGCTGTTTACTTGCGTTTCTTATACGTCAATTCGCTAATGTTATAAATGAGCCGCTTATTCACGAATTTGATCCTCAATTCAATTGGAGATGTACACAATACATTGATAACCATGGTTTATATGAATTTCTCGGCTGGTTTGATAATATTTCATGGTACCCTCAAGGAAGGCCAGTAGGAGAAACAGCATATCCTGGCTTAATGTATACATCTGCCATTGCCAAATGGGTTCTTCAAAAAATCCATATTATTGTCGATCTTCGTACTATTTGCGTATCCATGGGTCCATCCGTTTCAATTTTGTCCGTACTTGTCGCTTTCTTATTTGGAGAACTTGTCGGATCTGCTCAATTAGGAACATTATTCGGAGCCATTACTAGTTTCATTCCAGGTATGATCAGCCGTAGTGTTGGTGGTGCCTATGATTACGAGTGCATTGGCTTATTTATCATTGTTTTATCACTTTACACATTTGCTCTTGCATTGAAGTCCGGTTCCATTCTCTTTTCAATTCTTGCTGCATTCGCATACTCATATCTTGCTCTTACCTGGGGTGGCTACGTTTTTGTTTCAAATTGCATCCCATTATTTGCTGCAGGCCTTGTTGCCATTGGCAGATACTCCTGGCGCCTTCATATCACATATTCCATATGGTTTATTGTTTCTTCAATCCTCACAGCCCAAGTTCCTTTCATTGGCGACAAAATCCTTAAGAAACCAGAGCACTTTGCCATGCTTGGCACATTCATTGTTATGCAAATTTGGGGATTCTTTACATTTGTTAAGTCTCACTTCTCTCCAACAACTTATAATTCTGTCGGAATCACATCCATCTTAATTCTCCCATCTTTCCTCTTACTTATGATCACCGTTGGTATGTCAACAGGTCTTCTTGGTGGATTCTCCGGCCGTCTTCTCCAAATGTTCGATCCAACTTATGCCTCGAAGAATGTTCCAATTATCAACTCCGTTGCCGAACACCAGCCTACTGCTTGGGTTAAGTATTATTCCGACTGCGAGCTCTTCATCTTTTTCTTCCCTCTTGGTGCTTATATTGTTATTTCATCTCTCATTCGCACACAAAACACTAACGACCAAAGAGAACTACAGCGCGCCGAAACCTTATTATTACTCTTCATTTACGGCTTCTCAACTTTATATTTCGCTTCTATTATGGTTCGATTAGTTTTAGTCTTTACTCCAGCATTAGTCTTCGTTGCAGGCATTGCCATTCATCAACTACTTCGCGAATCCTTTAAACCAAAGTCATTTTTACACCCAGTTTCCCTTACAATGATAATAATAACATTTATTATCTGTTTACACAGCGTTCTCCACGCCACGCACTTCGCCTGCTACTCGTATTCAGGCGACCACCTTCATTTCAACATCATGACACCACGCGGTGTCGAGACATCTGATGATTACAGAGAAGGCTACAGATGGTTGACCGAAAACACGCACAGAGACGACATTATAATGAGTTGGTGGGATTACGGCTACCAGATCACTAGTATGGGTAACAGAGGATGTATTGCTGATGGCAACACGAACAATTTCACTCACATTGGCATCATTGGCATGGCCATGTCCTCTCCAGAACCAATTTCATGGCGAATTGCAAGACTTATGAATGTTAAGTACATGTTAGTTATTTTCGGAGGTGCCGCACAGTATTCTGGTGATGATATCAACAAGTTCTTGTGGATGCCAAGAATTGCACACCAAACATTTGATAACATCACAGGTGAAATGTATCAGATTCCTTATAGACATATCGTTGGTGAATCAATGACAAAGAATATGACGCTTTCTATGATGTTCAAGTTCTGCTACAATAACTACAAGTACTACCAGCCACACCCTCAATTCCCTACTGGTTATGATATGACTAGAAGAACTCCTATTCCAAATATCAAAGATATATCAATGTCACAGTTCACAGAAGCTTTCACAACAAAGAACTGGATTGTCAGAATATACAAAGTCGGCGATGATCCCCAATGGAACCGCGTATACTAATATAAAGGAATATATACATTTTTTTTGTTATTATAAACATATCAATTATAAAATTACTCTAAGTTATTTTGATAATTTCAAAGTTTCATTATTTTGATTAATTAATATTTATAGAAATACATTTGATTTCATTAATCCAATTACTAGCGATTGCATCTATTGGGTTTCACGTCTGTATAATCTTTAAAGTCTAAACTTATTAAAGATGCTCGAACTTCAACTTATATAACATTTAAAATCAAACTTGAGCATAATTTATGAATACTTTAGAAATATTGTAAACATTTCTAAATGCTTTAATATAAATCTAATCATGGATTTCAGTATTATCTATTTCTAGTATATATTCACATATTAATATTCTCCATGAGAATTCTTATTATTGTTTTGCAATAATATACTGTGGAAAGCATTTGATTCAATTAATTAAGCAGATTTTTCGCGATTTTTTTTAAAAAATTATCGTAAATAAAATGATATTTCACGAACTTTTTATTCTATTCGCTTTTTACGTTGTTTCGTGATATATGTCCGATAATACTTACATCATCTTCGTCATCATCGTGGTAAGAAACAAAATCTTCTTCGACTTGTTCGCCAACGACTTCTCCGAATATATCGAATTTATTTATTGCTATGCATGGAGGATATCCTGGACATGGAGCATTTTGAATTATTCTGACGTAAGTTGTAGTGTAAGTGTTATCTAATTCATAGCTTTTCTCCTTGCACAACCTCATTTCTTTATCCTTCTCGACTTTGTGGACGTCCTTCCATGTGACATTGTCATCGGAAATTTGCAATGACCAAGAATACAAGCAGCAATCAAAACATCTATGGTAGAATTCGTCTTCGCAGCAGCACCCCTCTTCGTAGCAGCAGCCAGATCTAATAAAGTATCCTTTTATTTTGATTTTTCTGGATTGAAGTGAAAAAGTAATATAAGGATGCTCAAAATATGTATGAGCACAATTAGAACACCAGTCGTATGTCTTATCCCATGGATAAATTGCGTACTCTGGCTTTGTAATTTGTCTTGAACCGTTGATGTATTGTTTTGATGATCCACTGGCATAGATGTTTATAATTTTGCTATTATAAACTTTACTGAAGATACCATCACTATTAAGGCTTAAACAATTGACAGAAAATAATGTTAACATAAAAATGACACTTTTATTGAAAAGTGCAACTCATTCAGAAATTTAGAATTCACCAAAGAGTTTGGTGTATAAAATAACAATATATCAACTTCTATATTAGAGAACTGCATCAAGATCCTATTCGAGAATTTAGAAAGCATCTTTAAGTCAAATTCTGGTTGATATTAGATTTTTTTTTAAAAAAAAAGTAAAGGGTTTGTTTATAATAAGATGTTAATTTTCAAGAGTTTTAAAGAATGCTAATCATGACAATTTATAAATTAATTATCCCCAATTTTTTTCGTTCTTCTAAGGCTAATTGGGGAGAAGCTTCCTAAACTTTTTAATCCCATAAATATGGTCATTATCTGGAATAAAGAGTTAAGCGTCATATGTCACTTTTTGTACTAAGGAAACATCGACTTTATGCGTTATGACTTTTCGATGAGGAAACAAGTGTTCACGTATTATAAACTTCCTTATTCCAATAAACCGACCCTAAACATAATTAATTCTAAGCATGATAATGGTCTCTTTTCTATGATAACCAAATCAATTTGGTTATCATAGTAAAGCACCAAAAACTGGAATAGGAATAACCGCACTTAAACAGAAATAGGCAGTGTGGAAACTAGAGAAGACTCAACTGATTTTTTAAGCAACTCTTCTTGCCGATTCAAATCTGCTTTGCTAATCATTGTATATTACTATATTCTGATTAGGATACTTTAACGCTTGATGCATGCACATCATTCTTTTAGCTGATTTCTAAAATACAATCTTCTATTAACTTTGAAATTTCTTCAAAAGTTATAGTAATTCCATAGTTCATTCGTAAAATGTTATTAAATAGCTCTGACTATTCCTTTGCACGCAAAATGAGGTAGTATTTTTTGAATTTTTTACTCAAAATAAAACAAAATCTACCCAATTTTATACCACTAAAGCCTATATTGACACACACATATATAAATCTCTATTGTTATAAGATAAATTTGAAAAAATAAATTTTTTTCCTAAAATGTAAAATTATACTTGTATTCAAAGAAAGTAGATCGTTTATAAGGAAGGTATTATATATTTGGGGAGAAAATCCCTTACAATATACAAAAATATGAAAGAATATTCAATCATCAGGAAAGAGCTTAGTACTAACCATTTGTGAGACGTTCATATAATATCTTTTTCCTTTTTGGGGTTTTTAATCGGATTATCCATTTCCCTGCATTGACTTTAATTCATTCTTGATGATCTGAGTATACATGATCATTATCGAACGTTTGCCATACTCTTCCACAGTTAATGATTGCTGAAAAATGAATAGTACTGAATAACAGCTGGAATTTCATAAGTATTTTGCGTATTTATACTGATTTAAACATGAAATACTCATACAAAATGCAAAGTTTTTAAAAACAATCAATAAAAGATTTTAAATTAGATAAAATATCATATGTCACTTCTTTTTTCATCTGGATAATAAAATTGATAAATTTTTTTCTAATTAAAGATAAAGATGCATTTATAGTAGTAGAAAATTAATTTCTAGACTAAAGCTTGTTTATTGTCACCGTTTTAAGTCTAAATTTATAGGAAATGGTTATTTTATTATGCATTAAAAGTTCTTCTATAAAATTAACATTAAAATCATCTTTCGCCTAAGAGTAATAACAAGGTTATGCAAATTTTATTGAAAATAGTACGAGAATTTTGTTTGAAAATATAATATGGTTAAAAATAGGGAATGGATGTATGAATGTTCCATATTTATTTTATCCGAGTTGCTTCATGATTCCATATTGCCGATTCCTATTCCAGTTTTTGGTGCTTTACTATGATAACCAAATTGATTTGGTTATCATAGAAAAGAGACCATTATCATGCTTAGAATTAATTATGTTTAGGGTCGGTTTATTGGAATAAGGAAGTTTATAATACGTGAACACTTGTTTCCTCATCGAAAAGTCATAACGCATAAAGTCGATGTTTCCTTAGTACAAAAAGTGACATATGACGCTTAACTCTTTATTCCAGATAATGACCATATTTATGGGATTAAAAAGTTTAGGAAGCTTCTCCCCATTATTTGTCTCGGACTCATTCTAGGTCCTTTGCCTATAGGTGTAGTTGAAACTCTCTTTTGTTGATATTCTTCTGATAAGTAATAGAGCGCCGTTTTTCCATCGTTATCCTTAGCATCTTCATCAGCTCCAACTGATATCAAATAATCAACTATTTTACGCCTATTTTCCTTTGATGCACAAATGAGTGGAGTTCTTCCACGATCATCCTTTGCTTCTTTATTAGCTCCAATTGAAACAAGATATTTGACTATTTCAAGATGACCATATTCTGATGCGATAATGAGTAAGGTCTTTCCATTATCATCCTTTGTTTCTTTATCAGCTCCAACAGAGATCAGATATTTCAGTATTTCAAGATCATTTATAACTACTGCACCTCTTACAGCAGTCTCTCCTAATATATTTTTTGCATTGATATCAGCTCCAATTGAAACAAGATATTTAACCATTTCAAATTGACCATTCTCAGCTGCATAATACAGCGCATTTTCTCCACTCCCGTCTTTCGCATCTTTATTAGCTCCAACAGAGATAAGATATTTAACAACTTCGAGATGACCATTATACGATGCACGCATAAGCGGAGTCCATTTAGCTTGACTAGTTGCATCTTTATTCGCCCCAACTGAGATAAGATATTTCACGACATCAAGATGACCATTATTTGCTGCCTCAATAAGAGGAGTATTTCCATTGTAATGATTTTTTTTTGTTTCTTTGTCACATCCACAATCAATTAAAGATTTAACAAGTCTGAGATTTCCATTTCTTGCAGCTTCATGAAGTATTGTTCCTGATTCATTTATATACATATTCTCTTCCCAAAGCCCTTCTTCACATGCTTTTGACATCATTTTTTGATAACCTTTTTGTGCAAGATCATCAAGGAAATGATATATATCACCAAATGCGCGATTACCATCCCCATTCTTGAATTCAGCGATTTTTGATAAAATTTCTTTTGATTCAAAATTTTGTCCGAGTTTTCTGTTTTCCTCATTCAAGTTGGCAATCTCTTTTTCATTGCATTCAAGCTTAGATCTGAGTGACTGTATTTCTTTTTCAAATTTTTGCTTTTCATTTGTAGTGACATGTAGATCTGATTGTAATTGATCTATTTTCTTTGAATTATATGACAAATACCTCTCAGTTTGCAGTAAATTATCAATTATTCCATTTAAAAATTTGTAATGAGCATACTTTTTAACTGATGATAAAATAGAAATGACTTCTTGGAAAGTATCTACTGAAACGTTTGTATTTAATACATACGGAAAGAGTATGTTTGCATTGCCAGTCCTTGATACTTTATCCAGAACAATATTGAATTCGGATAAGGTTAATTTTGCAAGTTTAAAGATCTTTGCGATATCATTTGGTTCAAAAATATCAAAAAACCTATCATCTTCAATATATTCCATAATGTGAGCTGCGGTATACTCGAAATCCTGAGTAAGTCCCCTCGACATTTATAAGTCGTATAAAGGGTAATTTTTTACCCTTAGTTCGACTTTATTAAAATTTATAATTTTAAATGAACCAATAAGTTGTGCAGTATATTGCTTATCCTTTGCGTAAAATTCGACTATTAACTACAATAATTTATAATAATTTTTACATAATTAGAGATAAGGTTGCTTGCAATATTTTTTTGACATTCTTATGAAGAAATAATAATTCTTCCTGCTTGTTTTCAGCCACATTAATGTCTTAAAAATGAAAGCTCAATAATAGAAGAAAAAATAATCATAGGCTAAAGAATCCACACTCTTCTTCCTTTTTGAAATGTAGAAAAAGTATAATTTTGTACGAATGGCAAATAGATAACAGAATTTCAACTCAATAAAATATGGTTTAGAAGGATATGTGAATGAAGCTAGATACTAATTAAATATTGGCGATGCTTATGGAAATCTTAGTACTAAAAGGTCCTTTTCCTTGATATTGAAATTTTTATGAGAAACTTATGAGAAAAAAAAGATGAAACTCACACCAAAATAGATCCAAAATCATCTGTAAATGCTGCATATGTAATTTCATTTAATAGTTCTAAGTAGATAACTTTCAGATTAATGTCACTTTTCAGACATTTCGTAGGAACTATTTTTTTCAAGATTTTGAGTTATGAAATGCTGAGCATTGTGGTGATTATTCATTATACCCATCCGTACTAATCCATACTTTGAAGATACACTATGAGGCAATTTCGAGTCATTTTGCTCGAAAAGAAAAAGACTTTTTTTTGAGTTTCAGATTGGATTAATTGATTTCTATGTTTTGCATTACAACATATTCAGAACAAGCGCTATTTGGCCATGACAATGGTTAATTAAATTACCTGTATCAATTGCCCATTCCCATAAACTCAACATTTAAATTTTTTGAGGACAAGATTAGGAAGCTTTTGCTATATATCATTGTTTGATTGAAGAATTCCATTTTCGATTCAATTTTGATGATTGAGAATTGAAAAATTGAAAGATAATTAATTACAGCCAACTGGTTACCAAGAATTTATTTAAAAATTGTAAGGAAACCTGTGACAAACAATTTTGAAAGCTGCGAAATTTTTTTATGCAATTCAAAATTATTTTTTATCTGAAAAACACTCATGTAAGAATAGTAAGAACATTTCTATAAGAATAAAACTGAATTTCATAAATTCTATCGGCATCTTACATCTAAAAAAGTTGGAATGTTTCTGCCTCCGGAATTTGATTACCATTTATCAGCTGCCGAGCAGAAGCAGATTGAAAAATTAGTTCCACTGCACCAGGCTAAAATTCACATGGCTTTTCGCGCTCAAGTCATGGTAATTGCTAAAGAATTACCGAATTCTATTGTAGCTCTTTCTGAGCACATGATAACCATCTGCGTACCTGGATTTATCATGAAATCATACAAACTTTTTGATACTTATCATCTGTTTGAAATTCAGTCGATACATACCGTAAATGATGATATGGCCAGGTTCGATTTTGATGACGATCTTGTTGTATACATCACAACGCCAACGTGCATGCGTTTCGTTAGAAATACAATTCGTAATTTTATTCTTGCCAATCCTTCCTTGCCTGCTGCCTTGCGTTTCAAATTCAAAACCCACAATGCCTCGTTCTTCCCACCATTCCAGCCACCATTATCTCCATCCCAAATCTTCCAATTCACTTATAATGCTTATTGTTCTTATTACGAGACAACTTACTACCACGAGGTTCCCATGTATTTCCACCAACTTTTAAACACCGGAAATAGCGTTTTCGATTTCACCCATCTTCCTTTCAACGTAATCGAGTGCAGTATGGGCGATGCCGCCGAAATCCGACCAATTACATCAGCCCTGATGTATTGCCCATACATATTTGGCGTTACTTGCAGTAATTTCTCCCGACCAGATATTGTCAAACATATTGCAACGCTTGTAGAAGTATCTGCACTCAGATTGATCCGTCTCGTTGACTGCGGAGCAGAAAATGGCTGCTTAGACCTCGCAGAAGCCATGCGTGACGCTCAAAATCCCAATGTTATTTACTGGGATTTAAGTAACAACAATATGGAAGACATTGGAGCTTTCATAGCAGGCCTTGCTTACTATAGAGCCGAAGTACGAGCTCTACATCTCAATAATTGCAACCTGAAAGCCGATGATATCACAGAACTATTCAAATCCCTCCATAAGAACAAATACCTCCAGAAAATACATCAGCTCTCTTTGATTGGCCAAGCGCTAACCGCCGAGCATTGCAACCAGTTTTGCGATTGGTTGATCGACGATCTTGACGACGAGAAGAAGTATCCAGCTCTCAAAGCGCTCGCTATCAGCAAAGTCGCTGAAATTGAACAAATCATTGTTTCTTTGATCCAAATTGATTGCCAATTAACAAGATTAACAATTACCGATACAAACTTTACAGAATCTGCTGCAATGAAGCTTGTCGAGCTCATTAAGAAGCAGAAACGCTTCAAATCACTTTCTCTTGACGGATCTACCATTCCAATCGAATGTTTCATGCATATTATCGTTAACATTGGAATGGAAGAGAATATACAGAAGGTCGAGCTTTCTCTTGCAAGAATGAACTTAACAGGACCCAATTTCGCTATATTAATGGGAAATATTTTCGCAACCTTACAACTCAAGTTGACATCTCTCAATTTGGATGGTAACAACTTGAACCACGAGGACCTCTATATCCTTACATCCCATCTAAATGACATGTTGTACCTTGAAGATTTATCCATCTCATATAATTTCACGGAAAAGACCGAAAACTTGGCTCACAACCTATGCACAATTGCTATTAATCCACGATTACGCTCAATTACGATGCGCGGAGACCAAACTCATAAGGTTAATCAGTCAATTATTCCATTCTTCAAGCAACTTGGTCTTTCTCGGACCATCCGTTCATTAGACATCTCATTTAACGATATACGAGACCCAGGACTTGAAGCCTTGGCTAATTTGATTGACGAATCTAAGACATTACAACAAGTCTTTGCAGATGGCTCCAATCCATCATCGTTCAACTTCATTGAGAAGTATCTCATCAGACTTGAAGTCGACGAAGAGTTAATTTCCGCTCCTTTGCCTTTAGAAGATATCTTCGAATCAATTTCGAAACGCGGCAACTCCGAGCGCAAGAAACTCCTTTCCGCGGTCACCAGGCACCAGAAGAAGCTCGAGGACGTTCTTCTCGTCAACAGAGCCAAAATCGGAATGCATTCCGAAATGTCTCTATTAAAAGACGACGAACTCCAAGATATCCTCGATGCATCAATAGTTGCAGTTCAAGCTCTTCTCAACGGTGTCCATTTGACACAACACCTCGCAATTACCGAAATTGTCGGTTTGCCACTTCCATTTGAACCTCCAGACACAGACACCAAATCCAGTGTTCCTCAGGCTGCATCACCTGATGCACAGAAAGAGGATTACGTCGATCCGATGATGATGTCACACATAAGCGAAGGAGTTGATGATTCCATGGACATGTTCAAGACATTGCAGTTCAACTCTCTTCTGATCAGGAGGCCGAATGCAAACAGGAAGTTCGTCAAAGGTGTTTTGAACATAAATGATGAGAATGACGATGATGATGACTACTACGATGACGACGAAGAAGATTCACTAGATCAGCCGAAAATTAAAGCAAGTATGTTTGTTGCTCCTGCTGCATTCGAAGGAGAACATCAAGATGAACAACCTGTTCCTACTGAAATGCCTTCTTTCTTACCTCCTCAATAATGTTTTATTTTTTATTTTTATTTGCGCTTTATATATTTCATATTATAAAAAAACAACTTTTATTTTTTATTTATCTTAAGACTTAATCACAACATTCATGTATTTAGACAATATTACTTGCATTTGATATTGGTAGGCAATTATTGATTATAAATTCACATACATTTTATTTTTGTTGTTGGAGCATAAATAGATTATGTCATTCATATGCTAATATCTTGCATCACAATGAAGATTTTCGTATTTTCCTTTTTATTTTTGTTGAAATCCCATGTCTTATGATCTCAGATCTTAATTTTTTAGATCATAATATCAAATATCGATGATAAAAGTTAATACTTATCTTACCTGGTAATTCAAAATATAAACAGGTAAATATTGAAGTATTAATAGAATTTTGATCTAATGATCCAGAAAATTATGAGACAATATATATGTACAACTAAAGGTCTCTATGGGTGAACATTAATCGTTTGAGTTGACACACTTCTATTTTTTTAGATCATTAACACAAATTTATGATTTAAAAACATACAAAACAAAATTTTTATTCATATTGAAAATATTTATCAAGAACTTCATCAATTTCTTCGCATAATTCTGGCGAATCTTCTTGCAATTTTCTCAGAAATTCGACAATACATTCGATGCGAGATGTATCAAATCCATGATTAACAAAAGAAAGAATTAAATAATCGAAAACTTCAAAAGACAAAGGCAACAAATCACTGCAATTCTCCAAAACATTTAAAACATCTTCAACAAATTTCTCGTTAAATGCTTCAACAAAGAAATCAGCTGATGAATATCTCCATATCCTAAGTAATACAGCAATATACCTTTCTTGAATAATAAAAGATTCATTTGGATAAATCAAGTTCCAGAGATTTGTAAATTCATAAATTTTCAAATCATTTGGATATTTTTCTTCTAAAACTAATTTTGTATCAAAAAAAACTAAATATGATTCTGCAGACTCTAATTTTCGTTCTGAAAGAGTTCTTTTTACTGCTTCTGGTAATTCTGACCATAAAATGTTTGTTGATACTTCGTAAATCGAATTTTTTAAATCAGAATTTTCAGAAAATGATGAAATAAATTTTGATAAAACATCTATAGGACATTTCTCATCGGAATCAAATGCAAGATCAGCAAGACGTTCAAATAGATTCATTTCTATGATTTCTTTAGCAAAATTCGTTTTGTTAAATAATTTCAAAATTAATTCGGAATTTTGGACATTAACAACTTCATTTTCACAGAATATGATTTGTAGTGCTAGATCATGTGCTTCTTCTATGCAATAATCGTTTTCTGAGTAAATTATTAAAATTTTGATTATTGTTTTTAAAATTTCTATAAAATCAGTGTTTTCACACTCATCAGTTACTACTGGAACTAACATTTCAGTTAAATGACTTAAAATTTCCGAAAAATTTGAATCATTAAGTAATTGCAAATTTTGACTGTAATTGTATAGCGAAATGTATACAAAATTCAATAGATATAGAATTGTTGTGGAATTTGCTTGCAGATCTTCAAGGATATTGTTGAAATAAACAAAAAAGTCTAAATCGAAGAGAATAGATATAGTATCTTGATATTTTGATAGAATTAGCCATACTGATCGAGAAATTAGCGCTCTGTAAGTTGGATTAATTTCATTAAGAAATTTTATAAATAAATTTTGTAAAAATCTGTTGTCAATGATGATTTCTAGAGATGGATAATGATTTTGTTGAAGGTTTTGTATCATTTCTTTTAGTAATAAGTAAAAATTTGATAAATTTTGGTCGATTTCAGATGAATTTAGTTGATTTGCTAATGTCAAGGCAATGTCCTCTATTAATAAGTCATTGCTATCAATTAAATTGTTATCTGTATTATCGTTTTTATCATCAAAGTCTGATTTTAAATTCATCAAAAATGTAAACTTCTGAAATTTGATTTTAGAATTGAACCAGTTTCAGCATTCTCTATCAGCATATACAACTGGCCCATGAACAGTACTCACTATACAAATATGAATCATGTTGAAATATAAGAAATTTAGATATGAGGTAATCATGAAGAGATAAGAATAAAGAGTTTATATCTCGAAACTCGAAAAAATACACTCTCAAATAACATATCAACATTTAGATTAGAGCTGACATTTGGAGACGAAGGTAAATCATCTCAAAACTTACCAATATTGAGGGAAATTTGGCTGGACAAATATAATTTTTCTCCCACTACATTGTGACAGTTTTATAACTTACTATCACAGTTCAAGGAGGATGAGTATTAAGTCGTCCGATTGTATAAATAACTTGTTTCAAATCTCTCATTAATTTGACATAATTGAAAGCTTTACGAAAATTCCGGAAAATCAGATTCTAAATTCAATTTTCTGAACTAAAGTTTACAAAATTGAGAGATCGCTCTTAATAATACCTGAACGCATCATATATTACGAAAGATTAAATTATATTGATCTCTTTCATTTCGGATATCAGAAATTGAAAAATTCACAATTTTTCTCAATCGAGCCGTTATGTTCAATGGAGATCAAAAGATAAACATTAATTCATTATGTCAATATATTGATAAAATGCAAAAATGATAATTCAATGATTGTGAATTTTATTTATTTTACTTTTATTTTTAGTTTTTTTGTAACTCATATGTTTTTCTTGATTCCTTTATCTTTATCAGCATGTGAAACCTATGATTTCAATGTGAAGTATGGTGTTTATCAAACTGTTACGTTCACAGCAGAACAAACGACGTTTTGCAAAACAATCAATTTTCAGTATACACAACGAACTGCACCACATATGTATATTCGATGGGATTTCCCAACAGCGAGCGGTGATCATACCGTTGAAAAACAAAATATTCCACAAAGTGTAAAACAAATTCAAAGTGTCAAAACAATAGAAGATTATTCAATTGTCGATTTATACAAGTCATCTACACTTAATATCGAATTATCAGTCACGGGAAAAGTTCAATTCAGTTTCGTTGCTTTTGATAGTGAACCCGGCCAACAAACGACGATCCTTTCATGGTGGGGCAAAGATTACATCGAAATTGGTCAATACGATTCATATAAATTCCAATGGAAAGAGAACCATATATACAACTTTGTTAGTATGTTCGACACAGTTGTTTCTGCTTCGATTTATGGTTCAAATGACCGCGATGTCAGTGGCAAATATACATATAGATACAATTCATACAGTTACAGTGGCACATTTAGTTCAGAACTCACTCTCAAAGGTTCAAAATTTTTTGCAGTCAGTGTTAACTACACTAGTGGCAGATATGTTTCTATAGGATTCAACGGAGAAAACAATGATGGATATCGACTCATTTTATATCCAGACTCAACAAAAATTGATAATTCAACTCCAAATCTTCCACCACCACCAACATCAACACCAACACCAACGAAAACACCTCTAAGTGAAGAAGAATCAGATAAACCATGGAGCTTGTTCGATGCCCCAGTTCTAGCATTTCTTGCTATCTATGCAATTTTTATTGCTGCAACTCTTTTCTTAAGTACCATTGTATGCTGTATATTTCCAAACAGACTATACAGATCTGGTTTCCAGTTTCCTCGGTGCTTCTGTTGCTGTTGCAGATCAACTTACCAAACAATTGCAAAATTTTATGAGAAGCACCAATATGACCGATGTGGTGAATGTGACTGCTGCTATGATGAAAATCATGAACGCAAGTGCATTTCCTGCGATTGCGCATATCGTGAATGTGACTGTTGCGACACAGATAGCGTTGAAGGAGCTCTAGCTATGGTGCTCGGTGTGGGGTGCATCCTAGCTGGCATAATGTTAATATTATATCAATTTATCATAATTTACATAATCCTCCACTTATTTATTTCATGCGGAGCAGAAGAAAGAAAGTTCGAGAAAAATGGCCTTAAAGATGATTCAACAGATCAGGACAAGAATATAGAAGATATCGAAAGTCCGAAAACGGCTGAAAATTCAAATAATTCTTCTCAACCACCACTAGTACTGCCACAACATCCTTATTACCAAGCTCAAAATGACCAACAACAGACTTATAATAATAACCCTCAACAAAATCAGATTAATCCACAACCTTCCCCTTATGAAAATCCACCACCACCACAAATGCAGGGACAGCAGCAACAACAGTACCCTTACAACTATGGACCTCCACAACAACCTCAATCTCCTTATCAACAACCTTCTCCATATGGTGCACCACCATCTCAATCTCCATATGGTTCTCCACCTCCAGGATACGGCTACCCATCCCCAGGATACGGTTCCCCGCCTCCAGAATATGGAGTTCCACCACCAATGAACAATTCTGTTCCTAATACTCAATTTCAACCTTCAGAGGTAAATGCACCACAATCTCCCCCACCAAATGATCAATAAATGAAAATAATGTGTGGAAGTAGAGAGTGCAAAAATCACTTCTTGAAATACATTTCATAATTTAAGTATTATTTTCAGTAAATTTTATTAAACGTGTTATTTAAATCTATATCTTTATGTTGATTATATTAGAGAAATAATCCATCATTTGAATGTTACAAAAACATGTTTTCTTCGCTATATAATTTTAGATAGAGTGACGAGAAGCTAAATCCACAATTCAATTAAATGTCTTATTTCTGTTGGCTTAATTATTGTTATATGAATAATAATGAAAGTTTAAAGTGATTAATATAATTTCGACATACAAATTATATAGAACTTCGCCCAAATTTGTGAGTTTAAAAAATCCATAGGAGATATATATGAATATCTATCTATACCTCCAGTTCACCACAAATTAAATTTCATCTGGAAATATTATTTTCTTTAACATATTTTCTCCTGAAACTTTTAATCTCAGTTATCTATATCATTATATTTTAATATTTAATTATGAATCAATTGGTTACTGGTAACATTATTAATTTGAGGGTGAAATAAATGGAAATGAATCATTGAGCTAGTAAAAAAGGTTCTGATATCAATAATAAATATATTCTAAGCATAAAAATACCGAGTAAATCAATATAAATCTGTTTGAAGTTGGCAAATAATGTCAAACAATGTCAACAAGTCCCAAAATTGAGGGGATTATTGGCCGGATTATTATGATTTACTAATTTTTTAACTTATTGCCATTTATTTTTTTATTTTATTATGAATTATATAGTTCATTACGGTTATTTGAGCTAAATCAGAAAATGGAAAGTGTTATTAATATGAGGAGGTATATATTTTGATTTCCAACAATAATGAATTAGTTTTTCCGATAATTAATAAATCACTAATTCAATTTTAAGGATTGTCTGAAAAATTAAATAGTTGTAAAATTCTTCAATTTTTTTCTCCATAAATTCAAGCTTTGAAAAAAAGGATCTATTCAAATGATCGTAAACTTATAGCAAAATCTAATGCATTTCAAATTTTCTTGAAAATCAGATTTTCATATTCAATTTATATCGGATTATGAAATATCTGAACTAGAATAATACTATTTTATCTTGTCAAGAGTTTTCTCAAAAGCCAAACCACCATATTTAAATTAAATACATGTATTTAGTTATTAAACAATCATTTTGGCTTTACTATCATTTCGGATATTGAAAATTGAAAAATTCACAATTTTTCTCAATCAAGACGTTATGTTGAGTGGAGTTCAAAATGACAATATTATTTCATTGTACCTTTATATTGATAATATTTAAAAATGATAATTCAATGATTGTGAATTTTATTTATTTTACTTTTATTTTTAGTTTTTTTGTAACTCATATGTTTTTCTTGATTCCTTTATCTTTATCAGCATGTGAAACCTATGATTTCAATGTGAAGTATGGTGTTTATCAAACTGTTACGTTCACAGCAGAACAAACGACGTTTTGCAAAACAATCAATTTTCAGTATACACAACGAACTGCACCACATATGTATATTCGATGGGATTTCCCAACAGCGAGCGGTGATCATACCGTTGAAAAACAAAATATTCCACAAAGTGTAAAACAAATTCAAAGTGTCAAAACAATAGAAGATTATTCAATTGTCGATTTATACAAGTCATCTACACTTAATATCGAATTATCAGTCACGGGAAAAGTTCAATTCAGTTTCGTTGCTTTTGATAGTGAACCCGGCCAACAAACGACGATCCTTTCATGGTGGGGCAAAGATTACATCGAAATTGGTCAATACGATTCATATAAATTCCAATGGAAAGAGAACCATATATACAACTTTGTTAGTATGTTCGACACAGTTGTTTCTGCTTCGATTTATGGTTCAAATGACCGCGATGTCAGTGGCAAATATACATATAGATACAATTCATACAGTTACAGTGGCACATTTAGTTCAGAACTCACTCTCAAAGGTTCAAAATTTTTTGCAGTCAGTGTTAACTACACTAGTGGCAGATATGTTTCTATAGGATTCAACGGAGAAAACAATGATGGATATCGACTCATTTTATATCCAGACTCAACAAAAATTGATAATTCAACTCCAAATCTTCCACCACCACCAACATCAACACCAACACCAACGAAAACACCTAAAATTGAAGAACAAACAGACAAACATTCCAAAGATATTATCAAACACCCAGCAATACTAACGCCTATTATATATTTCGGTATTTCTGGATTATTCCTTTTTGTTGGTATCATTGTATGCTGTATATTCCCAAACAGACTATACAGATCCGGACTTCAGTATGAATGCCGCTATCGTTGTTGCAGAACTACTTACCAAATACTTCAAAAATTTTACCACAAACACAAATACTATCAATGTGGTGAATGTGACTGCTGTTATGATGAAAATCATAAACGCAAATGCTGCTTTTATGACAATAAATTCCGCGGCAAAATATGTGGTGATCTTAGCGGTGATGATATTTGCGGAGTAATGTGCTATTTGGGAATTTTTATCCTTATTGCTATCATATTAGCATTCCCATTTGTCATGATTTACATCTTTCTCCACTTATTTATGTCATGCGCACCTGAAGAAAGAGATTTCGAGAAGAATGGTCTAAAAGGTGATTCAACTGATCAGGATAAGAAGTTGAAGGACATCGAAAATCCGAAAACAACTGAAACTCCAAATAATTCTTCTCAACCACCACCTGCTCCACCGCCACATCCTTATTACCAAGCTCAAAATAACCAACAACAAACACAGAACCAACAACAGAATTATAGCAATAACCCTCAACAAAATTATATTCAGCCACAACCTTCCCCTTATGAAAATCCACCACCACCACCACAAATGCAAGGACAGCAGCAACAACAATACCCTTACAACTATGGACCTCCACAACAACCTCAATCTCCTTATCAACAACCTTCTCCATATGGTGCACCACCATCTCAATCTCCATATGGTTCTCCACCTCCAGGATATGGTTATCCACCACCAGGATACGGTTCCCCGCCTCCAGGATATGGAGCTCCATACGGAGCACCTCCGCCAGGTTATGGTGCTCCACCTCCAGGATATGGAGCACCTCCGCCAACAAACAGTGCACCACCACCAATGACCAATTCTGCTCAACCTTCTCAAGTTCAACCTTCAGGGGCCAATTCACCACAAGCTCCTCCACCACAAGATTAATTATCAATTATATTTAATTAAAATGCGTTATTTAAATTCAAATCTCTTTTTTGATTCTCTCAATGAAATTCATGAACTTTGTTCACAAAAATTAATATGTCATTTGAGCATTTCAGAAACTTGTTTGTCGAAATATTGTTCATTTTGAAAACATTGAAGAGCAGAACTCAACAAATCAACATTATTAAAATTTCATTTCATTCTGTGAAAGACATTAGTTGATTAAACTATGAACAAGAATAGTAATTTAAAGTTACTGTGACGTTATATACCAGAAAGTTTTATACAGTGCCTGAGTAGTATATGTTGAAGGGTTTAGTGACTTTTTTTGTTACGTCTATATATAGATGAAGGTATATTTTCACATCTTCTATATATAGATGATATAAAAATTTTTTCTTACGTTTTTTAAGTCATGAATTCGTAAGAAAGCGCGACATTATTAAATAAATTAGTAATAAATATTATATACTAAACACATTTTTAAAAATTAACATTAATTTTAAAATAATTTATTTTTTTATCTTTTATAAAAGAAGCTATATATATATGATGTCAGATATTCCGCGATTAATTAAACATTGTTTAAATCCTGAATGGGTTAAACTTCAATTTAAAAATGAAGATTGTGAATTATTAAATGAATATGAAAGCCAAAATAAGCTAATGAGGTATAAATATAATGATAAAGAATATTTAATTTCATGGAATCAATGGAGTCATAATCAAAGACCTCATAAACGAGAAGAAGAAATTGAAAATAATGAAATGGAAATCATTGATGACATTAAAGAGGATGGAATTCATATAAAAATAAGAAGTCTGTTTGACCTTAAGAATGATTTATATATAAAAATAAAATAAACTTCTTACGAAAAATTAAAACTTAGTTATGTTTATTATTTTATTTTTTATTTTGTATGAAATGAGCGTCAAAACTAACAACGTTAAAAAATTAGGATTCACAAACGAGGAAATAAAGGATATATTAGAGGAGGTAGGTTATGAAGTTAATAAATATTATTTAAGAAATTGTCAAAAATTTGCCGAGTTATTAAATGATTTAGATTATGATGGAAAAATGAATAAAGATGATGTTATAAATTTCTTATATCCCACATCTGAAGAAGAAAAACCTAAAGAACCTGATGTTTTCCCTGAATATTATGAAGAACGGATTAAAGATGATGAATACAATGAATTGAAAGACTGAAAAAAATAAGAGATGAAATAGATGAAAAAATTAAGGAATTAAGAAAAGTTGAAAAATATAATGAAAATGAAGTAGAGGGTTTAATGAATATCCCAGCTTCAGAATCAGAAGTACAGAAATCTCATGAAGAAAGATATAAAAATTATGTCTCAGAATCAACACAAAATTTATTAGATGGTGAAATAGACGAAACACTTTCAGAAGAAGGTACTAAATTTATACGTAAACATAAGTTACAATTTATTGATAATGAAGAATACCCTGTATCTACTTTCACCACCTTTAGATTCTGAGAAATTCAAAAAAGCTCTTAAAAACGTGACATATGCAACTAATACGATTAAGAAAGAAGATCATGATATTTACACAAATTATTATTTAAGTAAATGCACAGGTGTTGATAAAGTTTTTGATTTATTAGATAAAATATCAAAAGAAACCATTGGAACATATAAAATTTTGTGATTGCGGTTTCATTGTTGAAGATACTAATAATGTTTCATATGAAAGAACAGCACCGAAGGAAGATGAAGTGAAAGGTCTATACCATTCGTTATTAAGAACATAAAAGATATGAAAACGTATAAACATTATATTTATTCATTTATTTCAGAAAAAATGGAAGCAACCCATAAAACATCTTCTCATCATTTTATAGCTATTCATACATTCCTTTTCAAAGTTGTGAAATTAAATAAGACAGGAATTAGATTTAATGTATCAGGGTACGCATTCTTGAGTAAATTAAAATGTATTCGTCACGTCGCAGATGATAAAAATTTATGTGTTCTTAATTCATTTTATGGGCTTTAAAAAATAAACTTTATTTTTATTTATTTTTTAATTTTTTATTCTTACATAAATGAACAAAAACGGAACAGCTAAAATGAATGATAATCAAATTAGAGCAGAAGGTAGAAGGTTATTTAAACGCTTCTATAACATTCCTGATGGTGTTAATCCTAAAACTCGTAGAAGCTATTTAAATGAAGCAATAGATGCATATGAAGGGTTTGACATTTCATCAGAAAGTGAGAGATTAGCGAGAATGTTAAATGTTAATATTGATTTCTATTATTGTGATCCTCAACCAGAAGACGTGGACATAAATAAGGTAGACTTTCCATTAGTGGAATCAATAATGATAGATCCAGAATTTGAAACAGTAAATATTTTATTAACACAGAGTCCATGTGGAAAACTTCACGCTGACAGAATAACAGACGTTGAAGCACTCACCGGCTATAAAGTTTGTCCATATTGTAAAGAAGAAGTTTATTCTATCCGTGATGATCCAGAAAGGAAAAACCAAAGAAGATTTTTAAAGCATTGTGAGAAATGTAAAGAAAATAATGGAAGATTAATTCAAGACGTTCAGTTGCAAAAGACACAGCAACCATATGCACCACATATTACGAAACAGAAGATATATCAGTGGTTATTAGCTCACAATTTGCAGAAATATTATAAACCGACAAGATATTATATTACTTTTGACTTTGAAACATTAGAGACTAAAGAAGAATTACAACTTTCTGAGTGTGCAACTTTGAACGCTTACTTAAAACCATTCATGGTATCATCAACGGTTAAATTAAATGATAAAACGTATACGAGGAATTTTTGCTTAACTTCGAGTGATTCTTTTATTTCTGATTGGATTGAGTTTTTATTTTCAACCTGTTCATTAGTTGTTGAATCAAATATGAGTCAATACAATGAATTAATGAAGCCGCAAACAGCGGGGACTTTGTCCCATACATTAAATGAAAAACAGAAGGAAGCATTTAAAGAACTTCTAGATGAGGAATTCAATAAAGTGAATATCATAGGTTTTAATTCGGGAAAGTTTGATTTAAATTTAATTCTTCGTGATTTAAACACTGCAAAATGGAAAATAAAATCAATGCTGGGTTCATCTTCACAATTTAAGCAAATCATTGTAAAGAAAACAAACGTTCCATATGAATTGAGATTTATTGACATCAGAAATTATATAGCGGGTGGGACATTAGACCAATTCACTCAAGATTTCGGAAACAATAAATCACGTGTTAAATCCTTTTTCCCTTATCAATTCATCACATGGGAAAATTACGAAGAAGAATTATATAAAGAGGAACCATTCACGAAAGATTCATTTTATTCAGCATTAACTCAAGAAACTATATCAGATAGTGATTATCAAATATATCTCAATGATGCTAAAAATTTTAAGAATAGATTAGAATATTTTATTCATTATTGCAATAAAGATGTTGAAATTATGATTGACCCAATCGATAAAATTATTGAAGAAACATTTGTTTATAAAATTGATATGCTTCATAATCTTTCTTTATCATCGAATGCTTCAATGATTCGTTACGCTTTAGCATATAAAGACTTTAATCCTAATGAAAAATATCCTGAGGAAGAGATAGAATCAAGTTTTGAATTAACGAAAAAGTATTGGAAATATAAAATTGAATCATATAAGAAACAAGATGAAAAAGCAGAAAGATACTAAAAATAATGTTTCAATGGATGATTTTCAATACTATCACGATTTAATCCTTTCATCTAAATGCAAAATGTGTGGTAAAGCGTTTACATATGCAAATAAACCAACATTGATAGAATCGATAATGAAAAACCACATACTAAAGAAAATTGTCAGTTAATGTGTTGTTATTGCAATGTCGTAAAATCAAATAAAGATGAAGATGTTCAACGTTTAAGAATCAATTTAAGAAATTATGCATTAAAAAATAATTTACCAATGACTTTAGATTCAGTTGAAGCTTATCACATTCTCCGTAATGGAATTACTGGTGGTCTATCAAATGTTCAACATCGTGTTAATCTTAAAGGAATCACGCACATTAATAAACTTTCATATAGTCCAGAAACTAAAACTGTATCAAATGAGGACACTTCCAACATCATGACTCATTTCGTTGGTGTTGATTTAATTCATTATATCCTTCATCATTTTCATCTAATCCTCATGATTTCATTCAATATACTGACCATAAAATGTATATGCCGGGAAGATTGAATGGTGTTATCATTTGTGATACAGCAACAAAGAAAGCAAAAGCACTGGGAATAATTAAGAAGAAAAATACTTTATTCGTGGCTGAAGTAAAGGGTCACATTGATGAAAAATACATTAATGATTACATAAACTTTTTACCGATAATAAGAAACTTAGATATTATCACAGATGAAAAAACAATTGGCAGTTTTATGTATAATTACATGAAATCAAACAATCTACCAGTTGACCAGAAACAGAGGAAATTAACTCAGTTAGCATCAACACACAACCAATATCAACCATTTTCTTCTTATTATCTTTGGTATCTAATAGACAGATTTCATTTTATCATCGATGATATTCAATCAATTTTAACATTTACGAAAAACACTTGTTTTAATGAATTTGCGAACGAATTTATGAACGAAAGACAAAAGGCTGAATTAGAAGGAAATAAAGGAAAAAGTTTATTTTGCAAGATTTCACTTAATGGATCATATGGTTACGATGCAATGAATACGCAAAATTACGCAAAGACTAAAATAATGAATGCACAGAAGGCACGCGTTGCATGTATGTCAAATAAGTTTAAAAACATAAGAGAAATAGGTGAAGATACATATCAAGTAATGCTTAAAGATAGATTTTATAGATGTGATACATGTTTACAAGAGGCATTCTTCACTTTAGATAATGCTAAATACTGGTATTTGGTTTTCATTTATGATTTTATGTATAAATGCATGATGTTAATCGTTTTCATTTCATTGAAGGTGATACTGATTCATCTTATTGGGCAATCGCTGGCGACCCAAATCTTCCTAACACTCAAGCATTTCAAGCAATTGTTACCGATAAAAATTTTATGATAAAAACATTTTCAAATTCGCACCATTTGATTTCTTCTGTTTTGATGAGAAATTTAAACCTAAATTAAAGAATAAAGCTGAAGAAAAAGCACATGAGAAAAATTATTGGGTTTAGCAATTGAGAAACAAGGTGATAACATGGTTGCTTTATGCCCTAAGTGTTATACATCATTCAACGGTTCAATTGATGGAAGTGATTTTAAAAAGATTGCACAAAAAATGAAAGGTGTTAGTTTACGACAAAATAAACAATTAACACCTAAAAATTATTTGGATATAATAAATGATAAAGTTATTTTCGATGGTCAGAATATTAATTTACAACTTAAAAACGGGTCAATGACTCGCTTAACAATCGGTAAGACTGCATTAACAGGAGCACACACTAAGGCTGTATGTTGTGAAAATGGATGTTGTATGCCATTTATTTAATACAATTTAAAAACGTAGGGGTTGAGTCATGAATTTAAAATTTTATTTTTAATAAAATGCCACAGAAGAGACAAAAGGAACCGAATAGATTTATACCAAATGGTTTTAACTTTCAGATTCCAAATAATCAACCACAACGAATTTTTCAAATCCCACCACAGCATCAACAGCAGCAGCAACAACCACCACCACAACGTCAACGGAGAAGACCATTCACCCCTGAAGAAAGAAATTTCAATAATTTGATGCGTCAACAAAATCAAGGTTTGAGATTTTATCCGGGTAGTAATGGTATACATATAAGGCATCCAAATTTAGATAGAAGATATACCGCTGAGATTCATATTTTACCTAATAATACGATTAATTTTGCTGGATTTTATGATCATCATCAGGAAATCTGGACTCCACCATTTGATACCGTTTTAGAAGGAGGAACCGTTAATGATGCAATTCAATATGTAAATAATGGTTTTGATACTATGATTCAAAGAGGTGGGCACCCTTAAAACATTTATTTTATTTTTATATAAATGGATAACGCAAATTTAGAAAATTTAATTGATAATTTAGTACTTAATCAAAATTTTCTTAATTATTATGAATTAAAATCATATCTCCAAAAACATAATAATAATATAACGGGTGATGATATGGATTATTATTATTCGTATTATAAAAATGAAATTTTGAAATATCATGATAAAATAATTTCTGAAATTAAAGACAAAATAATTTCTGAAATTAAAGACAAAATTAAAAATAATGAATATACAAAGGAACAAAAACAAAAGAAGAAAAAGCCGAAAACAACACCAAAAGAGAAAGTAGCAAATGTTCAACAGCTAAAGGTGCAAAACGCCCAGGTTCTTCAGACCATAAATGAAGCACAAGCTTTAATTTATGATTCATTAGTTAAACCATATTCAGCCCGACTTTTAAATGAAGATCAACTTTTGGAATTCATCCTTCAACATAAACTCGAAGCGGGAAAGTATATCAAACCTTTATATACAGCATATTTAAAACAAATGAATAGAATACATCCAGAATTAATGAAGGGAGGAATGAAATCCAAAACTTCATCATCCAAAATCAAAGCAGATAAAATTAAACCACCTGCAACACCAAAACCTCCAACGACAGTACCTCCTCCTCCTTCAGTTAATCCTTCATCATTCACTTTATTATATCCATTTCAATCACCAAAGAAACAAAAAGATTTTAAAAAGGATTTCAAGATATTAAATAAACCAATTGACCCGAAAATTCAACCGTTAAAGGAAAAATTTAGTCGCCCTTCATTTGCACCATATCCATATTCATACGAAATCGATCATCTGGAATATTCAAAAGGAAACGTTACTTATTTATTCGCCATTAACATTAACACTAGATATTTATATTGCATTCCGGTGAAAGGGAAAACAAAACAGGAAACAAGAAGAGCTATTCAATACTTACTAGATCATGAAAGAGTAGATAATATAAGGATTGATGGTGATAAAGGATTTCAGGCAACTATGGCTCGTTATTTCCCACAAATTAATTTTTACTTCTCATCTTCTCCATATACGTTTCATAATAAAATAGTTGATGCGGTAATGAGAACTCTTAGAGATGCGTTAGGGGTTAACGGTCGGATATACTGGGATGGAAATCATGACTCCATCATACAGCAGTTAGTATATTATTACAATAATACATGGCATAGAACTATAAACATGAAACCAGTGGAAATGAAAAATGATATTTCAAAAGAATGGGAATATATTAGAAAGCAAATGGAAAGGTTAAATGATGTTAAACGTGAACAAATTAATTCGGGGCTCATGAATTTTAAACAAGGGGATAAAGTTTTGATTCATCTCGATTATGGAAAAACTAATAAATCAATGACAAAAAGAAGACGAAGATTTGACACAATAGCTGAATTTGTTAGATATATTAACGGCAATGCATTAGTTGAAGTTGACAATAAATTAATAGAAATTCCGATTTATTTTATTACTCCATTATATTTAAATAATATTTAATTTTTTTATTTCGTAAGAAATGAGTGACAACAAAGCAGCCAAGAGTCCTGATTCAATTAAGATTCAGAGTCCAGACAATGAATATAAAAAGAAACTAAACAGAATTAAATCAAAAATATGCTATTACAAAAAGAAGCCGCAATGCGGTGGGGCTGATGCCCATAAAACTAAAGTAATTGAAAACGATAAAGAGAGGAAAGAAATAATCGAAAAATTAGAAACTTACCGTTCAATCCTTAAACTGAGTGAAGAAAAAATAAAAGAATTTAATAGAATAAATAAAGTGATTGGAAGAGATGAATTTAATAAAGATGAATTTTTAAACTCTATCCAAATTTAATTTTTATTCCTCTTCGACAACGTCTCTTCGAGACGCCGAACCCTTCTGGGTTCTTCTTTCCATCATTACTGCATAACCGCATCTTCTCGGTTTTCGTGGTTTGTTGTTTTTAATTCGTTCTTGCATCATTTTTATCATTTCCTCCCTTGTTATGATTCGTGGTAAATTTTGAGCTTGTGGGGTATCCATTTATATAAAAATAAAATTTTGTTATCAGTTATTTTATCATCATTTTATTAAGTTCATTATCTCATACCGAAATGGCTCACAAAAAAGTGACATTTTTGGCGCCAATAATTTGATTTTTCTGATTCTTTCTATTTAGATATATTTATTTAATATTCATATTCCTTTATATTGCCTCATATTATTTCCCATTTTTAATCATATTATACAAATCTTTAATAATTTTTAATGTTTTGAGCTTCAAAATCTTGTTCTAACTATTTTCATTCATATATCCTAGAAAAAATTAAAAAGTTTTTTAGAAATAAAAATGTTTGTATGTAAAGTATTGAAAATATTCTAGATGAGAAGACATTCTCCAGAAGAGATTGATATTGATTGGCTTTGTGAAGCCATCACAAAATCAAATAATGGAGTTAAGTTAACTGATATTTGCGCGAAAGCTAAAATAAATCATGAAGGCAGAGTTATATATAATCATACTATCTTAAAGTATTCCTAGAAATTTCCAAAATTAACCGAAATATAACTGGACAGAATTACTATTTTCGAGATAAAATTCATATGGAAATACTAATTCATAACGCTTTATGTTATATAAAATTTAATTTATAAAAATTTCAAAATAAATCAAATTTAACACAATGAATATAACTGCAATCGAGGTTTTTGACGATTGATTCTTACGAGAAGTTTTCCAAACTTTGAGTTAATGTCAAGACATTAACTCAAAGTTTGGAAGTCTAATAAGGGGAATTGTAGGCTATGAGGTACTGATTATATATCAGTGCCTCATAGCCTGCAATTCCCATTAGAAATCGGAGAAACTTTGTCCGCATAACTGATGATGCGGACAAAGTTTCTCCCATTTCTACTTAGAATGAAAGGGCAAGAGGTATATAGGTACACTATATATCTCTTGCCCTTTCCTTCTTACCTAAAGACTTCCAATCTTATTTTTTCCCAATTTTTCCCCTAAATTTAAATCTTATATAATATAAATAAAATGCATAATATCAATCACAAAAATTAATGTTTATTTTTTTAATTAAAATTGCCGCGCAATTTAAGGTTTTCTGTCACTTTTTTTGTGAGCCATTTCGGTACGAAACAATTTTATTAAGTTCATCTTTAGTTAATTTGAATGGATTCGCTAATGTTCCACCTTGAGCCACAACACTTGCCCCGGCTAATTGTGAAGAACCTGGGATAAGTACTCCATGAAATGATTTCATTGGTATCATTAATTTAGAAATAGTTGGCTTAATTAATTTTGTCATTTATGATAAAAATAAAATTGCATAATTTAAATTTTTTTCTTTCTCATTTTCTCATTTTTCTCTTTTTTCATCCTGTTTTGGTTTCAGTAACTTTTCAAGTTGTTGTCTTGTCAGTAACTTTAATTTTAACATTGGATCAAATATTGGGTTTCCATCTTTATCTCTTCCAATAACACCATATGGTAGAATCTTCATTTATACTAAAATAAAAATTTAAATTATGCCGTTCTAAAGTTTGTGAAACAAACATTGAGCGTTCATTGAACGCGAAACCATGCATAAACCGTAATATAAGGTGGCATGTAATCTGTACCTCTTCCTGTCGTTTGTGTATATCCTGAAACATTATGTGAATGTGTACCCGAACCGTTTGAAGTATATCCTTCATTCCATCTGTTTTTATTACCATACCAATATTTACCCCTGCTAGCGTCTCTATCAGACCATCCATCAGGAAATCCATTATTTCCATCAGGATATTCAAACGAATTAGTATAAGTATGACTATGCCAGCCCGAGTCTTGAGTGTTTAAATTAACGTAATGACTGTGAGCAGGTAAATTTTCGCCAGTAATCTTTTTACTTCCACCGGTTTGTTTTGAACTATTAGCACAATAGAGGAAACGATCGGTTATTTGTTGCCATGTACCGAAACCGAATACATCAGCTGGATTTGTTGAATTCATTGATGTATATATTGAACCAATGGGGTAAATCATCTCAAGAATTGTATTTAATCCATTATGAATATTGAATTTATTATATAATATTGAAATTGTGTAAGAAATTAAAATTGGTCTTGTCATCAATATTAACGTATTATTTTTGAAAATTGCTTTTCTAACATCTTGAAATTTTGTGATTTCAGACCAATTTCTTCCATCACTACTGATATTTAATAAATCACCACATCCTAAAGCAATGAAATACCCATCAATATAAAATAAATTAGTAAATCTATAATTTCGAGTAAATTTTGGAGTGAATGAATAAACCAATTCCCAACTTGGTGTTTTCTCTGGATCCTGTGAAAAATCTTGTGATAAATAAATATGTCTGTTATAACTTACAGGATATGAATAGACCATACCACCTGAAACAAGAACACAAACATTTGAAGCATAACATAAAGCTTCAATGTCTCCATCAGCTTGAAAAATTTGTTCAAAACGACCAAATGGTATTGAATATGATCTATAAATTTTATCATTTTGTAGGATAAAATACATGTTGTTAATGTAATACCATTTACTTGTATAATCAATTTCCAAATCTGATGACATCATACTAAACATATAATAATTTATCCCATCCTCACTAATGAAAATTTGATTGACTTCATAAATTAGTACCCATTTATTATTAACACATCTAATAGGATTATTTGGATATTTAAATTTAGCATCTTGATTTAAATTACATTTGAACCATTGGATACAATCGAATGAATAACAAGGGCAAAAATCATCTCCAACCGTTATCATTCCCATAAATTTACCGTTATTATATTCAACATATAAAATTCTTGGATTAATGATTGGCTTTCGTGTATCAGGATTCCAAACAGATGGAGTAAATGATTCATAGTTTTTAAAATCATTTGTTTTAAAATAATAAAGCACCCCAGCTGTATAAAATAAATACATGGTCACTCCATCGAAACATAACCATTCAATAGATTGAAATGTTTTATCTGATGATTTCATAAAATTTAAAAATGGTGGAGTAAAATAGACCTCTGATTGTTTTATTTCTTCATTAACAAATGATATATCAGCTTTCTTTGCTAACTCAGTATCAATGAATGAAATAACTTTTTCCTTATCTGCTTTCTTCTCTAACTCATTGTTAACATATGTTTTATCTGCTTTCTTCTCTAACTCATCGTTAACATAAGTTTTATCTGATTTAAGGTCTAAACATCCTGAAACCTATTCTGTATCAGCTTTAACTTTAAAAGTCTCCAATGTCCATTCATGATACCCTTCAACCTTTTCTTTAATTTCATTATCTTTTTCATCAACATAAACCAAATTTGCCTTCTTATTTAATTCCTGGTCAACATAACTTTTAAATGCTTTTTGATTAATTACTCTTGAATTTTCATTAACTCTGAAATTTAAATTATCATAATTACTTTTAACTGTTGCATTTGTTTGATTAATTCTGTTATTTAATTCATCGAATTGAACATGTGTATGATCAACATCTGCTTTCTTATTTAACTCGGTATTTACATAAACTAAATCTGCTTTCTTATTTAACTCGGTATTAACGTATTCCTTATCTGCTTTCTTCATTAACTCACTATCCACATATTCCTTATCCACCTTCTTCATTATGTCATTTAGGAAACCTTCTATGAATTCCTTATTTAAATTAAATCTTCCAATCTTCAAAACTTTAGGAAATGCATTTAATGCGTAATATCTCTGTTCTTCTGGTGGAATTGATGTTATATCATCCGTTATTCCTTTAATTTTTGAATTCATAAATAAAATTTCTTTTATATTTGATATCACTGCACCACCTTTGCAAACGAATTCGAAATGGTCATTTTTCAATACTATCTCCAAATCTCCATATTCCAACCTTTGCGTTTGTTCTGCCGTCTTTGAATTATATGCATATGTGGCGTATGTAATAAGTTGCTGTTGTTTAATCATTTATTACGATTTAAAAATAAATATTTAATCCGTTATCTCATCAGCTATTTTCTCTATTTGAAATTGCCATAATATTTCATTCATAAATTCTAAATCCTAATCAAATAGGTCAGTTATTCTAAATTTAATATTTGATAAATCTTTTGAATGAAGAATAAATGAATTCCCGGATAATTGAAACGGATATGATAAAGAAAATGTGTTTAAGTTGATGGATAAAATGTTTTGTATTGATGGGTAAGAGTTAGGGTCTAATGTTTGATGTGAAAATCGCATTGGGGTATTAACTTTATCACATTTGATTAAAATGAAATTAGAACCAGTGTCAGAATACAAAACATCCCCAACATCTTTTTCAAAATTTAATATCCCCAACAATGAACGAAGATGAGGAGTACAAAATTTAATTTTCAGCGGAAATTTAATAAGGTTATTTATTTCATCAAGTTCAAAAAGTTTATCAGGTTTTGATTTAAAATTTTCTTCATACCATACGATAAATGATTCATTTAAATAACTTAAAATCATGTTAATATCCCATTTCGCTATTACATTATTTATATACATATCATACGTTTTTTCAAGGTCTACGACCTCGCCGCTATGCGGCTCATGGTCATCTTTAATAAATGATATATAATCTGAAGGGTCTAAAAGAATGGGATTAAATTTACCACTCACAGAAACGAGAGTAACATTATAAATTCCGCTAACTGTTAAATTTAATTCACAACTATTATTCGAAATAATATTGATAATTGACATTTTTATTACGATTAAAAATATGGTAAAGCGTTATTTTCCAGTGATAAATAAAACTAGAATAAGATTACCTCAAGAATTCATAAATTCAACGAATAAGAAATTCATTCATGTTATAAATTTTAGTGTTTTCAGAAAATATGAGTCAGTGTCATATTCATCAACAGGTTATATTTCACTTCATTCAAATTTAGTTCAATCAAACCCATATAATGACCATTTCATAAGATTTTCAGATGGTATTAAAAATGTAATTGATAGATTAAAATATGAACAGATTGACAATATCGAATTTTTGGAATTTTGGTTTAAATATCCCGATGGAAAAAAGATTGAAGTTAAAGATAAAGCTGATACTATAACAAAAACAATTACAATGACCGATCCGGATAGTGGGAAACAAAAAGAAATAAAACAAACGATAGAAACTGGTGAAAGGTCAATTATTATTGATTATGATTCAAAGGATTATTATTCGATAATGTTAATGCTTGAATATTAAATAGCCTTAACAAAGAATTTTTCAAGTGATATTTTATATTCATCAACTATTTTATTATAAATATCATTATATGTTAAATGAAGTTCAGTTGTTGTTCCGTTCTTTGATATCTTAATTGTGCTAATATCCTTTATAGGATTTATTTTTGCAACTGTTCCGCAGCATGAAACCTCATCATCTATGAAAAATTGAATCTTAACGTCTGAATCTTGAACATCACAAAGAATGGCGATAATGTGAATTAATGATTCATAAGGTAAAATAATTAAACCGGATTGATCAATTAAATTTATTATTGAATCATAATTATAATTATTATATCACGGTAAATTTTCATTAATTCAGAATTAATGTCTATTTTATATGGGTTCTCGATGTTTGATGAAAGAGGGGGGGTATGTTGGATAAGTGGGAATTTCAACAGGTTCTTTACCGGGTTCAGATAAAATGATTGGGTCTCCATCTTCTTTATTTTGCTCCTCCTCCTTTTTCGGTAAGTCACGAGTTAATAAATTTGGTTGAGTTGCTGACCTTGTTAATTCAGGGCTAACATTAACTTTAACATTTTGAATAATTCGTGATTTATCATCATTTACGTTATAACCAACCGTAATCTCTGCTTTTGCGTTAGTGTTCTTTTGACTAGTGAAACGTCTTCTCATTTATAATCGAATAAAAAAATATATTTAAACTTTATTTTGCTGGAAGTTTTGAATCTATTATTCCCTGTATTTGTTCTTGAAGTTGATTTTTAGCTGGTTCATTGTAATTAATAGACCTAATATATTCATTAATTGCATTCTTATAATCATCTGATTTCTCAAATTTTCTTTTATCTGATTCCTTAACTAAATCATAAGTTAAACCTCGTTGCTGATATAATGGTTTCTTAATTAAATCTTTGAATGCTTGAGATAAAGCACCTGATGCAATTCTTGCTACTATAATTGGTTGGAATTGCTGTTTAAGTTCATCTTTAACATTTGCGAAAACTGGATCGAATAAAGCAACTTTAAAGAATTTCTTAGCTGAAATTTCAGGTCTAATATTTGCATATTGACCATCAAACTGTTAGAATATTGTGGTAATCCATCCGGTCCCTCTTCAATAGCATTTAATTCTTCATTGAAATAAGAATATGGATTATAACGGTATGAATTAATTGGACCATTTCACCTTCTCCAATGTATTGTTTAACAGCTTTTCCATTTTCATCAAATTGCATAGGATAACGTTCATTATATGCTTTACGTTTAGGATAATCAGTTATAGTTAATTTATAACCATTTATTTACTTTAATATTACCTTGACCATCAGTAACGAAAACTTCATTTATACCATCAGGTTTTCCATTTGGACCCGTAATGTCTGCTTCGTGTGCTTCCCAATTTGGACCTTGACGTTTGGCATATGCTTGAGCTTCTGGTAATGTTAAAACGTTTCTCATTTGTTTAACATCTTTTTGAAGACCAGCAACAATATGAACTAATTCTTTCATTCCATCAGGAACTTTCATAGTTCTATTATATGCACCCTTTTTGTTTGTTCCTTGTTTTAATGGAACCTGTAGAAGATTTGCTATTTCTGTCATGTTTAATTATAAATAAAAAATAAAAATTAATTATAAAAAGTTAATCAAATTTAACACCTCCTTTATTTAAATCAACTATTATTTTTCCATGTTCACCTAATTGCTGATATTGTGTGTAAAGTTCATTAATGCTCATTGGTAAATTCACTTGATAAAGCATAACGTTCAACTGTTGACGACTAAACCCACTGAAAATGAAAAGGGTTGATAGATTTGATTTAATGTTTGTGCTTAATGCTTTGAAGTATTGAACAGCCATAAGAAGAATGAACACTGAATGTGTCGACATTGAGTTAATAACTGATTAAAATATGATTTCTCATTTGTTATTAGTTTTGATTTCACTGCATCATCTAGAAAAATGAGTGAATGCAAAAATTCTCTATCAAAATTTGAAATAGAAAGTGTTTCAAATAATTCATCCCGTTGTTTATCAATAATTTTATCCTCTAATCCTTGCTTCTTGATTGTATTATATAATTCTTTATACATTAAAAAGTTTTTTAAATAATCTTCTGCTTCTTCTTGTGATAAATAAATAATTGGAATTTTGATTAAATGCTTTAAAGATTCAAATGTATCATCTGAAGGTGAACCTGAACGGTTGATATAAATTAACACATGTGAATAGGGGGAAGTGTTAGCAATAATGATAATTTGTTTTAATATCGTTAATGTTTTACCTTTATTTGTTTACCAATTGCTGCAGTGATTGAATTTAAGTAACATTCAGAATATGGAATTTTCATTAATTTTTCCTTAGATAGAGCATTTCTATTATCACTCAATGCTTCATTAATCATATCATCTATGTATGTATTATATACTCCTGCTAATTCTTCATAAGGAGTGTATGAATTTAAATCCATTTAATCAAAAATAAATTTATAATTTTAAACATTTCTATTCATCAATATTTCATCATATGAACTTCTATACTGTGGTGGTGTACCTGTTGGATGATATTTCAAACCTTCATCCGGTGTCCATGTCCAATATGTAGTCCTAGTAAACCAAACCTGAGGAGGATTTGTCACCTTTGAACAGTAAGTGTCATTTTCACCCTGAATGATTGGATAAGCTTTCACTTGTACTGTAACTTGTGAGTTGAAAGTTTCTAATCCATCAAAGAATATACCCGCTCCATCACGTTGAACTGGAATAGTGCATAAGAATGAAGTTTGGTCTTTCCATGTTCTAGCTAATGGCGTGCCATCATCTGCATTCAGTGGTCTAGTTAATGAGTCCTCGTATTCTTCTGTGCATTCATTCACTCCATCTAAATCAGAAGCTTGAAGCATACGTGTAAAGAATATGTCACCCACTGTGGTCATCGCTTGATCGGGGAAGTTTCTGGAATCTATAGTGACCTGAAGACCTCGAAGCATTGGATTTTCTAAAACCGTTCTTTGCATTGCATTCTTCGGAAATGCTAACACAACATCTGTAACATTATGAAGAGCGTATGAGAAATCTGAGCTAATACCTTCAGGAGTGATGCAACCTCCATTTAGTGAACGAACGTCAATATGTTGAGCTGGAATCATGAATGGATCTTCCTTACTGAATAAACGTGGTATTGCTTTAACTGATTCTTCAATTAAACCGTATCCTGGTGTAATGCATTTATCCTCTAAAACTTCCATCTTTGTGCATGAAATAATAACGTCATCAACTGTTGCGTCAGCAGATGTAGCGGCTAAGCTTGTAATTAATTTGGCAGGAAGTCCGATTTGTTGGAATTTGCGATCATATTTATAAACATGATTCATAATCTTTTCATAATTTTCATCAGTTATCTTTTCATAAACGTAATTTTGTAAATCAGCAACTCTTAACGGGTCAACCTGACAAAATACTAAAGTATCCCTGAAAACATAATATTTAAGAATGATATCACCAAATGATTTAGGATAATCATCGAACGCCTGAAATGCTAACAAATCATTTACCGGAATAATCATATCAAAAGTGACATCAACTTCTTCATTTGCTTTCTTGAAAACTTCTGAAGGGTCAATATATTTACCACATACTGAGTTATCATATTTTTGAACATTATTATATAACGAATGAACAAACTTTTTAACTTTCCTTTCTGATTTTGGTTTATATGTTGCAAATGCGAAAGATTCACGGGCGCAATCCATCTGAAGATAACCGGCATCACCTCTTTCGGTTTCTACTTCTAATTGTTTAAAGCTTTGATTTGATGATTTGTAACCAACGAATAAACGCATGCATTTAAAAGCGGCATCACATGTGAAAGCTTTATTTGAAACTAGAGTTGCTTTAACTTTGCGTTTAATATATGTGTCACCTAATTGGTTCACATCATGAGCCGGATTTGTAATTCTTAAATGAGTTTGTTTATCATCAAAATATGGAGCATCAGAGTCATAGCATGAACTTTCAAGTTCTCTATAATATCTTCTACCGTCATTCTTTGCGAATATTTCATTTATCTTTTCGAATGAATGAAACACATTTCCATTAATCGGTTTAGTGTTTGGCACCAAATAGTTAGTCGTCATTTATTAATAAATAAAAAATCAAAATTAAAAGATGAAAATGAATTTTTAATTTTAATGAAATAATCAACTATGGCTGCAGGTATATTTAAGAAACTGTGGGATAAAGTAAAAAGAGGAGCGAGTAAAGTTTGGGAAACATTGAAGAAGGGGCAAATTGGATATTTAAGAATAAAGAAGCAATTAGTGACGTTGCTGAATCAATAACACCAAAAGCTGCCCCAATAAGAGAAGTTTTAAATAAAGGAGAAAAAGTTTATCAAAGACTCAACCGATACTATAAAAATAATTAAGCCGCAAAAGATGATATAGGATTCATATTATTTTTCCACTATCTACCTCCTATTTTATTAAGTATTCCTTCAGCTATTCCACCAACTGCGTTACCTGCTTGTGCTCCCATCGCCGGATTACCTGCTTTAGTACCTAATACTCCACCTATGATAGTTCCTGCCGTTTTCGCTACTGGTGCCAAAAAGTTTGCAATGGGTTTAATAATCTTTTTATGAACCCAACCCGCAGCTTTCTTAATTCCATCCCATAATTTTTTAAAGAATCCTGCCGCCATTTCTGATTTAATATTAATTAAAAAAATATATTTCATCACTTATATTCTAATTTTTATTTAATGATAAATGAAACCGATTTTAAAAATAAATGAAACAGAGGAGGAAGAAATAAATGAAAGTGAAAATGTTCAACAAAAAATAAACGTTGTTAAACCAATTACTGAAATAAAAATTTTTTCATCTGTTGAAGAATTTAATGACTATTATGCTAATAATAAAAAATTATTTGAAGAATTGACAACGTGTAAATTGAATAAAATGTTTAAAGTTGATGGATTCAAAATTTCAAAAATAAAAGGAGTGGTTAGTTTGAAATCTATTCCTCAATCAAGAATCACCTCATTAATGAAAATAGATGATTTAACAAAAAGAATAGAAGAGATTGAAGAAAGAATGAATCAAATAATTGATTTCATAAATTCAAATAATCATTAGTTTCTTAAAGTTCAATGTTGAACTCATCAAATTCTTCTTCATCATTACCATTACCTTTAGCGAGTTTATTTACTCTTTCAACTTTATCTTTTGATAGTCTTTCGTTTAATTTTTTCTGAAGTTTTTCGTTACCAAGTTCTAAAATTTTACATGGATGATATTTAAACCCGTTAAATTCTTTTTCCTCAGTTTTAATCATTAATCTACAAAGAACTTTAGTGAGGTGGTTTTGTTGTTTAAACCATTTATCCTTAATATTTGTTATAAATTCAATATCCGGAATTAATTCCCAAATTTTTGAATTTTCGATTAATTTACCATCAAATGCAAAAGCAATAGGTTTAATATTAAACTTACCTTTATAAAATAAACTTTGTACGCAATCATCAAAATAAACGTCTACTTGTTTAACCTGGGTGAGAATTGGTGAAAGTTTATCCATTAATTGATTCACAGTCACGAATTTTGATTCACTCATTTCTTACGAATTTAAAAAAATAAATTATTCAAAAATGTAAGACATGAATTTTTAAAGTTTATTTTTTATTCATGAAAATAATTATTTCTAATTTCTTTTACTCTCTCGTACATACTAGATTTGAAGAATTCGGAACTTTACCATAATCTCCTAAATGTTTTCTTATCCCTAACGTGTGCCAGTTATTATATGAAACTGAATAAACTTTATCTTTATCTTTACACCTTTCATCACTTCCAATATATTTATATCTCAGTTTTGATTTAGCATTTTCATATTCATTAGCGTTTAATAATTCACAGTCTTCCTTTTTAAATTGATGTTTAAGATATTCAGGATTTAATACTCTACGTTTATATGCTCCTAACTTAGTTCTAAAGGTTTTTCTACAAAATTTAGGAATTCCATCCTCTTTAATGTCATCAATGATTTCCATTTCATTATTTTCAATTTCTTCTTCTCGTTTATGAGGTCTTTGATTATGACTCCATTGATTCCATGAAATTAAATATTCTTTATCATTATATTTATACCTCATTAGCTTATTTTGGCTTTCATATTCATTTAATTAATTCACAATCTTCATTTTTAAATTGAAGTTTAACCCATTCAGGATTTAAACAATGTTTAATTAATCGCGGAATATCTGACATCATATATATATAGCTTCTTTTATAAAAGATAAAAAAATAAATTATTTTAAAATTAATGTTAATTTTTAAAAAGTGTTTAGTAGTATATAATATTTATTACTAATTTATTTAATAATGTCGCGCTTTCTTACGAATTCATGACTTAAAAAACGTAAGAAAAAATTTTTATATCATCTATATATAGAAGATGTGAAAATATACCTTCATCTATATATAGACGTAACAAAAAAAGTCACTAAACCCTTCAACATATACTACTTGCCTGAAATTCTTTGATGAAAAAATCAAAAAGAAGACAATCAGATGTGCAATCACAAACAATCAGTAATTCTTAGCTTACATAATACATTGTTTTATCAAAAATGTATCTCTGCTTAAAAGAATATTTGAAAAGGTCTGTTTGATGTGATGAATGAATTTTTTGAAAATAATGGAAGAGAAGAAGGAAAATGTTGGACCTAAATGGGAATTCATTGAAGAATTTCCTGTTCCATGCCCATTCAAATTCTGTAACGTGAAGTGTCCAAGCACAATCATTATAAATGATGATAATAATGATATGATTGTAAGAATTATTGAGGAAACAAAGAAACACGATAATGAAACAGAGAAAACAGAAGTAAAGAAATATGGACAACTCTTAACAACTAAGCCAATCGAAGATCTTTCTGATATTGAATTACAAGTAGCCCTGGTTTCATTATCACTTAGCAATCGTGGAACACGTAATGAGAAAATCCAGAGATTACGTAATTACTTTCAAAATCAAGAATAATTAGAATAAATTTTATTTATCTTATTTTTCTTAAATTTTCCCTTATATATTATATTATATTAACTCATGTCATAAGAACAATAAATAGTACTTAAATCCTGCATCTTTTTAGATTGATAGAAAATTTTATTAAATTTGCTTTTTCTAACCTATTGTATAGTAAAACATCCAACAAATACTACTTCTAAACGCATTGTTTCAGTCCAAAACTCTCATTTTCATACATTGCTTGATGCTTGATGACTAAATCTTACAATGTAGGAAAATATTTTCAATCAGAAATCCAACAACAACCAACACTTATTGACATATATCCTGACTATGATCAGAAATCTAACAAAATTCCAATAAATTTAACACAAAAATCTCAAAATGCTCAACAAAGCCAAGAAAATCAAACAAAAACAGACAAAATTAGAATAACTGATACAAATACTTCATCTTCGACGTTATCTGCAGTAAAAGAAGAGAAAAATAATAATAAAATCAAAGAAAAAGAAGTTCAGAAAGAATCAATAACCAAAAATCCCACAAATCCTACAAAAGAGGTCAAACCTACTCCAAATAAAAAGAGAAAATCGATAATAAAAGTTACAAGTTTATATGATGCCTCAGAAGATGATGACATTGAAAAAGTACCATCAGGCCATAATGAAACCAAAGAAATACATAACGTATCACATGAAAATAACAAAAATGAAGAGAATAATACATCTAATCCCAAAAAATCAGAATCTCAAAAAGAACAATCTAGCAACATCTCAAAGAAACAGTCAGCAAAGAGGAAAGCTTTAATTGCAGATAAAATTCAACTAAATTTACCCAAAAATCATTCAGATCAAATTCCTTTTTCAATTGAGTCACCAAAAGTCCAATCAGATTCTGTATCTCTCCCAATCACTCATGGAAGTTCATCTTCTGATGAAGAAATCGAAGAAAAACAAACAAATTTGGAAACAAATCAAAATGAAGAAAAAATAATAGAAGAAATACCAGTCAGATCATCTGATTCGGATAGTGACTCGGGTTACATGTTTGATCCTAAGAAAGTTTGTAGAATGTATGAGTTTCCTTCAGGGAAAAATAAAAAAGCAGAAGTCCAAGAAAATCAGTCTCAAAAATCACCATCCTCTGATAAAAATAGTCAGGGCCAGCCTCAAAACGCTGAAGAAGAGGAAGATTTTAATGATACTTCTTCAATGCGCAGTTTAAAGACAGAATTCCTTCAGAAATCACAAGGGAAAGATGAGAGTAACTATGATTATGAGGAAGAATATGATGATAGTTCAAATTTAGCTAATTCTCAATCTCCGAAAGTTACTTTAATCATGCCAGATTCCCAAAGCATAAATAGTAGCGAATCCACATAGATATAATAAAGTGTATGAATATTTTTAATTATATCTTATTGTTTCTTTAATTTTTTTAAATTATTTTGTCATATGGCAATCATAATGTCACATTATTCATCATCAAGACAATTCAATTGGTAGAAAATGCTCGTTGGGCTTGTATTTAACAATTTGAAAATTAAATTAATTTTTTTTCGAAAGTTAAATGTGTTTGAGTAGATTGATAACATAATGTAAGTACTTATATCAAAGAAAATGAACAGTTTATTCAAACATAATATAAAAGAATAGTAATAAGTCAAATATTGTTTCAGTAATAAGTTTTCTTTTCATTTTTTTCTATAAGAACATAAACGCTTTGCATTAGTGGAAGGATCATGGCGAAAATTGTTCTGTTTTGAGAGATTAATCAATCGGAACTTTACATGTTGGACATGTTGACCTAATTTTGACCCATTTCTCCAAGCAATCTGGATGGAAGAAGTGCAAGCATTTCAGAACGGCGATATCGCCTCCATGAATAGGATTAAGACAAATACCGCAAATATTTGGTTCTCCAGCATAATCTTCGAGCATATATTTCTTTACTTCATACTTCGGCTTATAAAATGTATTGACCGTTTCTACAGGATTATACTGGTTGATGTCATTTGGAGGTACGTTGTTTTGAGGAAGGCAAAGTTCGATGATTGCAATGATGAGTAACAAAAAAGAACATGAGGAAAGTATAATGAGAAACGTTTTTAACTTGAAAACTCTGATGATAAACATTAAAATATCGACACAAAGAATAACAATTAGAATTGGACGCACTCTGCTAATTTTGAACATGCTTTTAAGCACTTGCTTGATCGGTGATGTTTCCGTACGTATAGCTATAGGTACTGGTTGCATTTTTCGATCATTTGTCACTTTTCGATACAATCTAATTTTAGTTGGATTAAGGTTATTACTAAAAATAACTTATAACTCTATATATAGAAGATATTTTCGGATTTTGGTAAGTGATATTAGAATGACTATTATTGATGTTTAAACAGTACATGTTTCACAGTTCCTTCTTAAGCATAACACGCTGGGAGCAGCGAGACAATTTTTTTTGCATAAATTTAAAAAAGCTTATTCATTATCAGGAATCTTACTGCCTAAATGAGATGAAAATGGGTTTATAGTATTCTTAAGTTTAATTTTGACTTTTTCATTATATGCTGATCAAATCTAAGTCATCCAATTCTGAATTTCGATATTTGAAAATGATAGATATCGCATTTTCTAAATTTTATTTCATCATCATGCATTCTATATGCAACTCATATATATCATACTATGCATATGAGAATTATTCTCTACAAATATATAGAATAGAAGATTATGAATTTAGTATGAGAAAATTTTAAAGTTTTTATTAGTCAAATAATCTTGTCAATTCGGAAACCTTTACATTTTGAACGAGATTATTGAAAGAAAGATTAATTGCTTCTTCAATTCCTGGGAAAGAGTCTGGATTCAAGAACTCAACTGATGGATGTCCTCCATCGTTGCAAGCGGCAAAGTAGCTCCAATTGGAATTGTAGTCGATTTCAGCATCTCCATGAAAAGTTCTGATCTTGAATGCCTTATCACTCTTCATGTAAAGTGAAACAGATCCGTATAGTTTATGCTCTTGTTTAATATAATTAAACGCCATGATAATCCTTACTTTATTATCTTCATAAGAAGCTGGATCTCCAAGATTATGTATATGTGGCAAGCATTTTTGATTAAATGCTTCGTCAAATTTGACAGTTTTGATTACATCTTGAGATCGTGTTTCGAAATATCTTGGAACTTTGTCAAATGAAATGGTCATCTTGCCGACTGATGTGGAGAAGTTAACCCTTGTTCCAGGTAGGTTATTACCAATAGATCGCTCAAAGATTGTTGTCATTGGATTTCGGTGATATGACAAAAATGGCAAAAAAATTTACGAAAATTCAAATAATTTTTATTGAATCACAAAAGAAACAGAAAGATACGATAATTGGTATTGATATCTTTTTTAATGAAATTTGTGAATAAAGATTTTTGCTCTTAAAAAGTTGATAATATTAAAATACAACTTAAATATAATAAATTACATATCAAAATTTTGGAGGCACTTTTCTAAATTTTCTCAATTCAAAATTACAGATGACAGAATGTCCGAATTTTTTTCGTGGAAAGAAGAACATGTTTAAAACGGACATGGAAGTCTTTGTGATTGATGTCAATGGATATGACTTACGGAGAGGCCTCATCAAATGTTTCGGAAATAATTCATGGACGATATTTTACCCAGATTCCAAGGATGTTGAAGATATTGTTGATACAAATCGCATTATACCTTACAATAAAGACAATAAGCGCATTTTTAATGATCAAGAAAAGAAGAGAAGCGAATTACATGAAATTAAGGAAGCAATATATCGCAATGCGTTATCTGCAGACACGTCTCCACAAAAGAGAATGCTTGAAGATGATCTCCCGCCAAAGAAACGCATATACCCTAACAGCCCGACAAAGTTTTTACATCCTTTGCCAAATACAGCTAATATAGCGGAGAATCACGTCACTGAACAACAAAAAATCGAAAATAAATCTACAGTCGTCGACGTTAATCATGAAATTGACAAAAAATCGCCGATTGACCCTTCATCTGATAATACATCAACTAAACCTGATATTGAGCTGCATCAGGTTCAAACGTTGAAAGAAAGAAGTTCACGCTTAGATTCTTTACAACCAACTTCCATCGAATTCAATACAAATTTAACAAAGAATTCTTACACTTGGACGTTCAAGATCAACTTCAATTAAGCGGCTTATGTTTGTTATGTTAATAGTTCTACAATCAGATTTGTAAAAATCTTTTTTGTTTCTGTTTATTAAATATACCATTTTTATTTACTTCGCAAAGGGTCCAATTCATATAAGGATCATATTAATTCCTTATTAAACTTTGAATGACTGATTTAGATCTTTCAAATGATAAGTAAAATAAAGTTTTATTTTATTTTTGTCCTTTGTAACTTATATCTGATAAAAATTTTTACCATTTGAGGAACTTCCACTCAAATAATCCTAACGAATTCTTATAATATCAGTAAAATTCCGAATTTGTATTCATCAATAAAGAAAAGACAAAAACGTATATAAAGAAGAGAAAAGAGGATAGATAAAAGGAGAGTTTTAATCTAAATAGCTAAGAAAATTTCCAATATGGAAATCTTAGATAAAAATAGAGTAGTTTTACATGAACATATCATTAACATGTATCACGTATTCTACAAATCAGTATAATGAACCTAATTAAAATCTGTGTGTTAGTTGTTGTTTTAAATTGAGGCTCAGATCAATTTTTATCGCCATTATCCTGCCATAAGGGTCAGAGCTATAACTGCGAAAAGAATTGTTATCTTCCAAGCCAGAAGTTACTAATACATACGTTCTAGAATCACTAAAGATTTGTGTCTGTCAAAACCGCCATGAATTAGTGTACTCTAAAAAATTGAATGGCCAAGAAGAAAAACTCTTTTAATCAGCATTTCTTACGATGCAAAATAGATAGCTACATGTCAGTAGTCATAGTTATCAACTTAATATTTCTTATTTCTTTTTCTTTTGTGATAATAAATAATTAATGTTCACTTTTGAAGGGCAGCAACATTCATAATATATATATCAATAGAAAGAGAAGGTTATCAAGATGGATAAGCACATTTTTTGTATCTGAAATATTTCTCATGATGAAAAATAGGTATACAGTTCAATACTTCATTGAGTAATCCACATCTATTTTGCATGTGTTAAATATCTAATCATTAATTGGATATTGTATAAATTCAAAAAATTTGCAAATATAAGTTAAAATTAGTATTATTTATAACTGTGTAATTGCGAGATATCAATTTTATGACAGAAAATCGATCAAGAGTAAAAAACAAAATTGATATAAAAATAATGGCAATTAGAGCAATAATATCTAATAATTTAGTATCGACTTAGGTATCGTTAGTTTATTAGTGAATAATGACAAAATGAGTTTTAGAGATGAAACGTATTTTGATGACTTTCATGGAGATAATTAGCTTAAAGTTCCTGATTAATGGAGCTTTGAAACCAATGAACTGCTTAGCTAAGAATAAGCATATCCTTATTTCGAATGACTACAATATCCGGTATCCAAGTGAATTCAGTATTTTTTTTTCAAACCCATAAACCATGAATCTGTTTTTGGGTTATTTTTAGTATACCTCATGGAGTATACAATCCTATACTTAATTAAACTAAAACCGAATTTTCAAAAATTTCTGAGAGTTCAGAAATATAATTTCTAAGCTGGATTAAGGGTTTCGTTTTGCGAAAAAAACGTACAATACGCAATTTCGCTAAAAAAACATTTAGCTAGCAATTTCGACCTTTGACTCCACTCAAGACGTCACTTTTTTAATTTTGCGGTATCATATTTTTGGAAAATCTTTATGAATATTATATAAAAAGTCTCTTTAATATCTATATTTCATATTTTTATCGATTTTTAAAGTTTTTGCGAAAAGTATTCAATTATTTTTGCTATTTGGTCGGGTAAATGTCAGATTTGCGACATTTTCTGATATGATATTCAGATTCTACGTTGATAATAATGCTTATAGAACCCTCTTGCTATTGTGTCAAAATTGCGAAACCGATAGCAAAAATATCTCGCAATATCAAAATTGAGATATTGAGTGAATTATGCATTATAGAGATTAAAAATCTGATTTGTGAAAACATCTCATCAGTTTCTAGCTAATTCAAAAATCTTTACTATCTTATTTGATTAAAATGAAAAGGGAATAGTTTCATTATGCTTTAAATGACAGCCTTATAATATAATCATAGTTTTCGCTCAATATGCAGCATTTTTTTTTCGAAATCTATGGTCAATGTCCTAAATACTGATTGCTTTGCATTCATATCTCTTACATTTTCTATACCCACATCACTATTCATTGCTATTCCTATCTTTTTCATTTTTGTTTGTTTCTCATAATTTCTCAAAAAGCATGATAACTTGATATTTGTAAATATCATACTTTATAACGTAAATAAGAACTTGACCTATTAAGAAAAGCAGTAATGAAAAGAAAATCTGAAATTCATAAAAATTACAAGTTTCTGATGACAATTAGCTTAATTAAACCAGGTACAAGATTATATAATTGTATTTTCTATCCAATTATCCATATAATATCTTATCCAGAAAAAATAACTTGATCAATGAGTGGGGGACAAACTCGCCCATTGTCACTTTTTCATTAACCTTAAACTTGTAATTTTCATTATTTTTAATTAACCTTACTTCTTTCCCAATTCCTGATTTATTTTATTCACTTACTATTAAAAGTCACATTTTAATAAAATATAATAATTTATTTATAGCATTTTTTACTATACTGTAATAAAAAATTAATTATAATAAATTAAATGTTTATTAAATCAAATGTTTTCTTTGCAATAATATTTTTAATGTTGAGTAAACAATGTTGGGATCAAGTGTATCATTTTTCAGACCTTTCTGAACAGCTTCAAGCATACTGATGCATTCGACTTTTTTAAATTGTGTCATTTCTTCGAAATCTCTTGTGACTTTTTTGATAACTTTAACACTTCTCTCTGAATCCAGACCTTTAATTTGCAACTTAATCAGGAATGAAGGAACAACACTGGAATATAACTCGATGACAAGTTCATCGAGTCGAAGATTTCGCCTTTCTGGGAAGTACTGGTGCTTCAAAACCTTGAAATGTGATTCTGAGATGTTGTTTGTTCCATCTCCTTCATTTCTATAGCGAAGCATCCACCTGTCAAGATGATGGCGCCACTGTCGGTCAAAGTATTCACGGGCAGCAGGTTCCTCATTTAAAATTTCTTCTAAATTGTTGTAAACTTCATCAGGATCAATTTCTTCCTCTTCAGAACCAAAGACCAATAACTTCATTAAGTTATAGAAAGTTTCGAAGTTGGAACGATCTTGAAACTTTTCAGCCTTTCTCATGACAGCGCGCAACACATGAACGCCACACCAAATGATCTGGCATAAGGGGATGGCTGTTTCAACAGCATTTGTGATTTGAGGTGCGCAGTCCATTGAAAAATAAGATGGTTCGCGATTGATGGAGCCAAAATATGCTGTGAGACAAACTTGTATATTTTCACTTGTGTCGGGCCAAACGAAAAAATACAAAAACGGAAAAACAATTGATTCCGCGAATTTGCCAGTGACGGCATAAAATGGTATGCGAGAGCGCAAGAGCTTATAAGTGGAATCAATGTGATAAGTTTGTATTTGATGTGAAAAAGCATTTGCTTCGAATGGGGCGTAATAGAAAATCATACGATCTGGCTCGTGAATAAACTCGATGAGATCATCTGGAGAATGACTCTTAACCATGTCGACAAAAATTGCAAGAGATGTAACATCATCCGCTGAGAAACGGGTATTGATTGCATGAAGGCGTTTAGAAAACTTTTTTAAAGCATCTGTAGATTGTTGAAACATTTCCGGAATGATCCCACTATCAAATGGGATATTAAGATCTTTGAAACACCTTAATTGTGCGTAAACACGGTCTTGATTTGATTCAAAATATCTTGTTAAATAAGATCTATAAAAATATGATGTAATTTGTTGTGATTTGTTTGGAAAAGGGGCAGAATGATTGTGGGTGTTAATACATTTTCGTATGTGGTACTTGTCATCGGGAAGTGTATCAACAAGGAAGCGACATGGACAATTCGGCCACTTACAATTAAATTTGATTTGATTTCTTTCTTTCCTAGTTTTATATGAATAACTACAACCTGCTTGGATTTCTTGTTGCACTCCATACTTAAGCAACTCGATATATGTGAGTTCGTGATCTTGGATCTGCATTAAAATGAAATGATTTGAAAGAATAAAGAATTTTGAATATATTGGTCTTATTTTGATAAGCTTGGTCGTGTTTTGAATAGCTTGGCCATCTAATTCAATTATGATCTTTGAAAATTAGGTGAAATAAAACTAAACATAAATGTAAAACTAGGGATATGAAATTTTGGTTGTACACCACTTGTATGTGCCGGATACCATTGTGTCAAATTTTTTCTGAAATTAACTTTAAAAGTACTAAGTAAGATCATGAGATATAGCAATATATGTTTAAACCAACTTATATTTTGGTTGTACACCACTTGTATGTGCCGGATACCATTGTGTCAAATTTTTTCTGAAATTAACTTTAAAAGTACTAAGTAAGATCATGAGATATAGCAATATATGTTTAAACCAACTTATATTTTGGTTGTACACCACTTGTATGTGCCGGATACCATTGTGTCAAATTTTTTCTGAAATTAACTTTAAAAGTACTAAGTAAGATCATTTATTTTTGCATAATATAATGCCAATATGGTTTCTTTTGATTTTATTTCATTTATAAGCAAATCAGATTTACCCAAAAACTCCACTCCATAAGCGTTCATTTGCTAAATTAAAAAGTGACAATGGGCTAGTCTGTCCCTTTCTCCTTGATCAATACCAAATGATTTTTTAACTAGTAAATAAAGTATTTTCTTTACACACACATTGTATATCATAGTTTTTTTTTTTTTTTTTGGTTTCGCAAAACATCCAAAAACAAATATGCTATAAAAGTGACAATTTTAGCAAAACGAAACCCTTAGCTGGATATCTTATTTTAATATTATAATGAATATTTAGTCTATTTCCAAATTGTTATTAAACTAATTGAATGATTTTGAAAATGCCAATGTTAAGATGTAATAGTATGAGTTATGTTTATCATTAAATTAAGAGAAAATTAAAAAGTGTATTTTTGTGAAATAGTATCTCAATTTTTTAAAACATGCATTTTAAATTGTATAGTAATATTCAAATCGATCTTTTTGACCTTGAAGTCTTAAATGCCACCAAAATTTCTGAACTTTACAAGCTTTACAAACTTTTTGATTTCGAATGAGCGACAACGTACTGGTCGAAGTTGCAATGAATTACGTCAGTGAAGTATGCGAGGTCATGAGTCGTGATGACCGGCGCTTACTAATTGACGCATTTTCAAAATACGTTTCTTCAAGTATTAGTTATGAAAAAGCAAAAGCAATTCTTGTCGATGTTTTAAATAACCCAACTCCTCTTGACAAACTATGTGAAATTATGTTTGTTTCAGATACTCCTTTGCCTCCTGTTGATGAAATGGACTCAGAATCTGGAAGTCGAAGAAAAAAGACAAGAACATGGTCTTCAGAAGAGGATCATCGACTTATTATGGGTGTCTACAAATATGGCGTCGATAATTGGAATTCAATAGCTTTATTTGTCGGCCATTCAAGGTCAAGATCTCAGTGCAGCCAAAGATGGATTAGAGTATTGGATCCACATATTTCGAAATCTCCATGGTCAGAATCAGAGAACCGTCAACTCCTTTCTCTCGTTAAGAAATACGGCACTAAAATGTGGGTTAAAATTGCTTCCGAAATGGATAGAAGAAGTGATGTCCAATGCAGATATAGATATAAGCAATTGGTTGGAGGCAAGGATGATGCAGCTTCTTCACCACCTCAGCCGAAATCTCATGCTCCAAAAGAAATTCAACCGCCACCAGTTCCAGTTAAACAAACGGAGTCAAATACAGATCAGTTTTCATCCTCAGTCCCTCCTCATCTCCAAATGCTTAATTTACTCCCTCAACAATCTAGAACTATTCCATCTTTCAATCCTAGCCCACAACCTCCTCAACAAGTAGAACTTAACCAATTCCAGAAGATTCCTATTCCAACGACTATTAGTACTATGCAATCTTTACCAATTAATCCAATGCCGTCACAGATTCCAAATGTTCGGGCACAACTACCAACAATTCAGGCTCTTCAGATGCCAAGATTCGATCAAATACCACTCGCACGCCCACAACCAACTCCTTCTGACCAGAAAGGAAATATTAATTTAGATGCACCAATTTTGTTAAGAAGTTCAACTGATTTCTTCTGTAAATCAGATCAGTTGTTTGATTCATCATTCTGGACTACTTAATTATTATTTCGCTTTTTTTTCTTTGTTATATTAAGTTTAAAAATTCGACATTTTAACTGTTTTTGGAAATAGTGACTGATAAAATTACATTAAAATCTGAAATGAAATTTATTTGATAAAGAACTTGATTCAATTCCATACCTAGAAGTACTTCAACTTCATAGACCTGAAATTTATATATAAAGTGATTAATTGCTATATTCCATATCTGTGATTGATTGAAAAATTAGGTAAATATGTATTTCCATACCTTCACAGATTCTGGAATATAAATTATTGATTGGACCCTATTTGTCACTTATGAGGAAGACTCAATTAAATTCACACGATGGTTCATCATGGATTCAAAAATAAGGACAGAAAGTTTTGATATTGATCGAATGAGAAGTAAATAGGAATAGAAAGGTAGTGGATTATGAATTAACCAACATCTTTATTTGATTTTGATTTTTTTTCTTGAGACTCCGAATACCTTCTTCAAATTAGTTCAGAATCGGTTATGTTACTAAACTGTAGATGAAGTTTAATTCAAACAATCATCATAACAGCACTCGATTATTACCGAATTTTTTTCTTTGAAAATTTAGCATTCGGAATTTGCTATATTGATAAAATCAATTGATAAACATGTAAGAAATATTTATGTTAAGGATGTCAATTTGGAAGAAAAGTGAGAAAATTCCTAAAATGCTAAAAATGAATTTTCCAAACGTATTTTTTTATCTCATTTTTTTGATTTTGAAAAAAATTTGGAGAGAAGAACTCTTCGTTTTTGAATTTTATCACGATGGTTTTAAAGTATATTAGACACATGTATTGGTATTACTATTTTTGTATATTTTGAGAGAAAATCCCTAAAAAGTGAGAAAATCTAAGACGGTTTGAGAAAATATATAAACTATTGAAAATTTGAATTAAACTTCTAATTTGGAAAAAAAATTTGGAAAGAAGAAAATTCAAAAATCGAGATTTAGACTCAGCACCAAATGGAGAACAAAATGTTTCTTCATATGAAGGAAAAAATTTTCTTGTGAAGAAATAGAGTTTTTAAAATTTTATTGTATGTAATGAAATAAACAAATATTAAAATTATTTTTTGATAACAAGAAAATTCCCAATAGATATACTTTATTCGCATCGAAATTGGCGCGTTTCTTTACAAAAGAGCTATTTTTTCGTGATAAATAATATCTACATCCCCTAAAAAATCGATTTCTGCAGTCAGAATTGAAAAATACCGATCAGACGTGGAGATATCGTCATTTCTTTTACTCCCTTTTTACTTTTCTTTCTCTCCTCTCTTTTCGGCCACTTTTTGAATACCTTGATCGTTCATTTACTTTGATTAATGACAAAAAGACCACTTGGGAAATACTCCATAAGAAATATAAGAAACTTACCTTGGCGGACTCTCGAGAGCCACCACCTGAAGGTTTTGTTAACTGTTACGATGAATCAAATCATGCATATTTACAGTGTAATAATTTTAAAAATGACATCCAGTGCGATTTCTATATCGCAAAATATCATCTTCAGAAAGTGCCTACAGTAGATCCTGAAGCATATCCACTCAAACATCAGCACTATTTTGGCCAACCTACACTTTACGATGTAACAAGGCGTACAGATGTCCAAAACCAGAATCAAGATGACCATCAAGATCAAACACAACAAAATCAAGGCCAGCAAGGTCAAAATCCCCAGATTGATCCGGATGTCAAAGCATATTTTGAAGATTTAAAAGATTGTGATAAAAGTATAAAAGATTTAAATATAGGGAGTTAGTATACAAGTCTTGGGTATGGTGGCACTGCGTTCCACCTTACCCAGTACTTGTGAATTTGACACTTTACAAAACCGTTAACGTATATTTTACAACATGAACGCAAAAACTAACTTAACCTTAAATATTTACAAAGCCGCCAACAATTTCACCTCATTATCGTTCTCACTAACAACTTCACTAATGTTCTCATAAATTTTCCTCAATATCTTCATCATCAGTGTTAACCCTATTGTAGTCATACTTGAAGCCATAAACTTTCTCTAACTTCTTAACGTACAATTTACATAACTTACCTTCGTCATCGTATGGTTTAATGATATAACTATTTCTATCTTTATAAACAGTCAATGAAAAGTCAACTGGTCTCGGATGTATTTGAAAGAACATGTTATGCTCAGGAAGGAAGAATAAATGTTTAAATATATGTTTGTTATATGTTTTGATTTGTATGAGTTGCTTTTGTTCTGTCATTACATCCAAATAATTTTAAAAAATAAAATAAAAAATAAATGATATCACCACCCTCACACGTATGAAAACATAGCACAAAAATAAATTTAGGTGAAGTGGTGAGATCTCACCTCTTTTTTCACCTGTTTTTTCACCCTGTTGAATTCATTGCTTTATAACTCTCTTCCTTGGTTTCTTTTTAGTTGCTTTCTTCACGTCTGTCTCCAGCTTGACTGTCTTTCTTCTTCGTCCATAATGATACCAATTACTTCCACCAGTCAATGGGTCAAATGGTCTTTCGTAAGGGTTTCCATACATTCCATAGGGACCATACGGAAGAACTACTGGTGGAGAAGAAACATTTTCTTTAGTTCCATCAAATCTATTTAAATGCATTGTTTCACCTTTCATCTGGTCATTAAAGTCTTTTGCGTGTTTTGCAAACTCATCGTCCTTTCCTAAAGCATTTTCTGACTCAGTCGCAACCAAATTGGATGCTTTATTTATGAGCCCTATTTTATTTAATCTTAACTTCTTTGCAACCCAGCCTCCAATCTTCCCTTTATTTGCATCTAATGTCTTCGAAACCCTTCCTCCACTCATTTTATTTACTGCGTCATAAGCTCCAAGTGCTTTTGCTCCAAATGCTAATGCTTTTGTTCCCATTGCGCCTAAAGCTGCCCAAGCTACCATTTACACCATATTAAAATCATCTCTCTTCAATATTATCTCATAAAAGTTCTCGTTACTGGAGAAAGTCAATGAAACATAAGCGTTCTCACGGGCTTCGCCCTCACCGCTTTGCGGTCTATCTAACTTATTTCTTATATCATCTATACGCTTCAAAATGTCTGAACAATTGCTAACATCTTCTACAACAGTTATTCATCATGAATGACCTTTAAGAACAAGCTCATTTAATATGCAATTAAAATCATCTCAATAATGAGTCCATCCTTTCCATCTTTAGGTAGCACAACATCTTTCATTGAAGAAGGTTCGACAAGTCTTATGTTAAACTTACTGACAAAGTTTGTTATACTATAATGCTTCGGTGGCGAATACATGTAGTTTGAAAGACATAATATAGATTCTTCAGCAAATTCACTTATACTGGATTTTATAACAATGTTCTCACGAGACCAAATACCACCAATTGACAATCTTGTAAGCAATCCTGCTGAACCTTCTACTGTAAACGTCGATGGTAACATTCCACGAAGGTCATCTATTGACATCTTTGAGTCACTGTATTTAAATATTTTCTTAAAGCAATCGTCATTATCTAACCATGCAATAGCTTTGAAGTTTTCATTCGAATATACATCTGCTTCATTAAATGTAAAACCTGACTTCTTTGCAGAGACGACTTTAAAATCTATTGAGTTTATTTCAAAATTATATGCTATGGTAACTTCTGAAGGTAATGGATGTCCTTCCGCAGTCAGTTGTTCTCTCACTACCGTTTGAAGCTTTGTATTAAAAACTTTCATGTCATCTCCTGTATCTAAGTTCACATACACAGCAACAGGGAAACTATCTTGCTTCTTTGTTTCATCATTATATCTCAAAACATTAAAGTTCTTCAATAATATTGTCCTTCCTGCTGGAATACTTCTAACTTGTCTGATTTCAATAGCTTTCTCACCTCCTACATACTCTACCCAGTGTCTTGGATATTCATAAGTATACTGACTTTCTTGAATTTTGGTTGGTTTCATCATAACGTGTTCATAGTATATCTTTATACTCTTGTCAGTTAGACTCGGTGCTATGTTCTGAATATTTCTGACTTGCATTTTTAATGGAGATAAAATGAAGCATTTAATACATGACGTAGATGAAGACATGAATGAAACTACAGACAAACTTAACTCTTCTCTCATTCTTCCTTTCAGTAAGGACTATGAGTTCTGTTCAAATGGTGTTTATTTCTATTGTGGAAAGATGGGTTCAGGTAAGACATTTAACCTCATTCGTCATATACTCATAACAGAACGTTTAGGAAATGACTCATATTATGACCAAATCATTATATCAGCAACTTCAGACTCTATGGACTCAACAGCGAAAACATTCATGAGTAAAGTTCAAGCATCTGTCGTTAAAGTTCCAGATAGCGAACTCATTGAATTTCTTCAACGTTACATTCGACGTAAGAGAAAATATTATGCCATCGTTGAATTTATACAGTCAGGAATGCAAAAGACTTCAGAAGAGATGGAAAGAATTATTGACAAACACCACTTACGTCAGTACTCAGGAGTTTACGATATGAAACGACTGACAAACTACATTCTATCAAAACTTTCAAAATACCCCTTCAAAAAGTATCCTTCAAACACTCTGCTCGTTTGTGACGACTTCGCCGGAAAAGGTTTAGTTTCAAAACCAGACTCACCATTAGCGAACATCATAACTAAAGTCAGACATTATCACTTAACTGTAGCAATACTTATGCAAACATGGAGGTTTTTAGCTTTAAACATAAAACGTCTCATAACTGACTTCGTTATCTTTCAAGGTTTCTCACGTTATGATATTGAACTCATTTGGAAACAGTCAGGTATAACATTACCTTTTGAAGAAATTTGGGAAGCATATAAGTCTCTCATCTCTCCTCGTTCATACCTTGAGATTCATATCATGACTAATACCATTAAAGTCAAAAATATTCCATGGGAACGACCAACATTGTTTTAAAGTTTAACCTTCAATTGACTGATGGTAAACAAATTCCATGCATCTCTGTCGCCATTTCTGTTAATATTTTTGCTGTCATTCATATCATCCACTTCCCCATCCGTTAGCTTTTGAGGATATGCGTTAGAATAGCTGTTCTTAAATGAAGGCTTTTCACCTTTGAGAGCATAAACTCTATAACTTTCTGCATACTTTATGTTTGAACCTCCTGAGCCATCATTGACATAAATTTTTATAGGTTTCCACCCTTTGTTCATATTCCTGCTTCTTCCCTTTGCTCTTTGTTCAGTTCATAGTTCTACATCTTTATACACAGCTCCTGTCTCAGTGAATTCAACAATATTTTCATTCGTTAGCTTTACATTCAAACCCTTGTCGAGTATATTGTTCATTTCATACATATAAAAGGTTTTTTATTCTATATGAAATGAGAAGCAAATCCATCTTAGCTGGTGCTGTTAATGTTCCAATTGAACCAACATCAAATGTTGACTCACGAACGACAAACAATATTGTTATAAAGAAACTATAGTTCAGAGTGTTTGAAAGAAAAAGAACCAGAGCTGAAATCCGTGAATTTAAACACAGCTTCAAACGCTAACGCTACATCAGATTAAGTTAGAGTATCCACCACTGGACCAAATTCTTTCAAGAGAAGCCAACGACAACCCTTACATAAATGTTCAAACAAATCCTTCAGATAACGTAGACCATTACCTTCTTCAGTTATACCAAACAATTTTACTCAAAGACGATAAGAAGCTTTGACAAATCTTATAAGTAAGAACCAAATAATTCTAACAAAGGAGACCTTGAAAATGTTATATCACGAATAACAGGAAAGCAATGTGTCATTGACTATCTCGACCCTGAAATCGAATGCTGTGGTCAAACGCCAATATTCATGAAAATAGTAACATCCGCATCATTGAAACACACAGGAACTACAGGAGTTGAGTTTAAGTATAAATATTCGAACGAGTATACAAAACTATCTACTTACTATAAGCTTTGTTTGAAATATGTTTTAGTAAATTAAAGCAACTTATAGTATCTATCCAAAACTTCTTCAACAGTATCGAACTCATCTTCATAATGCAAACCTAATCTTATTGACTTGGTGCAGTTTTCACTAACACAATATTTTTCTGTTCTCTTGACTGACATAACTAACTCATTTGTTTCATCAAACAGCAACAACCAAAGTTCATGACCTAATACATAACATTCATACTTTATATTTTTAGCTCTGTATTCTCTTGTAAGCTGTTGCATTTAATATTTTCTAAAAAGTCAACTTCAACAGTCATTCGCACTGGTGCCTTCAGTTCTACAGGCTCTCCTTGAAAGTCAACAAGTCTGAATTGCATGTCTTTCAAATTATGAGGACTAATGCGAACCCATTTACCTAAATGAGTTGCTATGACAGGAACGTTTGGAATGAACATTGAATTGACTGCATAACAGAAGGATTTATATTCTACTGAACCTTTACTATTAACTCCTGAAATACCTGTGACATTAGCTATTTTAGACTCAATGTATAAACAATTACCATAACATACGTATGGAACAGATTTCATCTCAATCGTTTTGTCAACACTTTTCAAAGGAAATGTCATATGGTATGCACCCAAAAGAAGTTGTACTCTATGACTCATTCTTGGTATCTTAAACTCCTTCACATAACTGAACTTCAAAACTCCTGCAATAAGTTTAACATTCATTAAGTTTTCTTCGTTATCCTTGTTTATTGTAGTATTTATGAGAGCATTTAACACTCCAGCTAATGTTTCCATCTTATATTCTACATTATTGTGAAATCTTATTTCGTGCTTCTTTCCATCTATTTCAATCTCCATGAAATCTGTTTCACGAATGAAGCAATAGTATTAAAGTCAACCATTCTGAATGCAAGCGCCTCATTCTGTAGACCTAAGTTTGTTTGTAGCTTTACTGTCCCGTATTCGTTTGGGTCTGTACTTTGCAAATAGAACAACATTTTATTCTCATTAAAATATGAGTATAGCTGCATATGCGTATGAAGCTGACAGAGCTAAACGTTTATATTTTGGTCAATACTCTCTCACACTTACTGACAAATATATTGTGGGAAATACCGAGAAATACATAACATGGAAGGACTATGAAAAGTTTGACCCTATTTTAACTCCATGTACTATGCCATTCATTGTAAATGGTGAAGTTGTCATGAAGAACGACACAACAGTATATAAGTCTGTATATGAAGCGTTAGAATATATGTTGAATTATAATCCCGAAAGATTTGACCCAAGCACTACACCATGTGCAATGCCTTTTATTAAGGACGGTGAAATCGTAAGAGTTCCGGATTCAACGGTTTACACAGCTGTTCAAAACAGTTTACAAAACATTTTAGCGAATATCTTTAATTCAGAAACTACAGAAATAAAATTACCATATATAACAGATGCTAAAGAAATTAAATCAAAAACGACAACATTATTTACGTCACTTAATGATTTAATGACTTATATCATTAATATTCCTGCACCAACTACAGCATTTGATCCAAACTCGACGGTTTGCAGTGTACCTTTCATAAATGACAGTTCATTAATTACTTTAAGGGATTCGACAGTAAATGAATCATTAAAGGCGTCATTAATGAAAATCATTGATTTTAATTCATTCATGAATACATATAATTCATTCATTAATGTTTCATATGCTTCTAAAGAAGGTGAGCCAAAAACTATCGATAAAGCGGTGTATGAAATAAAAGCATCAACGACGAAATTGAATTCGTTAACTTTTGACGGTGATAGTTTCGTTAATGACATAACATCGGGGAAAACAATTTTAACGAAAGAATATTTAAAATCTCATGTTAGTGAGTTCGTTGAAATTGAAAAAGAAGGTGGAATTAAGTTCGATCCACTGAATTTCATTTTCAGCTTAGCGAATGCGGGTGTTAGTTTCGCTGAATGGACAACTATACAGAGTGAAATAAATGCAATATGGACGTTTTTGGGGTCAAAAGCGGGAATGGGTGAGCTTGTAAATGCTGCAAGAACATTAGGTGAAACAGGAAATTTTGTAGATGGTTTTAAAAGACTTGTTTCAAATGTTTTAACAAACACAAAGAAATTATTTAGATATACCGTACATAACGGACGGATTTTCGAACAGATAGCAACAAACCCTCCGGTTATGGCTGCATTGATGATGGTTAGAGATATAAAACCACGTAACGACGGGAACGAAGAACATGAACAACAGGATACTGGTCGGGTTATTCGAGACATTAAAAACGTGTATCCTGAAGTTATTGATTTATTTAGAGGTGTTAATGATTCAATTTCAAATCATTCTATAACCCTTGATGAAGAGAATAAATTAACAGATTATATATTCGTCATTATTGCAGAATTAATGAAGAGAATAAATGAAAAAGGAATTGGCGATATCATTAATGTCAGCGATGTAATGAAAAAAATTTTGACTCATTATTTACAAAACCGAAAACAGAATATAGTCTTTATGACGTAATTACCGAATTAATGAAAAAGATTAATGATAATAAGAGTTCTGGCGGAAGAGTTGAATTAGAAGTGAATGGGATAGAAGAGAAATTAGATAGTAAGGCAGATAAAAACCATGTTCATTATATAAGTTCAGACGAACAGATTATAACGGACTACCATGGATATTTAACACGAAGTGATGAAGTGAAGACGGAAGATGTTAATGAAAGAAGATATAAATACATTCGTGCTAAAGGTTATGACATAAGCTGTACTGTACAGTATGACATGGGTAAAGCACCAGAAGCATTTAGTTATAACGATGAAATTTATGCCTCTACTTTCTCTGTTAACGGTGTATTAGTTGAACCAAGATTTACTTTGAGAGTTAAGTCAAAAATAACGTTTGAAGATGCTATTAAAAGTAAAGCTGACAAAGTTGAACTCGAAGCAATGAACAAAGTTTTGAAATCTCATAAACACAATATCTCCGATATAAATGAACTTCAAGCTACATTAAATAGTAAAGCTGACAAAGAACATACACATAAATCCTTCACTACTGTTAGAGCAGACGACATAATATTGAACTATGATTTGGGTTCAAATGCACCTTTAGAGAATCCGAGTACAAGCGTAAAAGATACTCTTAACAATTTAGATAAGAGTTGCAGGAATATCGAAGATCATGCCAGAAACTTTGAAGCATACGAACTACCAGCAATGTTAGATAAAAGCTGACAAACAGAGCTTCAAACATTAAAGACTGAAATACTTCGAACATTATATCCTGTTGGTTCTATTTATACATCAATGAACTCAACAAATCCAGCAACAGTTCTGGGTTTTGGTACATGGCAGCAGATTGTAGACAAATTCTTATACTGTGCTAACTCTTCAAATCAAACAGGTGGTTCGAAGAAAATTAAAGAAGCAAACCTTCCACCGCACACTCATACAGGAACTACAAACTTTTCTGGTGACCATAGTCACTCATTAAGAGACCATCCATTATACAACTCAGAATATTGTGCTGGCAATGACGTTTTATCTCCAGATTATAACCATTCGGCAAAAAAGACTTTTCGACCAACTGAACCAGGAGGAAATCATTCACACACTTTCACAACAAATCCAACAGGCTCGGGTGCAGATTATATGCCACCATTTGTGACTATATTCGCATGGTACCGCGTTCAATAAACACACTTGAGCCTTGACTCAAAGGATCTAGGCTTACCGCGTTCAATGAAATCTTTAACTTTACATAAATGAGCTTGAAAGAAGTATTCGAACAACATCCATGGAGGTCATTTAAGAAGTTCAATGAAGCTGCAAAGAGTTCGGGATTTACTAACAGAGCTGAAGTTAAAAAGTTCTTTGACAAAAATGTTGTACATCAAACAAAAATAAATCCTTACGACTACTTTTTACCAATTTACTCCAACACTCCTGACGCATACCAATTTGACACTCTCATTCAAAGCAGAAAAGGAGGACATAAACCATTCCTCATCTTCATTAATGTTAACACTCGTAAAGCTTTTGCGTATATAATGAAAAATAAAGGAACTCGTGAAGTGTTAAGAGTTTTACAAAAGTTTGTAGCAGAACATAGCCCAAGTACTTTAACATCAGACCAAGACAGTGCATACCTCAGCAATGAAATCACAGATTTTCTCATTAAGCATAACATAACTCACTACACTACTGAAGACCATAACCATAACATACTTGGCATCATAAACCGCTTCATAAGAACGCTCAGAGATTTAAATCAAGAGCGAGACTTTACCGAAGAAACAATGAAACATTTTCTCGAAGTATATAATTCCTCAACACACTCTACAACAGGACATACACCAAATTCAATGACACAACAACAAGAAGAAAAGTATATACAAAAGAAACGAAGCCAAACACAAAATATCAGAAATTCAACACAATTTACCCTCATTCCTGGTACAAAAGTTCGTGTAGTTCTTGACGACAAACCGTTGACAAAGAAACGTTTAAGGTTAAGTAGAAACTATTATATCGTAGACTCTACGCAAGGTAATGGATATCTTATAAAAGCTGCTGACGACTCTATTGCGTTTTACCCTCGTCACAAATTAGTCGAAAGTAGTAATGGCAAACTTGCTGAAACCATTGACGAAGCAAAGCGAGGAGTGGTTATTGAAATACTTGGCTATAACATAAACGATGACACTTATAAAGTAAGATATGAAGGAGGCGTTGAAGATGTTATACCATCTAAGAACTTGAGAGAGTCAAAGTCAACACATCTGGGACCATTAGAGCGGGAGTACTGGAAAGACAAAAATAAGCCGGAAAGAATAAGAAAATTCTTCTAAACTTTTTCATTAGATGTAAATCAGACATGAATGAGAACAGTCATGATATCATTAATGGTACCATTTATTTTTATCATAAATTTACACCAAAAATATATTTAGGTGAAGAGGTGAGATCTCACCCGTTTTTCACCTCTTTTTTCACCCTCATGAATTTTCATGAATTTCCTTAAGATAGAAAAAATAAAGTTAGTTTTATTTTTATTTATTTTTTTTTATTTTGTATAAAAGATATGATTTCAACAATCGGCACAACAACAATTCAAGCCACAACTACAGCACCAAACTCGCTAGTCATGAATCCTACGTCAATGTTGGTAGAGATGAAAAACTTCATTCCTTCTTCAATACTTTCGAAACAAAAATCCCAAGATAAAGCAAGAACTTTTAACAAGTAATTTAGACTGTACCGCACAGGATGAAGAAAATGAAGAATATCTTTATGACATGCAGGACCTCATCGACCATTACCTAAACTACCTGAAATTCAGCAACAAAAACTAACCATTCCCGAATTTGACGAAATTGAAGTCAAAGCAACTGACTCGTAGAAATAAAGAAGTTCATACGAAAGGAAACTATGAGTTCTAGGATATCATTGCAACCATAAAGTTATGGACAAAGATTGCGACATGTTTATAAAAATATTTTCTGACCTTTACAAATCCGAAGAATTTAAGACATACGACAACTTTGTTTCATTAGTTGCAAAATGTGTATGGCAGATAAGAGATAAAGATAGAAGAGGTAAGGTATGGAATGAACAGATAAAACCAGCAGCTTTTGAGTTAAAGAAAACCATTGACGCCTTAGTTGTTCTAGCTGGTTTTATTTCAATGTATAACGCAAAAATGATGCCGCAATGTTCAAAATGTAAAGCAGCAATAAGAAAATATAACTACTCAGTCAAAGAGATAGAAAGAATGCGAAACGACTATGCAGACTTAAAGAAAGAAACAGAAAAGCCAGCAGAAGATTAAAATGGATATGTTAACATTTCTTAATAAAAACTATTCAACAGCAGAAGATTTCCTTCTGTCTGACGTCAAGAAGAAATATAAAGAGACTTTCGGCATGATTAAAACATTCGATGTACTAAAAGAAGAAATAGAAGCTACGAAATTGTTTAGGATTTCAAATATACATCGTACAATTCATGTAAAACGCTTGTGAAAAAACAGGTGAGAAAACGGGTGAGATCTCACCTATTCACCTAAACATTATTTTTGCTGAAAATGACCAAATTTCATGAATTTTCATAAAAGATAAAAATAAAGTTAGTTTTATTTTTATTTATTTTTTTTTGTATGTAAAGACAGTAATGTCAAACATTGAGTTTGAAACAGTAAGAAAGATTGACAATGACACCAAAGTGGTTAGAATTGGTGATTTAAACGTAAGATACTGTAAAAATACAACAAATATTCTTTGTCAGACATTATAACACCTTCTGGAAAGAAAACAAAGGACTGGGTTAGAATTGCTTCTACTCAGAAAATTTTGACAAGAAATCCTGAGCTCATGATATCGGTAAGATTCTATGGAACTACAGCATATCTCATTGACAAAAGTCTTATACCAATAATTCTTCTGTGGATTGACCCTGTTGTTGGATATAACTTCATAACTTATGGTTCATTCGATACGGAACGTTGCAGTGAAGGCTTACTTTACATCGTTCAGAAACCGAAGGACTTCAATACAAAGAGATATAAGATAGGAAGAACATATAATATAACTCAAAGATATGACAGTACAGTCAATAGAGTCAAGGTTGTGTTCGTTAATGATATGAGAGCCGCAGAAACAGAACTACTCGAAAAGTTTGAGAAAATGTATGGTGCTCCCATAAAAGGTAAAGAAACGTTTGAAGTAGATGAGATAGATAAAGCTATAAAATTATTTGACGAAGTTGCTGAAAAATACATGTAAAGCGTTTATTTTTGTCTTTTGTGAAAGTCAGAAAATAACGCTAATTTTTTCCTAACAAAAATTTTTATCTTGTATGTAAAGACAGTAATGTCAACATCAGAGAACACAACAACTGCTATCGTTCATGAAGCCATAAATGAAGAATACGAGTACATACAGTATAACAAACAGTTACGTCTCATTCGTTCAGTCAAAGACGATATGTACCAAATGCAAAGTATAATGAATGCTCTTCGTTCTACAAAGCAAGCATATCATTGGTTTGAAAACCAACAGACAAAAGAACTTTTAGAAGAATTTCCTCATATGATTGCTTTGCAGAATGAAGAGATTCCGTATGAAAATCGCAAGAATTTGGCTCCTTGTTTGAAAGGTTATTATGTTCATAGACTTTTAGTAAACGCTGTAGCAATGTGGGCTTCACCTCGTTATGCTTGTTATATTTTCATGATGTTAGATGAACTATATAAAGCAAAAGATGAAGTCATTGAATCCAAAGACAAAAGCATACAGAAAAGAATACCACGTTCAGTACCAAAAGGAAAGGAAAAGAGTTATAGGTATATGATATATACTGAAGAATTGGAGAAAGAAGAAGATAAAGATATGGTTATGTTGCATTTAGTCAGAAGAAACAACAAGAGCTTTTATGACTTAGCTAAAATATATAAATCTGACAGAAACTGGTTCTATCGTGAAAACTTACCGATTTCAATGACACCGAATGAGCAAATAAAGGAAATTGTCAAAAATACTCTTCCTCAAACACACTATGACATCAAAGGTTGCACAATACTTACATTCAAAGAAGACTTAACATTACTGAAGGAAAAAATAACAGAATATTTCGATAACTTCAAAGAGGAAGAATGAAGTCACGACAACATTAACGATGAAGTCACGACAACATTAACGAAGAGAGAATGAGGTGAAAAAAGAGGTGAAAAAACGGGTGAGATCTCACCTCTTCACCTAAAATATATTTTTGTGCTATATTTACACTCATTTACGAAGAAGTCATGAATCCTACGTCAATTATGTTCGACACTGATAACATTAACGATAACATTAACGATATAACGATAACATAACGATAACATTAACGATAAATAAATGCTCCATGTCAATTATGTTCGACACTGATAACATTAACGATAACATAAACGATAACATTAACGATAACATTCATTTTTGCATTAATCCTGCTGTATTGTCAAAATGTCATGTTGTCATCATTTTTCAGAGAAGTTAATTAACCTGGTGACATGGTGACGTGGTGACACCATCAGTTATTCAAAAATATATTTTTGCTTAAATAGCTTCAGGGTCTATTTCTTCAACCATTTCACTTCCTTCGTCAATGTCAATAGAAGCTTCTTCAACCTTTGGTAAGAATTTCTGTATAACATCTTTGTTCGTTATTGTCTTCAGAGATGAAGGATAATATTTCACATTTGTTTCACCCTTCTTATATTCTTTCTGTTCGGAAAGATTCATAGCAATACTGAAGAAGTCAATGTTAGAGTTCTTTATGACAGTATAATGAGTATCTTTGACATTCACGAAGAAACCCTTTTGTTTCAAAACTACTGCTAACTCTTGTGAAGTATAACGTTTGCGGTCAATGACAATAGCTAATGGTCTGACATACTGACCAAACTTAGATTCTTTCACAAACTTCTTGTTAAAGATAACATTAACGTTTGAAGCACCATTGAACTCATTCTTGATGACAGTAGCGAGAGCATTGTATGAAAAGAACTTGCAATCTTGCATGTGTTTCATTAAAATAAAAATATTAAATTATTTTGAAAAATAACTTTAAAAAATCTAATCTAATTTTTTCAAAAAATATTTTTTATTTCCTACTAAAGATGTATCGGAAGTTGTCTAAGTTAGAACACTCGGAAATAAAACAACTTCTAACAGAAGCTAACATAGAAGTTGCAAAACATTACGCGACAAACAAAAAAGCACTCGCTGACATTCTCAATGACTACAATGGTGAAATAACTTATGATAGAATTCATGAGTTCATAAATGCAAGAGCATTTCCTTTAAATGACGTTGCTATTGACTTATATCATAGACGTTCAATACCTCATGAAGTAAGGCGTGAGATGTTTGACATAACAAATGCAAACGTTGGTGAAACAAGAAGAAGAGACGACACACTGAAACAACAGAGAAGAGAGATGTTTAAAAGTGCTATAGAACAAGTTCGCAAAGCTAACGATGTCATTCGTTCCATTGACGACAAACCAAAAGAAGGTGAGAGATGGTTAAAGAAAGATGAAGAGAATAGGAAGAGGAATGTTAAGACAGGCAATAGACTCATTGACTTTAACATCGAATCTTTAGATGAACCAAACAGAGACTACTTACACAAACATTTCGGTAAGGTTTTCATGAGACTCTTAGAGAAGATTAAAATAAACTCCAACAAAGATGGATGGTATGTTATAAACTTGGTGGAAAGTATGAATGTTCTACGTTAAACCTCAATAATATTGGAACATTACTACATCAGCTCTTGAAGGAGAACTTTATATCAGAGATAGAAGCAAATGCCGCAGGTATTGTTGAAATGCACTATGACTTCTTCTTGACAAACATAAAGAATCTTACTGAAATAAAGATGTATGATTTAACAGAATATGAAGGCTTAACGATGTCAGATGTAAAGAAAGGCAAACCAAAAAAGAGACCATATAGAGATGAAAGCACACTGACAAATGACCAGAAAGCCATTTTGGAAGCTCTTAAGCAAACAGGAAACCCAGCACTTATAGAAAGCTTTTGGAAAGATAATGGTGAAAAGAAGTTTTATAAGAAGAGAAGCGGTCAGTTCTGGAAGTATCTTTGCACGTTACCTATAAATCTTGAACGCTACCAAATCTTCAATGAACTGAACAAAAGAACTGCAACACTTATGACAGAAGACAATTGTTTCGTTTATGCTTGCATTCAGGCTGGAGTAAATGAAGAAACTATTGACCACATGAGAGAAGTCATTCGTGTTAGAGACTTTCCTCAAAGTAAAGTACAAGAAATTTCTGACGCAACAGGTATAGCATTTAATGTTACCATTGGTTACTTCAATGACTCAAGATATAATGAAATAAAGAGATACATACCAAAAGAATGTGAAACTGTTCGAACTATTGACCTACTTCTTGTTGAAGACCACTACATGCTAAACGAAAGACTTCCAATGACAACATACTTCGTCAGAAATTACAAAGAAATCTTGAAGGAGTGTGGTGGAATGAACATTGAAAACAGATGAAAATATATACAATGAGAGAGAACAAATATGTAGTTCGTTATGATAGAACTACACCGCTATGGGATGTTATGAAAACATTGTGGGAGTGCAAATATTTCGAACCTATTTCTTATGGAGAACTTTTCACATATACGACTGACTTATATAAACAGAACCTTGCACCATTTAAAGATTTGACATATGCTCCAAAGTATTGTGTACAACTGAAGAAGAAAGCAGAGTCAAAAGAAGTAAATAAAAATAAGTGCAAGTTCATTCCTGAGCACGTTTTCTTTGCTGACTTTGAGTGTAGTACCGATGGCTTTCATAAAGCTTTTAACATATGTTACGACAGTGAAGATGGTTCAGTGAGTGAAAGCATTTGGGGTCAGAACTGTGCAACAGAATTTTTGGAACGACTTCCTGACAAGAGTTTAATATATTTCCATAACCTCAGCTATGACATAAACTTCATCTTAAGACACATGACAGAAGTGAAAGGAACTCCCATCATTAAAGGTTCACGAACAATGCAAATAACTGGTTTATATAAAGGACGGGCAATTATTATAAAAGACTCTTACAGTGTTATAAATAAGAAGCTTAAACTATTTCCTGCTATGTTTAACTTACAAACAGGACCGAAAGAAGTATTTCCATACAACTACTACAGCAGTACTTTGTTAGCAAATGACAACAGAACTGGTGTCATTTCTGAAGCATGTAAGTTTGTCAAGGATGCAGATACATTTATGAAGAACATAGATTCCATCAAAGGTTGCAGAATAGATGAGAACCACTTCGACTTAGAAAAATATAGCACGTTTTACTGCAAACAAGATGTAAGAATTTTAAGAGAAGGTTTTGTAAAGTTCCGCAATGACTTATTGAAAGAGTTTGATTTAAACGTTTATGACTACGTTAGTATTTGTTCAATTGCTAACAAATTATTTGAGAACAGAGTGTACTTCCCGAATGGAAATCTTTATGACCTCTCAAATAAACCAAGAGAATTTATTTCGAGATGCATTCAAGGTGGAAGATGTATGTTGTCAGATAACATGAAACAAAAGAGCGAAAAGAAACTCATTGCTGACTTCGACGCTGTTTCATTATATCCATCAGCTATAGCAAGACTTTATACTTTAGAAGGAATTCCAAAAGTATTGAAGGATGAGATGTTAAGCACAGAGTATCTCATGAGACATTTATTCGATGACGACCAAAAGGAACCCATTGGTGAAAAGTTTATGTCTGGCTTCTCTGTTCTCATTAAGATAACAGAGATTGGAATACATAGACACTTTCCTTTAATAGTTTGTGACCCTGAACTAAATCCAGAACTTAACGTTCCCAGAAGTTCAAACACTTGCTGTTTAATGTATGTTGACCATATAACATTACAAGACCTCATAAAATATCAAGGTGTCAAATGTGAAGTGTTGCAAGGATACTATTACGATGGAAACAGAGATATTAGAATAAGAGATGAAGTAAAGAAGTTGTTTGAGTTAAGGTTAAAGTATAAGAAAGAAGAAAACCCATTACAAGAAATTATAAAACTCATTCTGAACAGCATTTATGGCAAAACCATTTTATCTCCTATTGAGTCAAAAATAACCATAGTAGATGACAAAGATGCTATAAGATATGCCATCAGAAACTACAACCATATAGTGAAGTTCGAAGGTTTGGATGGTTCAGATAAAACTATTTTCAAGCTAACGAAAAGCATTTGCAGACACTTTAACTTCTGTCCACTTGGTGTAAATATTCTATCAATGTCAAAACGTATTATGAATGAAGTGTTTTGCACGATTGAAGACTTAGGATTAAAAGCATTTTATCAGGATACAGATTCGATGCACATTTACAATGAAGACATACCACGTTTAGCTCATGAATTTAAGAAGAGATACGGTAGAGAACTTATTGGTAAAACATTAGGTCAATTTCATAGCGACTTCGCAGAAATAACACCTGGAAAACAAAGTTTAGCATACAAGTCAATATTTTGTGGAAAGAAGACCTACATAGACTTACTCACTAACGATTTAAATGAAGTTGCATTTCACTGCAGAATGAAAGGCGTGAAGCAAGATGTTATTGCTTTAACCGCTAATGAAATGTTTCCTGACTCTGTTCAGTGTTTCTATGATGAAGATAAAGGTTTAATGGTTCCGCAAGGAAAATTTGACAAAGACTCTGAGTTCAGTGTTATGCAGTTATATAAAGCACTTTATGACGGTCAAGAGATTGGATTTGACTTATGTAAGTCTTCTAGTCCTTGCTTTGCTGAAAAGTTTAACTTCTCAATAACGACTAAAACAAGCTTTATTCGTAAGTTGAAGTTCTGAGGTCATTTATTTTTGTCAGCAGTGAGACCATTCATGATAAAAATAAGCCGCTAGCGGCAAGGGCGAAGCCCATGTGGTCATTTACAATACTGCGATGGTAGAGTTTAAGAGTTGTGCTTCAATGTAGAGACAGTCCTTATGGTCTGGAGGTAAGAACACTGGGCAGTTATGGTCATGAGTGGAGAACATGTCTATCCAAAACTCACGATTGAAGCCAGTTAATTTATAGTATTTAGGGTTAGGAAGTGGTGAAGTTCTTGTATGACCAATGAACTCATTTTCAACGCCTTTGGCTATATTAGAGAAAAGAATAGCTTGCTTTCTATCCCAAATGCCAGGTGTTACAATCTTTGAAAATTCATTTTTCCTCGGAAGCATTGCATCATAATTGAAAACATTCTTGAAATCATCACTTGGTTCAGAGATTTGAAATCTTATACGTAATGGATTTTCTTTCTCTTTAGCTACTTCATTGAATGGTGAATATATAACAAACTGACAGTCATGTGTTCCATCTTCATTTTCATTAAATTCATAATGAAAGTCTATAAGTTGTGGCTGACTACCTTCTTCTTTCAGTTGTGCAAGAAACTCACGTAAAGGCTGTAAAGTTTGTACTTCAATGTTAAACTTTTTCTCGAACATTTCATTAAATGAAATCATACATTGCAACAATGTTGTATCGTCTTTAAAGTATTTGTATATGTGAATGTTTTGGACACTTAAAGACTGTTCGTCATTTTCTATCTCGACTTGAAGTATAAAGTCAACTTTCCTAAATGCACGTGTTATATACATAGATGTTATGCCAATGTACTTCTCTTCATTTATGTTCACAATCCAGTCTGTTGGAAACTTAAACGTTACTCTGTTCCCCTTTATTTTGACGTCAGGGTTTTCACTACTGAACGCAACAGATAAAGGTATTTGTCTATACATTTAATTCGGATAAAAATAAACCATTTACTCTTTCTTTGCTTCAGCTTCTTTAGCTTTTGCTTCAGCTTCTTCTCTAGCTTTCTTCGCCAGCAAACGTGGGTTCTTCTGTCTTCCAGCAGCTAATGCAGCTAGTTGTTTTTCACTAAGTTTTCTCTTTGGTCTCTCTGGCTTTTGTTCTTGTTTTTGTTCCTTCAGTTCGGATAAAATTTGCTCGCGAATTTCTTTCTTCAATGCTTCAACATCTATGACCCCTTGGGTCTTGTCCATATGACTTGTCTGAGTCATTTGACTGCAGATAAAAAAACAAAATTAAAACTTTAACCGATGTAAAATGAGCTTGTCAAAATCAGAGCGAGAGTCTATTATATTAAATGACGCAAGAGGAATACAACATCCTTTCTATTATGTAAGTCAGAGTAAAGATGGTAAAATATACGTAAGAAAAAGAAAGGTTCCATTAGCGAATGCAGAGAGCGACAACATTAAGGTGCATGGCACCGAGGGTGAAGCCCATATAAAACCTTCTATTCAAACTGAAAAGTCAATAGAACAAGAAGAAAAGAAGCCAGATGTTCTTTCAATAACGAACCAAGAGCTTATTGCAAAGTTCGTGAATTTCATTGAAAAGCAAACCGAGTCAAAGAACCCTGACCCACCAGTGAAAGAAGTTGAGACAAAAGAGAATGTACAGTTCATTGAAAATGTCAAGAAACAACTTCCACCACGAATGCCAAGAAGAAGAGTGAGAATAATGAAGTAAATAGATATTTTTATCCGAAGTAAATACATGCAGAACGAACAGTTAAACGAATTTACTCCAGCAGAGCATATTCATCAGATTCGCTCATATTTCGATATCATAGACAATGCAGTTCAAATTGGTGACACTAATAGAAAATATTCTGACGCAAAGATTCCATCACAACCTGGAACTGCTAAAGATAACACATGGGTAACATTCAATCTCTCACCTCCTGGTGAAAATATGTTGGACCTTTACAATACATTCATTACGTATAAAATGGAAGGTCAATTTATTGCAGATAAAGAAATTGGTTCAGGTTCCAATAAAACAAACTCACCAGGATTTTGGATTGGTTTCGATGACGCTTTCTATGCAGTTGCTGGATATCAAATCCTTGCAAATGGTCGTATCGTATATTCTCAAGACAACGCACGAGAAGAAGCATATATAACTTCAAACTCACAAACTACCGAACAAATAAAGAAAGTAGATGTTTTCTCAAAGACTCGACATGAAGATGTATGGAGTCATTCGGGAACATGCAGAACAGGACAAATTGTTAGTGGTCCAATTACAGCAGGAAAATCATTTGATTTTAAGCTTCGTTTAAGAATTCCTGTTAGAAAGTTTTTACCATTAGAAGCTATAAGATTTATTCCTGCATTTGCTGGTAACATTCAGCTTAAAGTAAAGTTCAGTAGCGACGCATTACAATGCACATCTATATCTGTAAATGATATCATTGCTTTCAATCCAACTCTTAAAGTTGCATTTGCTTCAGATTCAAATCCACCGACAAATAAATTTGTTCCATGGAATGAACCATTCACTATGATAACGAAGGCAATAGAAGCTAGTGGAACAGTTACTATTACAACTGTAACCCAGCAACTATTTCGAACAAAGATGGATTTTAATGAATGTTTCATTCATCCAAAGTCATTCTCTTTAGACCCTAACATTTATACAGAACTTGTAGAACATTATACAAACGAGGCTTTATGTTTTCCTGTTAAAGTTATGGATTGGATTCCTATGGACGGTTCATTCTCAAAGAATACAGATAGTTCAAGTGCAACATTTACAGCAGCTTATACGCCTATTAATGTTAAAAGTATTTGGGCACTATTTAGAAAGAAAGACAACTATTATGTTAATTTTGAGAACCCTAAGTTTAAATATCTTCAGCTTTCCATGGGAGCTTATGGAAATATGCCTGCAGAACCTGAAAAATCATATGGACCTGTATTTTATGAAATGGTTGCGAACGCTTGCAATACAAACAATGATATGATTGGATTTAATGAAGATGTTATGAGGTCATTGGTGGATGATGGTAGTGTGGAACATAAATGGGATAGCTATGACAACACACATTTCTTATGTGGTTTTCCAACAGAAGTGGACTTTTGCTTCCAGCAAGGTCAAACATCTACTGCTCCAATAACATACAAATTGTCTGTTAAAGGACCTATTGAACTAGCAACTGAAAACGTACCAAAGCCACTTATTGGATTTATGAGGGATTGTTGCTTTGCCATTCAGGTGCGTGCTAATGGAATCCCATAATAAGATTAGATGACTATAACTTAGCTACGGACGACAGTGAGGAATAAAGGATGAACGTTTATTTTTAAAGCTTATAAATGAGTTCTTCATCAAGCTCTCGTGAACCTTCACCATCTATGAAACAAACTTTACCAAACGATTATGGAGCACCTATTGAATATTTCTTACGAGCTGCACAATGGCAAAGAGCAGTCTCACCAAGGTTAGGTGTTCCACCAGCTCCTGTCAAAAATAGCATTTGGTCAAGTCCTTATATAAAATATGGTCTCCCACTAGGTTTGCTAGCTACAGCAGGAGCAGTAATGATGTTGAAAAGAAATAAAGCAAATGTTGTAAATAATACTGAAGTAGCTGAAGTTAAACAAACTCCGACACCATCGCCAAAACCAACGCCTTCACAAACAACACCTTCAATGACTCCTGAACCTATGGAATTACAAACTCCTGTTCAAAAGTCAACTCCAAAACCGACTCCAACATTTAAACCAGAACCTACACCACAAATAAATCGTAAAACTCCTGCGTTTCCTTACTGAAAAAATAACGTTATTTTTATTTAATATTAAAATTTTTATTTGATTGAAATGACGACTAAAGTCACTGAAGCAATGAAACAAAAGTTTTTGGTAGAATACATTAAATCAGGAATTATTCCAGAAGGTTTTTACATTCATACTATGAAGGATGGTAGAGTTCAGTTTAGAAAGATAAAGCAACCATTAGATAAAGAAGGAATTTTGAGAAAGATTAAACTTCATGAGGACAACATTGCTGAACTTAAGAAGAAGTTAGAAGAGTTGGAGAAAGGAAGAGAGTTATAAAGCAATGAATTCAACAGGGTGAAAAACAGGTGAAAAAAGAGGTGAGATCTCACCACTTCACCTAAATTTATTTTTGTGCTATGTTTTCATACGTGTGAGGGTGGTGATATCATTTATTTTTTATTTTATTTTTTAAAATTATTTTTATTTTATTTGGATGTAATGACAGAACAAAAGCAACTCATACAAATCAAAACATATAACAAACATATATTTAAACATTTATTCTTCCTTCCTGAGCATAACATGTTCTTTCAAATACATCCGAGACCAGTTGACTTTTCATTGACTGTGTATAAAGATAGAAATAGTTATATCATTAAACCATACGATGACGAAGGTAAGTTATGTAAATTGTACGTTAAGAAGTTAGAGAAAGTTTATGGCTTCAAGTATGACTACAATAGGGTTAACACTGATGATGAAGATATTGAGGAAAATTTATGAGAACATTAGTGAAGTTGTTAGTGAGAACGATAGTGAGGTGAAATTGTTGGCGGCTTTGTAAATATTTAAGGTTAAGTTAGTTTTTGTGTTCATGTTGTAAAATATACGTTAACGGTTTTGTAAAGTGTCAAATTCACAAGTACTGGGTAAGGTGGAACGCAGTGCCACCATACCCAAGACTTGTATACTAACTTATGTTTCATCAGACTCTTCAGCCAGCTTTTCTGCATTCGTTGCATCTGCACGTAATGTCAAAAAGTCCATTGCTAAATAGAAGTTCTCAAAATTCTGTGGATTGTCAAAATAGCTTCCAACTTTTGCACATGCGCGTAAAACATGCACAGCGCACCAACTGAGCTGCGCAAGAGGAAATCCGTCCTCAATTGCGCGAGCAATGTTTAGCGCACAGTCAGCGCTCCAATGCTGTGGATCCAGGTGCGCAAACTCACAGAATTTCACCAAACATTCTTGAATTTTTTCAGATGTCTGAGGGTTCACTAAAAAATAGCAAAAGGGGAAAATTGTGTTTTGACTTGTTTTCATTGTTACTGCAAACAATTGGATCTTTCCTTTAATTAAAGAATGAGTGGAATCGACGTGGAGAGGGTTATCAATGCTATGCACCAATTCTTTTGCAGCAAAAGGTGCATATATGATTGTAAACTCGGAAAAATCTCCATTGTAATCAAATTGAACGAGATCATCTGGGCACTCTTCCTGTAAATTATTCAAAAATGCTTCCAAAGAAGTGTAAGGATCGTTTGATAATCTTTGTGCAATAATCTCATCAAGGCGATAAAATTTGTGCTTTAAAGCATCAGTAGACTGCGCGAAAAGTTTCATCGTTTCTTTGTTATTCGTATCAATTCCGAACTTATCAAAAAATGCTTTTTGAGCAAGAAATTGCTTTCCACCGTTTTTAATATAAAGTTCGATCCATTTTTGATAAAATTTACTCGCGTAATGTGAACCCATTTCAACTCCTATATGATGGCAATGTTCTTCATTAACTTTGCTTATAGTAAACACTCCATTTTGTTCTTCAACCCTAAATTTTGCCTTGCATAGGGGATACGAACATGAATAAGTGACATATTGCTTTGGAGATCCCGTTCTTCTTCTGTATGGGACACCGCCCTTGACTTCCTGTTTAATACCAAAAGCAATAAGCTCCTCTAAGTCCACCGAAATCATAAAAATGAAGTGATTTTGAAAAGAGTTAACAAAATTCAAATCACATCAAAAACAAAAACACATAAAAAATATTTTATTATACTCATTCGAAATTAAAAATAATAAAATTTATATATATTAATTTCATTAAATCAAGGTTAAAAATCTCACCGGAAAAATAACCTCAGTGTGATAAATTTATCACCGGAAAAATTTACAATAAGGTTAATACCGAAAATATCGAAAAATCAACATTTAAGGTTAATTTAAGAGTATGCACTTTTGTCACCTACTCTGATTTTAAGTACTTTCTCTGAAATTTTCATATTTGATATTTTTTTATTGTTTTTATAGAAGTATATATAGCGTAAAAGGAATTAATGATAGCATATTCATTATTTTCTAAGAGATGTAATAGAGTAGGGGTAATTTTAGCTAAAAGTGACACACCCGTGAAGGGTGTGATTACCGATCGGTAATTTCGACAGTTTAGAATTTAAAATTTTTTATGGAACTGTTGCGAGTTTCATAAAGAATTTAAGGAATATAAGCAAAGATTTGAATCAAAATCTTAGACCTAAGCCGCTTGCTAAAGTAACTAATTTTAAAATTCATGAGCCCCGAATTAATTTGTTCACGTTTAACATCATTCAACTTTTCCATTTGCTTTCTAATATATTCCCATTCTTTTGAAATATCATTTTTCATTTCCACTGGTTTCATGTTTATAGTTCTATGCCATGTATTATTGTAATAATATACTAACTGCTGTATGATGGAGTCATGATTTCCATCCCAGTATATCTGACCGTTAACCCCTAACGCATCTCTAAGAGTTCTCATTACCGCATCAACTATTTTATTATGAAACGTATATGGAGAGGATGAAAAGAAAAAATTAATTTGTGGGAAATAATGAGTCATAGCTGCCTGAAATCCTTTATCACCATCACCTGATATTATCTACTCTTTCATGATCTAGTAAGTATTGTATAGCTCTTCTTGTTTCCTGTTCTGTTTTCCCTTTCACTGGAATGCAATATAAATATCTAGTGTTAATGTTAATGGCAAATAAATAAGTAACTTTTCCTTTTGAATATTCCAGATGATCGATTTCGTATGAATATGGATATGGAGCAAATGAAGGGCGACTAAATTTTTCCTTTAACGGTTGAATTTTCGGGTCAATTGGTTTATTTAATATCTTGAAATCCTTTTTAAAATCTTTTTGCTTCTTTAATGTTTGAAATGGATATAATAAAGTGAATGATGAAGGATTAACTGAAGGAGGAGGCGGTACTGTCGTTGGAGGTTTTGGTGTTGCAAGTGGTTTAATTTTATCTGCTTTGATTTTGGATTTCATTCCCCCCTTCATTAATTCTGGATGTATTCTATTCATTTGTTTTAAATATGCTGTATATAAAGGTTTGATATACTTTCCCGCTTCGAGTTTATGTTGAAGGATGAATTCCAAAAGTTGATCTTCATTTAAAAGTCGGGCTGAATATGGTTTAACTAATGAATCATAAATTAAAGCTTGTGCTTCATTTATGGTCTGAAGGACCTGGGCGTTTTGCACCTTTTGTTTTTGTTCCTTTGGCTTTTGCGGCTCAGGATTATATAATTTATATAATTCATCAATATCTTCTTCTGTTAATACTTTATTTTTGAAATCTTTCAACTGTTTAAGTTGTGATTTAGTTTTTCCCTTTGAATATTCATTATTTTTAATTTTGTCTTTAATTTTAGAAATTATTCTATCATGATATTTCAAAATTTCATTTTTATAATATGGATAATAATATTCCATATCATCACCCGTTATATTGTTATCATATTTTTGGAGATATGCTTTTAAATCATAATAATCAAGAAAATTTTGATTAAATACTAAATCATCAATTAAATTTTTTAAATCTACGCTATTCATTTATATAAAAATAAAATAAATGTTTAAGGGTGCCCACCTCTTTGAATCATAGTATCAAAGCCATTATTAAGGTTCCTTTTGTCTCTTCTGTGGCATTTCATTAAGAATAAAATTTTAAATTGTATTAAATAAATGGCATACAACATCCATTTTCACAACATACAGCCTTAGTGTGTGCTCCTGTTAATGCAGTCTTACCAATTGTTAAGCGAGTCATTGACCCATTTTTAAGTTGTAAATTAATATTCTGACCATCAAATATCACTTTATCATTTATTATATCCAAATAATTTTTAGGTGTTAATTGTTTATTTTGTCGTAAACTAACACCTTTCATTTTTTGTGCAATCTTTTTAAAATCACTTCCATCAATTGAACCATTGAATGATGTATAACACTTAGGACATAAAGCAACCATGTTATCGCCTTGTTTCTCAATTGCTAAACCCAATAACTTCTTCTCATGTGCTTTTTCTTCAGCTTTATTCTTTAATTTAGGTTTAAATTTCTCATCAAAACAGAAGAA